GATGGAAGAGCTCACCTCCACTCTAGTCTGCAATTCTATGGCATATGAAATTCCAGGAAGCCCTTCAGGTACTCTGCAGTTAGAGCTGTTTTTTCAGCAGATTTTAGTATAATGAAGTACAGTGGGGTCTCGACTTACGAACGGCTCGACATACGAACGTTTCGACTTACGAACCACTCTCATAGGAATATATGGACTCGACTTACGAACTTAGATTCGAGTTATGATCTCTTTTTTTCCCTTTTTTTTAAAGCTAAGTCATCTTAGGTTAAAAGGAGAAAAGAAAAAAATATCCCCCTCTAGTGGCAGAAGGCGGAATAGCAGCTTCCTATTAGTTTCTATGGACGAAAAGAGCAGATACGGATTAAATGGTTTTCAATGCATTCCTATGGGAAATGCAGACTCGACACGAACTTTTCGACCTGAGAACTGCCTTCCAATACGGATTAAGTTCGTAAGTCGAGACCCCACTGTAAACCCCTGGTGGGGAGACTTTAGGTTTGTGAGAGCTAATCACTGACACTAACATTTTAAAATGCCACAGAGTACTCACTGGGACTCCACTGAAAGTTTTATATATAATTCAATCAAGCCACAACCTCATAAAAGCGATTTTTAAAACTTTACAACTGCATCGCTTCCCCATAAATTAAGCCTAAATAGAAATAATTTTGCAGATATTTAAAACATTAAGGGACCTCGAAGGGGGGGTCTTATGGTGCATCTTATGGTCAGGTGTGTCTTCTGGAGCGAAAAATACGGTAATATGGAACCTAGTCAATGAAGAAACCCTCTTGCTCAAATACATTAAAAAAGAAGAACTCCAAAAATATTCATAAAAATGTCCGTAATTCCAGGATTATCACCTTAAGAGTTAATAACTAGTATTGAGCTGTTTAATCTTTAGGTTAAAACCAGCATTCCATAAAGAAGCAAAGCACGTGTCTCCAGCATTCATGTGGAACATTATACAGACAGAAAATGTGAATATATTAATCTGAAAACTGCCCATTTCATTCCTATGGTATTACTGATTCATCAAGATTCTTTTCAAGATGATGCAGCTTTTGTCAAACTTGTTTCGTACACTGTATTACAGATGTTCTTGGATTTTTCTCCAGGGAAAGATAAGGAAGAGAATGCACTCTTTTCTATTCTCTGCATCCCCCACTATGGGATAAGGTAACAAAGGAACCAGAATATTCTCTTTTTGGAAAGAGATCCCAGGCCCACAGTCTTACAGTCCAGAGTCTACCGTATGATACCAATTCAGGCCCTTGTGGCCAACTGTGTTATGGGAGAGGTGTTTCATAATGCACATTAACGAGAATAAGCTGTGCTGCATATGGTGCTTTCTCTTTATTTTTGACTTTTGATGAACAATATTTTCATCCTTGACTACAATATTCAGTTGATTAAAAACTTTGAATCAGCTAGAAAGATCCACCCAATTAACTGGTCAGCAGGCTGATCAATTGAAAACGCCCGCCTAACTGATCAGCCAGCAAATCAAAACAATTGCTCCTAAATATCGTACTGTCTCTAAGAGAAGCATTTCTTCCTGTATGAAAGAAAATATGTAATGGTTGTTTCAAGATGCTTCCTATGATGCATGCATGGATAGATGGATAGCCTCCACAAGTATAACAGTACAGGGGTGCCTTGCTTAACAATTACCTCATTAAACGACAAATCCGCTTGATGATTAGGTTTTTGCGATCGCTTTTGTGATTGCAAAACAATGTTCCAATGGGAAAAAATGCTTTATGATGATCGGCTTCCTGCTTCGGGAACCTATTTTCCGCTTTACGATGATCAGAAAACAGCTGATCATCAGGTTTCAAAATGGCTGCCCGCTGTGCAAAATGGCTCCCCGCTGTGTTAGGGATGGGTTCTTTGCTTTACAGGCACCCGAAAATGGCCATCCTATGGAGGATATTCGCTGGGTGAGCAGGTATTTCGCCCATTGGAACACACTGAACGGTTTTCAATTCACTTCAATGGACTTTTTTATTTTGCTTGATGACGATTTCGCTCTACAGCGATTTCACTGGAACAGATTAACGTCGTGAAGCAAGGCACCACTGTATAATATTCCTGTTTACCATGGAGGTGAGAGGAGAAAGAGATTCATAGTAGAACATCTCTTACATTCATAGCCCTGCTGGCTCACTGCAGATAAAGGAGGTGGTGGATAGCAGCTTTTACTTTTTTCCCATTTACTAACTCCAGTAGGAAGAAAAAAAGCTAAGCCGGTTTCACACATAGATATAGCATGAAGCACTCCTGCTGGATGTATTGTGAGAACAAGACAGCTTTGTATCTTGTGGATTAGCAGCTCTCTCAACACAGTACAATTTCCCTAACACTAGAAAGCTACACTTGAGCAGAACAAATGACGAGAAGTTCCTTTCACCAACACAGAGGGGAGTCTTCTGCTGATGAAAAGGTACCTTCACCATTTCTAAATATCTTTCCGACACCTTTCAGGTATCTTAGATTCCCCTGAACAAGTTTCTCGTATGAAGATTTATGGAAATCAATTAACAGAATAAGACACACACAGTTAATTGGGGTGGGTAAAAATCAATGATTTTTTAAAAAATCAAATTGATAGAAATCACGATTTGAAACAAAAATATATATTTGTTTAAATAGTCCAAAGTCCAATTGTTTAATTTAAATAAGGATTTAAATCAATTTGATTTAAAAAGGTCAACCCTGCAATTAACTGATTAAAATTTCTTTATTTAGGTAACAACTGTCGTCTGCCCCAACTATTTATCCATTTCATCGTTCAGAATCTATTCCTTTATAAACATTAGCTCACAGACTCTGATCATCTAATCTGAGTGACAGGGAGAATTTACAGAATCCAGAATATCAACACCTTAAAAATACTCCATAATGTTATCAAAGTAATACAAAATGTATTAGGAAAACAAAGTTAAGAGACCAATCCAGAATTGTTCATGAAAAAGCATTAAACGATGGTATGCAATTCAGGGCACTGGCAACCTCATAGAAGCATCATGGGAAATCTCCACCTTCCCCTCTGCTTAACCTTACCTCTTTTCCCATCATGCTAATAATAGGAAGAAAAAGAACAACACTAGCAAGTGCACAAAATAGAGGTCTATAGGGGGGCTTAGCAAGGGTATTTTCATTCTGCACAATGGCAAAGAAACACAGGTTTCACCAGCTTCTCTGTGCAGTTCAAAATAGCTTGAAATAATAATAATAATATAATTTATTGTCATTGTAAGTATATACACAGTATACCCATACAACAAAATTCACAGTATTTCATAGACTTTAGAATTGTTATTTCACAACCAACTTGCCGAGAATGAGGCAGTCAAGTGATAAGAACCAGTGTGATGCACACATTTATGTTGTCCTAGGATTTGGGAGACCGTTCAAAGCCCTACTCTGCCATGAAGCTCTCCATGGGCAATTTTCAATCTGTCTTTCTTATCTTTCTTAGCACAGGGATTCTGAGAGTCTAAAACAAGGAAGGTGTTACAGTGGGGTCTTGACTTGAGAACTTAATCCGTATTGGAAGGCGGTTCTCAAGTCAAAAAGTCTGTAGGTCAAGTCTCCATTGACCTACAGTGCATTGAAAACCGATTAATCCCGTAACAGTCCGTTTTTGTTCCATTTTGGTTTTTTTCTGGTCTGTAAGTCAATTCTCAGGCTGCAAGTCAAACCTAAATTTTGCGGCCAGAGAAGCCTGTAACTCAAAAAGTCTGTAAGTCAAGCCGTCTGTAAGTCAAGGGTCCACTGTATTCTGTTCCATTCATACACTACCCCATTAGCGCTACAGCGCTATTCTGGGCAGTTTAACAGCAGGTTAAAACCGTGTCAACAACCAAACACTTAAAAGCACTCACAGTATAAAAAACCCACAGCACCAAAACAATTTACAAAAGCAACAGGACAGGAAACGAGCAAAATATCAATCCATTTTAGTATGAAAGGCCTCTTCAAAAGATAACCTTTCATAACAGCTAGAGCAGGACGTTTGAAAAAATACAATGAAATAAATATATAAAGTAGTAAACAGAACATAACATGGTGGGAATATTTAGAAAAAATTGGTCAACACATAACAACCACCCAAGATTCCTGCCTTATTCTGGCTTACCATGAGCAGAAAGCATGCTGCTACACATGGCTTGTCTGCTCCCTTTGCGCTCCTCCTTTTGCGAGGAAACACTGGGTTAACTAAATCAGGACAGGCATTTGAAGCCAGGATCAGCACCTGGAGTTCTGCTCCCAAGGAAGCCAAAATGTGAAGTAATTTTAAGTCTGTAGAAATGAACTCATCCCCGAAAGCTACATTAAGATATAGCAATTAGTCATTAAGGTGCCACAATGTTTTTGCCTTTTTTTAAAAAAAAATTGTTGTTTATGCCTGATCTGAAACAGGATTGCCATAACGGAAACAGGAATCATTATAACATCCCCTGTACAGTGGTGCCTCGCATAACGAGTCCACCGTTTAACAACGAATCCGCCTAGCAATCTATTTTTTTAGATCACTGATGCAATCACATTGCAATGTTTTAATGGGTAAAACATCGCAGTGCGATGATTGGTAAGCGTTTCGCTTACCGATCTTCGCATTGCGATGTTTTTTGAACAGCTGATCGGCGGTTCCAAAATGGCCGGCGCGAAAATGGCGGTGCTATGGAGGAACTTCACTGAACGGTGAGTTTGGGCCCCATAGGAACGCATTAAACGAAGTTTAATGCATTCCTATGGCTTTTTCCGTTCCATTTAGCGATGTTTCCTCATAGTGACGATTAATCCAGAACGGATTAACGTTGCTATGCGGGGCACCACTGTATTTGAAAACTGCCTTCAATGAAAGATTTCGTACTCCCAAATGAAGCAAGAGCTGAATGGGTTGCACGGATGGTCAGTGTTCATAGAAAGCCAGGAAGACTGTTCTATAGTTATTTGCAAATTGGCCTATGGAGAGATTTGAAACTGACCTCTTCTTCTTCTTCCTGGATGTTATCGTCGTTGTCGTCATCATCATCTTCATCACCACCCTTGTAGCCAGGAGGAAGTGGTGGGCCAATGAGTTCATCGTCAGAATCTTCCACTGAACCTTGAGGTGGTAGAGGGGGCCCAATCAGTTCTTCATCGGAACTGTCTTTGCTTTCACTGCTCGATGAATCTCTAAGTCAAAGAATTGCAAGAAATGAAACAGATTGTATGTTGTTTTCAGCATCTATTCATATCATGAAGGTGGTCTTTGGTGAGAGGCTTAGTCCACCTTCCTCTCTCAAGCCCAACTGCCCTTGAGATGCTGCAAACTGGGAAATGAAGATCTGGAGGCATACAAGAGACTGACTGCAGAATGGATAAGAAAGCTGGCACCGTTTCTATGGATTTTATACCATTTAATATCCAAGGACTCAAAAACCAGCCTAGTCTCTAGTGAGGCACTGAAGTAAGTTTCTAGTGAGGCACCAAAGGCCATACTCAACCCAAAATACTATTTTTATGCACAGATCACACAACTCTTTGCTGGAACAGGTTCTAGTTCCAGAAAAAGAGGTTTTCCACAAGACTGAACTTCAGAGACAATTCCATCTGTTCCAACCAGCAAACAAAACTATCAATTGGCCTTTAACTGACTTCTCAAGTAACACATTACCCATATTCGAATTCCTGCTCCACTCTGCTATTGATCATTTTTCTCCCTTGGCATCTCTCCCCAGGCGACAGACAGAACTCCATGGTCATAGCTATGATTTTGTCTACAGAGGCAGAGATTGTAGGCTAGTACCTTGGCACTTTTGTTCTTCACCAAATCTGTTACCTCGCTCTTGCAAGCAGCCTACCTTCAAAAACAATGGCCATTATATGTGGCCAATATTTTTGAACATTTATTTCTCCATCTATCTCCAAATTTTACACCATTTAAGCCTGAAGGTTTCTCAAAAACTCAAAATTCTGCCTTCTTTTTAATTTTCCTATAAAAAATAGGAATATTTGTTTCAGAGTTTTATATCTAGCAGGTGTACAAAGAATTGCAGCCTCTGATCTTCTCTCCCAAGACCCATCTATAATACATCTATTTATACCTTGAAGATGTTCTCTTTACTGGACATGAGACAGCAGCTGATGAATTAACACCACACTGGCTCCCAGGTTCTTTTTCTTTCTCTGCTGCCTCTTTCTCCCTCTGTTCTGAATAAAGATATACAAAATACGGCATGAGACATACCTAGTACATGTTTTTAAAACTTTTATATATACTCTGACACTCATACAGCAATGAAAAGTAAATCATGTCCTAAAAGCATGTAACTCTTTCAGACAATCACAGGCTATTACACTGTAGTTCTTATCGCATCATTAACATCCCTTTAGGACATAAGATTTAGTGAAAGAAAGGGAAGGAAACTGGGCATGTTTTCTCAGTGTTTAGAGAAACATCTTCAGTGTACAGTGGACCCTCTACTTACGGAATTAATCCGTATTGGAATGGTGGCTGCAAGTCGAAAAGTCTGTAGGTCGAATCTCCATTGGCCTACAATGCATTGAAAACCGATTAATCCCATAACTGGCAGTTTTTATTCTATTTTTGTTCCATTTTGGGTTTTTTCTGGTCTGTAAGTCGATTCTCCGGCTGCAAGTCGAATCTAAATTTTGCGGCCAGAGAAGTCTGTAACTCGAAAAGTCTGTAAGTCGAGCCGTCTGTAAGTCGAGGGTCCACTGTACTTATCTTGAAAGACCTATACAGGTTGCTACAAGTCAGTTCTGACTTGACAGCACGTAACTTGCAGAACTGGGAACTGTGCCTGTGTTTACAAGTAAAACCCTGACATTACTATTTAGAGAAAACTTCAATAACCCACTCTAAGGCTTACTCCCAGCTTTACTTTTTGGAATTGGATAGCTGTAGAAATATACAATGAAACTTTAAATACAGTCTGCTGGTGATTTTATGTGGTTTTAAACAAAACACAAAAGAGATCAAAAGAAAAAGTAAGACTTATGGGCAGCAGGAAAAAGGTACAGTTTCATCCATCAAGAGCAAACACACAAACCAGTCATTTTAAAAAAAAATTCTTACCCAGAATCTTCCTACTTCTTTCCACAGCAGTTCTCCGAGTCTGTTCAAACAAAGCATTGAAGTCAAATGTTCGAGCTTTTTTCCCTACATAAGAAAAGAAAAAGAAAGGAGGAGAAAGAAGGAAACGATTAACTTGAAAAGTTGGACTGCATGGACAGAAAATCCCTAAGCAGCTTATAAAGATTCAAATAATGTTTTATTTCAAGGTCTCATCATAAAATAAATGTCTGCAAAAAAAAAAAAGAAGAAGAAGAAGAGGTTCTTATAACATGAAGATATGCTTAGCTATTCCAAAGTAAGTCCCACCAAATTCAATGGGACTCACTCCCAGGTAGGGGCAGACAGGGTTCAGATTAAAACCAAACTTTGAGCAGGTCCCATCATTATGTCCAATATAAGGCAGGCAGGTGAAAGAAAAAAAAAACTCAATACAAAAAAGGCAGTGATGGTTCTGTTACTTTCCTTGGCCACTGATTAAGCATATTACTTGATTTTAAAGTTATTCCAAAAGTAAAATTCGAATATTGACTTTCATGTGCAAACAGAACATCTGAAACTGTAGCAGAGACCATGGGAGCTGCAAAAACAGGGCAGACACACTTTGACCACCCGTGGTTTAAAAGATGGGGGGGGACTATAAACAGAGGGCAGAATAAAACAGCAAATTTATCTCAGATTTCCAGCATTTATAAAAAGACCCACTGACATAAAGGAGAGCAAATTACTACTTAAAAGAGTGTGATTCTCAGTCAGCATATATACTTCTGAAGCAGCAAGTGGGAACTCTTTCTAGCATGATGAATTGATGGAGCTTTTCACTGAGTGATTATTAACTGCCTGAGAAGCAGTAAAGTATTTCTGTATCGCTAACTGTGGGTTAAAGTTGCAATCAAACATCTGGAAGGCATTCTGCAAGGAGGAAGGGCATCTTTCCTCTTCCAGTAACACATCTTTTAATGAAAACAATGGGCAACATCTGCATTTCTAAGGTCACAAGTGGGAAATCTGGAGATCTTTGAGTTCTGGCATCAGTAGAAACTTAGATGTGGGCCAGAGAGCTGATCCCCTTGACTTGGACAGACCTACCAGAGGCACTTTGAAAGAGGAGACTATCTCATGGCTGCAAGGTGCCTTCACAGATGAACTCAAAAAGCAGAGCAATACTCCAATTTCAAACCTCCACTGCCTTGTGGCTATATCCACTGATGGAAAAGGCTTCAGGAGTTAACCTCGAGGCAAAATCCGGAGCTGGAGTCCCGGAGGCAGTTTGTGTCATTCTTCCAACTCCGGCGACGTCGCTGGAACCAGTTGTATTGGCTCTTGCCTTTCCATTGGACTATTTCAGCAACATGGAGAGGGGGGATTTGCTGCTTGGGTAACAGTCTATCCTGGATATTATTTTACCCAGGCTTCATGCTCTGGAGAGGACACTCCATCTTCGCATACAGCATCAAAACAACACGGAAAGGGGTTGTCATGCTCAAATTGGCCTTCTCAGCCACACTAGATGCTGTTCCAAGTCCTCCATATAGAGCATGTTACCATAGCCTCTTGCGACTGAAGGATGCTTATGATATATGATGGCTTTTCTTTATAGCTTTGAACCTCACATGAAAGACAGGGGATTCAATGCCCACCATGGTTCAAGAGGGCTTCAGAGGCATTTCGGTAGGAAGACCTCTCAGGGAAGTCTCCAAAACTTAGTACAATGCCGCCGATCATCCTTCCTGCCCTTCCTACCAGCTAGGATAGTGCTGGGTTTTTTTTGCAGTGTTCAGATGGCCATCAAGTCCGGCCAACACACGTGGAAACTTGAACCCTCTCCCACGTGCGTCCCCGAGGATCGCAACCTGTGATTGAGAGGGCCACGCCAGCAGGCCCTGCGTGCACCCTTTCACCTCTTTCTAAGGTCCCCGTCCAGACTACGATTTCCTCCCTTTCTCCTCCAACTCACCAAAGCCGGAGAACCCCATGGTAGCCGCCAGGTCTGGGTCGGGTCCCGCCGTGGGGTCTGCGTCTAGAAAGAAACAAGGACATTCAATGCTGCTTCCCGAGAGCCAAGCCATCCCTCCATCGGGGACCTCCCATCCCTTTCAGGACTCACCGCTCTCCATTCCGGGTTCGGCCATCCGGCTGCTCAGCCCAGTCCAGAAACCACAACAGAAGCACCTGCCTTCTACACAAGGAAGCGGCCGGCGGAAGAGTCTGCACAGCAAGAGGGGATCTCTTCCGCTCCCAACTCGCCGCTACAGCGCCCCCAGTGGCCCGTAGACGTGAAGACCGCCCACGCCCCTTCTGGTTTCTTGATTTACAGTATTTTTAAAATCATCGGCTCTGTGAGCATAAAAATAAAGATTGGTGTTGTTTATTTAAAATATTTTACAACGGCCTTTCTCCTTAAAAGGGCCCAAGCCAGTTTACACCATTAAAAGGACAATACTGTACTGTATTTCAAAGCTAAAAGCAACTAAGTAGAGAAATATTTTGTAGAAATTAAACAGGTACTGTATATTAAAACCGTAAATAAAATCAAACCTTAAAAAAAAATTAAAAAGCAACAAAGCAGAGCAACAGGGCTGCAATCCTGTGCCACTGACTTTGCCATTCTCTATACTGCCTCCTCTTGAGTAAGCTCCTTTAAGTGAATTTGACACAACTCAGGGAGGCAGTGGAGGATAGGAGGGCCTGGTGTGTTCTCGTCCATGGGGTCATGAAGAGTCGGACATGACTAAACAACTGAACGAGTGGGCGTAACAGACCTACTTGTCTATCCAGAAGCATTAATCAAAAATACTCCCACGTAGGTGTGTACAGGACTGGATCCTAAATCCAAGCACATTGATGAAATAGGATTTTCGAGTGAGCATGTTAGAGGGATGTTAAATCCCTTGAATTGCGCTTAGTAAACAAGGGACTTTTCCCTCTTGTTAGTTTTGAGATACATGCAAGAATAGTAACTGGAGTTTCTCTGACAAATTTAGCTTAGGGTGCCACCCGCAATTTTTCCAAGGGCCAGTCAGTGTCAGGGCTGAAGGGCAGATCAAAGGGCTGCAGTATTTTCCCTTTTTCTTCCCTCTTCCCTTTTGCCAAGACAGACTAGCATGACGACTTCTTCGGAGATGTAAGCGCACTTGTAACTTTTATTAAAAGATTTGGTGAGCGCCATGGCCAGCTCGTGGCAGACTGGGAGAAACTCATGGAATACTTCTTTAAATATCCACCCGTGTGGCTGGGAGGGAGTGATTGTTCTCATGCCTTCCTTGTGATTTCCCCTGATGCCTCTGGCTGGCAACTGTGGGGAATAAGCTGCTATATTAGATCCAATTTCTGGGCTGAGCCAGCACAGTTCTCCCTATTGTGTCAGTTTCCAAAGAGTTAGGCTGTGGTTATACTGGCAATTTTGTTTTCTGTTCAGACTTTAAAAAAAATCAGGTTCAAGTCACATGATAAAACGGTGGCCACTGTTCGCATGCACTGAATGGAAACGAATTCATTTCTGGTGATTTAAACCAGTTTTGGCTTCTACCCTGCTGAAATTGATTCATTTCCACAAAAGCACCTTGAACTGAATGGATTTTAAGAAGCGATGTGTTTTAAAAAGCCCCTGCCGGCCAATTGAAAAAAAAACTTGCTTTGCAGCTCCTATACTGTACATCGATTTTTATCCTTGTGTTGTGTGAATGATAAAATCTAAAACGATTTAAACGAGGCTTAAAAGCAGTTCTTGTTGCCAGTGTGGCCATCGCCTCAATCGTGTTTCAGAAAAAACAATAAAGAACTCAGTGACGCCTTAATAAAGACTCATTACAGCAACGCAATCTGCATTTATTACAGGTAATTTGCCATCCGGTTCAGAATAAATAACAAATACCAGCTATAATGCCTCAACACAAAAAGTTATGTAGCACCTTAAAGCCTAAGCGATTTCTTACAGCGTGCTGTTTATCTTTAGTGCAGGACCATGAAAACGTAACTTATAACGAAGGGGTTCGTTTTTAAGGTGCCACAAAAGTTGGGCGCTTTTGCATTCCTCCACAAAAAGCCGGTCTCTTTGGAAACTCGCACGCCGCTAACCAGGAAGTCAGTTTATTATGGCCCCTCTAGCCCTCGGGTCTCTATGGCCCGCCGTCACGTGGAGCGTGCGCGGGGGCCGACGGGATTTGGCGCGCGTGGAGGCGAGCCGCCCTGCTAGTCTCGCTTCGGCCTCCGCGGGAGAAGGAGAGGCTCTCCTGCACTCCGCTGAAACCGCTTTGCTGAGATTCCCCTCGGGTCGCCGCCATGCCGGTCGCCCTTAGCCCGGCCACTGGCCCTGCCTTGCTGGAGGAAGCGGGCCGCATCATCGACCAGCGGATCCAAGATGACCGCTGCTACCCGGACCTCTCGGAGCTATTGGCCGTGCCGGCGCCCGGTGAGCCGAACCAGGGTTGCGGGAGGGCTTCTCTCTCTTTGCCTTCCTCTCCCGGGTTGGTGGAAGGGGGGGGGGTCCAGGTCACGTTAGTGTCCTTTTTCTTGCTACATGTATGTCACGGCAGTGTGATCTAGTGGTTAGCGACCGCCGGTCCTCTTAGCACCAAAAGCTGCCCCTTGGATCCTTGTCCCTCCTGTCATTTCAAAACAGCCGGCGTTGGGCTTCCATTGCGGGTCCCCGAGGTTGGGAATGTCCTGTCCACCCCACCCCCCTCAAACCAAGTTCTGTGCAAAGTCCTTTATTGCGTTATGAGCCGTCAGCTCAGCTTACAGCAGCCAAAGTGAGGCTTTCAACTTAAGGAATTTTTTTTTAAAATCACTTCCAGCCTCTTTCCCCACCCCAAGAGTTTCTGTAGCTGAGCAGGGATTTGAACCCATGTCTCCCGAGTCATAGTCTGTCACTCTGTGCACTAGGTCTTGCTGAGTATTTACACACAAGTGACTTGTTGCTGTACAAGAATAGGCGCTTCCCACCTTGCACATCCTTTCTGAAAACAGTGGCTGCTGGGGGAGAGATGAAGTGCTTTGTGCTTCCCCTGGTACCCGCTTAATTTCTAGGCCCGGTTGGGACGTCAGTCAGGTGGCTAGGAATGGGCCAAACCCTGAATCTCCTCCAGAAACCTGCCTGCTTACTCATTTGCTGAGGAAGAGAGCTGAAGAAAGCAGTTTCTATATTATCATACAAGCCAGCTTACTTACCTGGATGAAATTCTTAATCACCTATGGCAACCATTCTGGGTGTGGGAGGGAATGTATGGCTCATTGATTGTCATATTGATGATCGTCTTGGAGCAAGATATTGAAATGTGTGGTGTCAGCTTGTGTTGCACAACAGACTGTGAGAATGCAATCATCTTAGTTGTTCTTGAGTTCCCAATTGCTTTCAATGCCATTGATCATGAGTGAGGCTTGGAAGTATATTGTTACAGTGGGTTTGGTCTGGGTGTGGGAGGGAATGTATGGCTTATCAATTGTCATATTGATGATCATCTTGCAGCAAGATATTGAAATGTGTGGCGTCATTTCAACTCTAAGAAGTTTTGAGTGATACTGATTAATTGGATACTTTCCAGTGCTGCTTCTGATCTAGTTTTGGAATGGGAATTGCCTTGGATGTCCTGATGGGTGACTTGTGCTGCACAACAGACTGTGAGAACACAATCATGTTAGTTGTTTTTGAGTTCTCAATTGCTTTCAATACCATTGATCATGAGTGACGCTTGGAAGTATATTGTTACAGTGGGTTTGGCGTTTTCTCCTAGGGTGGTGTTAGAAGGCGGTCCTGTTGGACTTGCGCTCCATCGCCTGGTTGGTTTCCTACACACAAAGGTGTCAAACTAGGATGCATTTTGTCCCCTTATATGTTCAGTCTGTACAGAGAACATACCATATTGAAATCCAGGCTAGATTTAGATGAAGGAGAACTGAAAATTGGTGGAAGAAACATTAGTAATTTAAGATGTGTGGATGACATCATTTTACTGGCGGAAAGCAGCAACAACTTGAAACAACGTCTAGTGAAAGGACAAAAACAAAGTAGCAAGGCAAGACTGCAGTGGGACATTATGGAGACCAAAATAATGACTTTAGGAGAACTATATAACTTTAATGTTAACAATGAAGAAATTGAAATGGTTGAAGATTTTGTGGAGCTTTGTTCAGTAATCAATCCAAATGGAGACTGCAGCCAAGGAATCAGAACAAGACTGAGTTTTGTACGGGCAGTAATGGAAGAATCTGAAAAGATCTTTAAGTGTAAGGATGTGTCACTGGAGACTAAGACCATTCACACTACAGTGGTGCCTCGCAAGACGATGTTAATTCATTTTGTGAAAATCGCTGTTTTGTGAAAACATCGTCTTGCGAAATGTGGTTCCCCATTGGAATGCATTGAAATCTATTTAATGCGTTCCAATGGGGGGGAAATCATTGTGTTGCGAAAACTGCCCATAGGAAAACCGTTTTGGGAAGCGCGGACCTAGCTGTCAAAATCACTGTCTTGCGAAAAAACGGCCCTTAAAAAACCATTTTGCGAAGCGCGGATGTAGCTGTCAAAATCGTCGTCTTGTGAAAAACCGTCCCCCCAAAAAACCCCATCTTGCGAAGCATGGTGCGAAACATCGTCTAGCGAAAATAGCCCATAGGGAAAACCATTTTGCAAAGCGCTATAGCGATCGCAAAAACCCATCGTCTTGCGAATTAACTGTTTTGCAAGGTAATTGTCTAGTGAGGCACCACTGCATTGCATTCCTAGTTACTATGTTTGCGTATGAAAGCTGAACAGTGAAGAAAGCTGACAGAGAAAAAATGATGTGTTTGAAATATGGTACTAGAGGAGAACTTTGCGGATTCCCCGGGCTGTTCTAGTGGGTTCGAAATCAAATCAAGCCTGAACTATCTCTGCAGGCAAAAGTTGAAACTCAGGGTATCTTACTTTGGCCACATTCTGAGAAGGCAGGATTCTCTGAAAAAGGCAATAATGCTGGGCGAGGTAGAAGGCAGCAGGAAAAGAGAAAGATACAAGATGGATTGACTCCCGAAAGGAAGTCTTGAGTTTGCAAGATCTGAGCAGGCCTCTTGAGAACAGGATGTGTTGGAGATCCCTCATTCATAGTGTCACCATATGGTGGAGGTGACATGATGGCATGTAAACAGCAATAACAATTTGATTTTGGTGGATCTACTTTTCATTGGGTCTGGATCTAGCCCATTGAAAACTTGCTGCCATCATCTTCTGTTGTGTTATGGCACTCAGATGGTGTCTACAGATGTTTGCCATGTGTTTGTCTCTAGGCATAGCCACAGGGACGTTAACATTCTGCAGTCAAGGAATGTTTGCCATTTCATTCCAAAGAGCCATACTTTGAGGCACTCTCACGTCTTCTGGCAAAACAAACCACTGAAGAAGTGAATCTAAAGCTTGCAGTAAACAGAGATATGCCTCCTTAACTTACTCTGCATACCTCAAACATTTAAAAAGAAAGATGGCATTTTCAGAGTTGCAGCAATCCGTTTGCTGCTTTAAAGGAAACAACCGGCACTTAATGTCTTCAACATTCAGTTTTAAATTAGTGTTTTGAAGCCTTGCAACCGCATTAAGATCCCTGTACTGAAAATGGCTTAACTCCAAAATGTCCACACACCTCACATTTTGTTATAGCACGTACTTGAGATCCAGTCAGTTTCTTTCTCTTGCCAGCATGTAATGGCTTTTCTCCCAGAAAGATGTAACTTTGAGGTCTACATTGACTAATTGAGTGATACTCTTTGGAGAAAGATGAATTTGGGAACTGTAATTGTAGGGGAAAGTTTTGCCCATAATATATTGAGAAAGAGTAAATCCGTTTGGTTTAAATGTTGGGCAAGCAAAAGGCTATGTAAGCATCTGTCTCCTTGTCTTTGTCTTCTAATTATTTTACTTTTCTCACATCTGCAGGTAGCCCCTCGGTTTCTGGAATGGCAGATATGGATTATCCATTACAGGGTCCTGGTCTTCTTTCAATTCCCAGCCTTCCAGAAATAAGCTCAATTCGGAGAGTTCCTTTACCCCATGAACTAGTTGAACAATTTGGACGTATCCTTATTATTATATCACTGTGAAAGGGCCACGAGTACGTCACACAGGGTGGTGAGGCAGAGAGGTGGATTTGGGGTTCCTGGTTTACCTCTATTTACTCCAAGAGTTTCTGCATCCCTGGGGCCCTTTCCTGCCCCCTAGCTTATTTTTTAATTCTTTATTTACTTGTATAAAACTTTCTGTCCTGTTTTATATAGAAAAAACAGAGTACAATGAAAATAGGAAGGGTGCCTAATTCAGCTGCAAAGCAGTCCTTTCAATACAGAATGTCCCAAGTTCAATCCTTAGCATCTTTAGACAGAGTTTAATGTGTACCTGAAACCCAGACGGTCTGCTGGCACTCAAAATGAATAGTATTGCAATAACTGAACCAGTTGCCTGATGCAACTGGAACAAGTAAGGATGGTTACATAAGTAAATACAGTACATGTCCTCCTTTTTCTCTTTTGTCTTTGCCTAAGATCGCTGCTTCTCTTTTATATCATATATGTCATAGTATATTCTTAGTTCCTGTTCTTTATTTATTTATTTTATTGAATTTCTACCCCACCCATCTAGACCAAAGGTCTACTCTGTTCTGTTAAAGCTCCATCATTTTGCAATGTTTCTGCCCGGGAGTGGGTGCCTCCACTGTGACTTCTCAAGTACGGTGCAAATCTTTGCCTTGCCATGATTCTGTGATATGTGCATCAGCATCCCAAAAAATGTATTCCAAGCAAAATAAACAGGCTACTCTTCACAGGTTGCAACATACATGGAGACGGCTGGAGGTGTAATACTCCCAAGTATACGTTCTTTCATTCTAGTCTTTCTGTCTAATTTTTTTTCTTTTTCAAGACACATCAGATTCAAAATATAGTTAGCAAGTGCTGTTTAAAGAATTCTATGCCAGAATACTCTTGAGAAGACCCACATACACAAGGGCACCCATGTAGCAGTCACTTCTCCCACCCCCTCACTAGCAAAATCACAGTGTGCCCAATATTGCAACCAGTGCATGCCCATGAAGGGGAGTGGGCTGAGAAGAAAATGCTTGCATGTTTTCCCTTCTCCAGTTGCGTATCCCTAAAGGATTTTGGCCCCCCTTAAAGCTGGTGTTGGTTGCAGTTCTGCACACACTCCCTTGGGGGGAAAGACCCTTTGAACATCTCCAGGCATGCTTACCCTGTCTATGCAAATTCAGATTGATACTGTAGTTTCTTATTATAATGTTTTATTCCTTATATCTGGATACTTCAGACATGCAGTGCAATTGCATGATGGGGGTATTTCCTGAGATAAGCAGAGCATGGCTGACCATAGACAATGACATTTTTATGTGGAACTACGAAGACGGGTATGTGGATCACACTTCTAGGAAATTGTATCTCAGTGTTGGATTTCAAAGTGTTGTAAACATTCATGTAGTGAGAGAAAAAAACTATTAAGGCCTCTGTCAGGAGTGGAGTAAGCACTACAGAGATGCATGTGTTGTTGGTCCCACAATAGAGAAAGAAGCAACAGAAAATAAACAACCAACCCATATTAAGAAAATTATATTCAAGACAGAAAAGCCTTAATGCTACTTCTGACTTTAGAAAGGCTCATGGTTTTGGAGACGCAATAGGTCTACTCCTTAGAGAATTGTTAAAGGAAGGGAAGTGGGGCTGATAGATGGGGGCCTGAGAATATGAGCCTAACAGTAGATCCAGGAGATGTATTGATCAGAGAATCTAAAGGACAGGAAGGATATCTGGCTTCTCAACTCCCCAATGCTTCCTGAGGGTCATTTGGGCTGAATCATTGCTGAGAGGTGATGTTTTGAGGATGTCACACCAACACAGGATTTGTGAAATAATTAGATAGTTGTGCTTACAAGTTCCAGATAAGATACCTTGAGAAATCAGTATGTGTTGAATTATTTTCAGATATTAATATATCATTTTCTATTCTTCACAACAGGGGAGACCTTGCTTATTTTGATGGCCTCAGTGAAACCATCCTTGCTGTGGGACTGGTGAAACCAAAAGCAGGTAGTAGACTGAGGGAAAATCCCTTGAGGATATTAATGCTTCTGAGCAGAAGTTGCTGTTGCTCCTTTTGTGTAAAAAGCAAAAATTTCCAGCCTTTATATTTAGGCAGTGTCCTTTTTTAATTGTACTTTGGACAAAAAATTATGCTTGTGACTCAGGATTAGATTTTCAGTATTTTATATAAAATATTGATAGTATAAAAACAAAAAAAATGTAAAACAGGACATTTTGGCATGGGACCACAACATGATGCTCAGAATGACCAATCTATAAGAAAAATTTGCACCCCAAACCCTGTGGTCTCCCAAACATCTAAGAGCATCTTGAAATGTAGGGTTTGAGATGCAAATTTTTCTTATAGATTGGTGATTCTGAGCATCATGTTGTGGGGGAGATCATAGGAAATACAGTGGTTACAAGGCTTAAAATTGTGTTTTGCATACATGATTTTAATATATGTCTTTCGAGTCTCAAATCTTGATTATGGTAAAATCTTGAATGTGTTTGTGAGAAAGGGGACAGAAAGGTGATACTTTCTGCCTAAGTACCATCCCCTCTTCCTTGGAAAACAGAGAGCCACCAGTCTAAAAATAAAAGCAAGAGAAGAAAAAGGGAGGCCAACTATCTAGGGGAAAAATGTACATGTGGAGGGGGAGAAGGTGGGGAAAACCAAAAGGAAGGAGAAGGCAGAACAAAAAGAAGGGATAAATAAGAGAGAGTGAGGAGGGACTGCCGGCTTGACGCTGCGATGAGACAGCAGGAGGAGGATGAAGTTCCATCCCCTGGGCTGAATGCCGACCTGTTTGGGACTCCCCAGGGGGTTAAAATCACCCCGAAAAGGTAGTGAAATAAGGGGAAAGCCTGTTGATCACGGGGGGAGGAATGGCGGTTACTCACATTTGATCCAGGAAACTCCCCAATCAATCAGCAGGCGGAAATAAGCAGCTGAGCTAGCTTGCTTGCAAGTCGTCAGCAGCCGGCAATGGAGAAGCGATTGTTGTTGTTTAGTCATTAAGTCGTGTCCAACTCTTCGTGACCCCATGGACCAGAGCACACCAGGCCCTTCTGTTTTCCACTGCCTCCTGGATTTGGGTCAAATTCATGTTGGTTATTTCGATGACACTGTCCAGCCATCTCGTCCTCTGTCGTCCCCTTCTCCTCTTGCCTTCACACTTTCCCAACCCAGTATATTGATAAGTTGCTGATTTCTTCCTTCACAGGAATCTTTCAGCCGCATATAAGGCACTTGCTGGTTTTGGCTACACCTGTGGATATCATAATTCTAGGACTGAGCTATACTACCCTGCAAGGAGGTAACTCTAGTTCATGCCATGAACACTCGCTCACTCAGGCAGGAAAAGAAATTGGAAGGAGTTCCTTGCCATCCGCTGGTGTTGAGGCTGGTTCATGTTACTCATTTCTGGCTCCTGTCCGATAAAGCTGGCGGAGTTACTGAGAAGTATCTAGGCCACCACTACGGTCTTCCTCGCTGGTGAGATTACTGGCAGGAAACTGTTGGGAGGCCAGAACAGCTATTTCTGCCACTAGGTAAAGGTAAAGGTTCCCCTTGACAATTTTTTGTCCAGTCGTGTTCGACTCTAGGGGGCGGTGCTCATCCCTGTTTCCAAGCCATAGAGCCAGTGTTTTGTCCGAAGACAATCTTCCATGGTCACGTGGCCAGTGCGACTTAGACACGGAACGCTGTTACCTTCCCACCGAGGTGGTCCCTATTTATCTACTCGCATTTGCATGCTTTCGAACCGCTAGGTTGGCGGGAGCTGGGACAAGCGACGGGCGCTCACTCCGTCACGTGGATTCGATCTTACGACTGCTTGGTCTGCTGACCCTGCAGCACAGGCTTCTGCGGTTTAGCCCACAGCGCCACCACGTCCCTTTCACTTCTGCCACTGTTTAGTTACTTATTATTTATATTTGGCCTTTGAAAACTTCAATTATGGCCATATACTAAACAAATAACAAAAACAGTACTAAAAGTGCTGCTGTGTTGAGGCTGCAGCCACATTATTTGAGAGTAAAATTTCTATCTTAAATTTTAGAAGTCCTTAGATTAAAATATACATGTTCAAGATAACATGCATTCAGAGTGGTATATAAGTGGAAACAACGTTCTTTATCTTTTAATAAAACCTGGCACTTCACTGCAATCCTTCATCCATTGCCAAATATTTGTTTTCATTTTATCTTATCTAAAAATATTTTTGCCCTGTTTTCTCTTGATCCTAATAGTTAAGAATTGCATCCTTCAGAGTTAGGTGACCAGCTTTGATAGATGGGTTGGAGCAACTTTTTTTGGCCTCAAGATCTTCAGGGGTAGGACCGACTGTAAGAAGTTCCCCAAAAGTTAACAAATCAAGAAGTGGGTAGAAGTCCATTTTAAATTTTGAAGAGCTCTTTATTTTCCACCGTTAAAATGTGCAAAGGGGAGCTGTGAGCAATTTAAAAAAGCAGTCTTAGAATTACAGAGCTGGAAGGGGCCTGTGGGTCATCAAGTCCATCCCCTATCATGGAGACCCAGTGAGAAATCGAATTCCCAACCTTTGGCTCCACAGTCAAATCCCTAAACCTCAGAGCTATTCCATATGACCTATTTTGCTGGAGGTGTTTGTTTGTTTGTTTCATTGTTTTTGAGAGAGCAGTGTCAATCCAAGAGATTTGCTTTAAAACAACCTGCTCTGTCAGCTGTATGTTTTGGGACAATAATCCTGAAGGATTCCTAATAGAAGAATCTTACCGTAGGTCTTTGTTTCAATATATTTTTTATTTAAATAAGCAAAACTACAGTAAATAATTTTATTTCATCAGGTTCTGGAGCTCTCAGTGATAGTATGTCTGGCGGAATGCAACTTATTCCAGATCCCCTCTATACGCTGCCTACTGATAACACCTATCTACTCGCTATAACCTCAACTGAAAATGGGCGAATCTTTTTGGCTGGGAAAGATGGCTGTTTGTACGAAGTTGCTTACCAGGCAAGGAAAATTTGCACACCTTACTACTTACTTTTACTTTTATATTACTATTTATTTATGGGTATTGAGGTTGATAATATCAAAAAAGAACCAACCGCAATACAGGGGCTGACATCCTGTTGCACAGATCTGTCCATGCAAAGCGAAGCTGCAGTAGCTTTATTGGAAAGCGCGTCCAGGTGGAAGCGCTGTAGAGAAAGTGCTCTGTAGTCATGCCCCACAATAGGAGCTCTACTATTGATTGCGCAATCAGATTGTGCAATGCTGGTTGACTGGATGTAATTCCAGGCATGCTTTCAGGTTTTCAACCATTGTTCCCTAAGTGTTCTTGGTATGACAGATAAAAATGCAGGTGGTATATCATAGATCTGTGTTTCGTAACCTCTCTTAAAGATCTCCTCAATAAGCTGTTTCACCGGAGAGGGGCCTTTTCCCCCTTTTCAGCAATTGTTTTGGTAAATATAATGAAACATACTGCTTCTGTTGCAGAGAACATATGCTGGTGTGCAGATAAGCTTGGGGTCTATAATATGGATTGCGGTTCTAGCGCAAATGAAAAGAAAGGAGGAGTTATAAAACTGTAGAGAATTTTGAGGGTTTACCAAGTAGATCATTTATGGCCTTGGATCTCCCTTGATATAATCCATCTACAGTGGTGCCTCGCTTAACGGGCGCCCTGTTTGATGCCGAAATTGCATACTGACGAACTTTTTGCGATGGGGAAAAATTGCTTTGCGATGATCGGTACCCTGTTTCGCTTACCAATTAGCGCAAAGCAATGATTTCCCCCCAGCTGATTGGTGGTTCCAAAATGGCCGCCGGGTTAAAAAAAAATGGCCACCCGCTGTGTTTAGGGACGGATTCCTTGCTTACCGGGCAGTGAAAATGGCCGCCGTATGGAGGATCTTCGCTTAAAGGTAAGTTTTAAGCCCATAGGAACACATTGAAAGGAGTTCAGTGCATTCATATGGGCTTTTTAAAATCGCATAGCGACGAAATCGCTTTGCAGCGATTTTTGCTGCACTGATTAACGTCGCTATGCGAGGCACCACTGTATTCACAAACAGGAATGGCAAGCTTCTCAACTTTGAGGATGAAAACACTTTTCATCAGTAGGGAGTCTTGGGGCCAGGAGTGGTTAAGCTTCATAACCAAATTGGTGCCCTTTGCCTTGGCGGCAAAGGTTTCACTTGTGTCCAGGAATAATCCACAGAAACTGCATGATCGTCTGATTGTTGCCATATCTTACTTTTGTAGGCTGATGGACGCTGGTTTGGCAAGCGATGCTGGAAGATCAATCATTCAAAGAGTACCCTTTCTTTCCTCATTCCATCAGTGCTTCAGTTCACGTTTTCAGAAGATGGTAGGTGATGCAAAGTCCATGGCCAAAATGGTCTGACTTGTTGGTGTCCGATTGTATTTGACAAGGTTCTTGCTCTTCTGGTCTCAGCAGGATGTTTTCATTGAGAAATGTAGATACGTAACAAAAACAGCTTCGGAGTGGAGTAACCAGGGAACATCCATAGGCTGGATTGGAGATTGTTCTGCACTAAACAGTTCCTTTCTGTTGCTAAATCAGTTAAGCCTTCCAGTGAAAATACATTGCAAAGATAATTAACTCCACTGGCCTGAAATTTGAAATTTATTAGGGTAATTCCTTTAAAAAAGAAAGCCAGTATTTTAGTAATTTAGTGATATATTCAAGGTAGACTGCGATACCACCGAAACATCTCTTTCTTAGTACAGTATGCTAAACGTTAACAGCCTTTTTGAGCAAGAAACTCTGGATTTTTAACCTCATTTTTCAGATCCCATTGTTCAGATTGCCATTGACAACTCACGGAATATCTTGTATACACGCTCTGAAAAAGGTGTGATACAGGTATGAAGTTCAATATATTCTAACTGTTCTGTGTTCACAATTTTAGTTTCACAGTTCTGATTGTATTATATTAGTAGGATGCTGCAGTATAACACAAAGTTCTATAAAACTGTTTTATGAAACTATGAACACAAATACAACAAAAGAAACTTACATACAAATCCATTCCTATGGTTATATTTTGATGGATAAGTTACCTGTGATTGTATTTTTTCTGAACACTTTGTCTTTGCTATGTGAGTGTTTCCTCTTTTGTTATTAGTCCTGTGTCTGCTTGTATATATATAGAAATCCTATTAAAACCAATGCATGGAATTGATGGCAAGATTGTCTCCTGTCTGCTTAGCAAGTTTATTGCAAGCACCTTCACTTTGCGCTGTTTCACCCTGGAATTTCAGATGACCATTTCTTCTCTTATTCATATATCTTCTGTTCCCTTCGTCTTTGGCATAGTGATCATCCCTAATTTCTGTTCTCCTGGACTCCCTTCTATGCTGCCTCTGGCTTTGTATACTAGACAGCCTGATTCTGCCATCCAAGCTCCATTCAGTTAAAGTGTGCTCCTGTGTATTTCTCTCCAGTGACCACATCGCTGGATCTTCCCCTCTTATAATTGTTTTATATTTATCTTACACTTGGATTTTGCATTGTGACCGTTCTTGCCATTGGGGGTACTTTTGGGGGTTGTTTTAGGTTATCGCTCGATGGGTGGGAGGTTGGGGTTTTATGCTTTTTGTTCTCTGCTTGTAAACTGCACAGAGTAGAGCCTGGCCACTAAATAGGCGGTATGCAAATAGAATAAATGAATAAATAAATTCAGCTTGGAATGCATTATATAAATATGACATCTTTGTTTTTGAACTAACACTATCTAGTCTGAGCTAGATCCTGCAGCGTGGAATAAACCTTTTATGTGCTGTTAAGGCATTTTTGATTGAAGAGTAACACTAGCAATTTAAAGAAATTAAAAAAACAAATAAACAATGACTTCCAGAAGGACCTTTGCAAACTCAACGCCGTCACATTTTTTCATGCATCATTTTTGTATAGGAGAATAAGGGTGTCCTCACAAATGGGATGCCCCTCCCATTCACCGCAATGGACAGGATTTAAAGACCTACCATCTTCCAGGCACCGCAGCCTGTAGCGGGATGGGCAACCTCACATTTAAGTTCTAGTTCTTGTCTTTGCCTTGATAGGAAGCGCCCCCCCCCCCCCCCCCGTATCCTAACTCGCTCCTTTTTCTGTAGCCCTAAGAACAAAATCCTTTCTACTCTTCTGTTGGAATTTCTCTCTAGCCATTCATCCATCTCCTGAGATATTGGACTCGGATGATAGCACTGGGCCTTTAGGGAAATATCAAAATCCAAGGGAACTTGCAATGGCTGAGACAAAGGCAAAGCCTTCCATGCCTGTGGGAGGAAGGGAGCAGATTCATTGAGCTCACCAGGCAAGGAGAGAGCGAGAGCGGCAGTTTTCTGCGTCTACACATAGTAATCAGGAATAGCATGCTATGGATGATCTTGGCTTTGATTCTTGGCAAAACAGCTTTACATTTGCTGGTATTTTCTGGTTTCTTCATAGCTGCCTTTCCAATTCCTGATCTATTGTTTTCTTGGCTGCAGTCTTCATTTGGACAGACCATTCATACAAGATGTAGAACATCTTGAAGCATTAAAATTGTCTTAATTCTTCTGATTAGGCACCTTCAGTCTTATGAGACTATGGTAACATGCTCTGACTTGGAACAGCATCTAGTGTGGCTGAGAAGGCCAATTCAAGAGAGACAATCCTTTCCACACTGAAGGCAAATCCAATCTGTCCCCTATCCAACTCCCTGATTTTGCTTGTTTTGGAACTACCCCTTTGCTTTGGCCTGCTGAAGAAGTCTCTCTTCAAATTGGGAGAGGCCGTGATGCACCGCCTGCCTCCAGACTGAAAGCTCAGATGTCAATAAATTATTGATGTTTCGTCCGCTAACTTTCATGCCTGTTTCATCTTAATCTAGAATTAATGATGTTTCGTCTGCCAACTTTCATGCCTGTTTCATCTTAATCTAGTTTTTTTATATATGCTCTTTAGATTGTTTAGGTAGGGAAATAAAATACGCCCTTGTCTTTTAACATTTTTCCAGTTCTAAAATATTCATGTTGTAAGCTGCCTAGAGTGGCCTTAAGTACCCTTGTCTTTTAACATTTTTTCCAGTTCTAAAATATTCTGCCGCTTCATATTTCAACAGCAGTAGCTTCTTGTCCAGAGTTACCCACTAGAAAAATCAGATTTCTCTTAGAGTAGTCCATAATTTTCATGATTCACACAGCTTGCTTCAATCTATAAAGCTCAAACAGATTTTCTTCTGGTACACTCTAGTAGCTAAAAAATATGTGCTGTATGACACCTAGGGCCTCTTCTTTTTCTGAATCCATCTTGAACATCTGAAATTTCTTGCTCTATATCAGTGGTTCTCAACCTTGGGTCTCCAGGGATTCTTGAACTGCAACTCCCAGAAGCTTTCAACCACTAGCTGTGCTAGCAAGGACTTCTGGGAGTTACAGTCCAAGAAGAACACCCATGGTTGGGAACTACTAGTGTACATATTCCCAAAGTCTTAAATGTTCAATGTTGAGCATCAGTTCGCTTGCATGGGAAGCTAACATGATCATACAGTTACTGAAGGGGGCATTTTTGGGAGTGGGACTGGAATCTATATTGAAAATTTCCAATCCATGAGCAATTGTTTTAAATAAAGCTAGCTGAATGTAATGTCAGTCCACTAAAATACTGTAATTAAATTACAGGTTTATGATTTAGGTGCAGATGGTCAAGGGATGATGCGGGTGGCTTCTGTTTCACAGAATGCTATTGTGTCTGCAGCTGGAAAGATTGCCAGGTAAACTGAATGAAAAAGCAGTGATCTGACTGCCTTAGAACTATTTCACTTATACTCTTTCATGAACCCAAAATAATGTATTTTATTTATTTCTTTTGTTTGTTTGTTTTAGGACTATAGACCGTTCTGTGTTTAGGCCTATTGTCCAGATAGCAGTGATTGAAAATTCTGAATCTCAAGATTGTCATCTATTGGCAATCACTCATGCAGGTAAAAATTTAGTATCCTTTTCTTTATCACGAACTAACAGAAGTACTCAGATTTGGCAGCCACTAACTCAGCCACTAACCCACAGGTCCAAAAGGGAGGGGACAAATTGGATATTTTCTTACATCTATCACATCCAGTAGGATGATCCAACAGGCACCCATAGGGTTCAGGAGACCAATAGGGGATGCTCTGCTTATTGTACTTTGTGTAAGAAACTTATAAAAAGCTTTACCAAATGTATGATGGGGCTCCCTATCCGCCTTTTTAGGAACGAGGCCCGGCTATATTTGTTTGAATAAAATCTGACTTACATATAGACTGAATCGATGGACTGTCTTTATCTGTTATTTGTTGGGGTTCAGACAATGAGCAGGCTGATGGGCTTTATGATGATCACCACATGGTAGGTAATAGGATAGCAAAGAGTCTCTTAGCAATAGATAGAAGAAGTCAGCCACACACACAGATGGATGTCTGCCAGCAGTACTCCTGGTGGGCGGCTCAGCAAGGAAGCAGAGTGAGAAGCCTTCTCTGTCTGTGATGTTCTGATGTTCTCCTCTCTGCCACCAGGAGACTGTCCTTATATTCTCCTCTCTGCCACCAGTCCTTTATTAACATTACAAGGTCACAGGTAGTGACAGCATTACAGATAGTAGACAGGGTCCAGATAGGACAATGGGTTGGTCTGGGGAAAGGCAATTAACCAAGCCTTCTTATTGGCCTAAGGAAAGGCCTCTATAGCAAGCTCTCTATGATAATGAGAAGGAGGGAGAATGATGGCAGCTCCTCCCCTCAGAAGCAGACACAGGATGCTAGGAGATTTTTCCCTCACTAGAACGCCCATGTGGCTTAGCAACGTTGGGAATGGTACCCCCACAGTTATTCCCTGCCGGAGAATTGGGACCAAAAATCAGGTGCTAACACAGTGGTTAGGAAAAAATTCTGTCTTTCACTCACTCTTTCTCTGTCTCCCTCCTTCCCTTCCCCCCCCTCCTCCCCTCTCCCCGTTACCAAGCAGCTGGGTCTTCTCTCCCCATCTCCCACTGTCCATCCATTTGAAGAGTTTGGAGGCCCAGCATTTCATCCTTCCTTTGCTGTTCAGCATGCTACATGAACACGATACCAAAGATACACATGACCTATACTTCTGATTTGTGTCTGTTGTTCCTTCCCCATACAACTCAACTCCAGCCTATAGACAAAACGTGGTTCTAAACGTTGGGGTGGAAAACACAGTAATGGAAAATGTTCCTCCATCATCCCACATCATGGGGTGTGGCGATCTACCTTGTTACCCCTATTTATTTGGACCTCACAAGAAATCACGCCCTTTCCCTTCACGCTGCCACCAGGTATTCTCCTAATACCAGTTTATGTTATACACGTGTGCTGCCAACGCTAAGGGTTATAGAACTTAGGAATCAGAGGTTTAATTAAGTATTCTTTTATTGTCAAACAAATCATAAAGGTGAACTGTTTTAAGTGTTAACATGTATTGGATCATGTAGGCCAGTGGTTCTTAACCTTTGTTACTCAGGTGTTTTTGAACTGCAGCTCCCAGAAACCTCAGCCAGCAGAGCTGATGGTGAAGGCTTCTGGGAGTTGCAGTCCAAAAACATCTGAGTAACAAAGGTTAAGAACCAGTGATGTAGGCAATCACTTTTATTCCAAACTGCTGTATACTTTCAATCAATATCTCTCTTGTAGTGCTTATACTTTCATTCCTGCTTGTTCAATATTGTTTAAACTTCTCAATTTCCTCTCCTAACCCTCTCAGCTCAATTCACTAACCCTTCGTTCTCCTAAACCCTAACTGCCATTCCACTTCTCCCACTGTCTCTCTCTAACTGTCTAACTGACTCCACCCCTCCTGCCCTCTCCTTGGCTCCTCCCCCTTGAGCTTCTGTGATGGACAGGCAGGAATGACGTCACCTTTTGGCATTTCGCTACATGGGGTGAAAGTGATTTACCTTACTTTTCAGCTGAAAGACTGGTTTCCTTTCTCAGAGGTAGTTACCATGTGTGGCAGAGAGCATTCCCCCCCTTCTCTCCCAAGAAGATATCTTAGATGTTCTTCTTCAACGTGTTTGAAGAGAATCACTGATTCCGTTGTTGAACAGAAACATACTTTGGTTGAAATACTTGAACCATCTGTCAAACATCCGCACACAATTAAAAGACTATCTCTTACTTTTCTCATTAGGTGTCCGCCTGTATTTCAGTGTGTGCCCATTTAAGCATCCTTTTGCCCGTCCTTCATCACTGATGTTGATTCACGTCCGCCTACCCCCAGGATTTTCTGCTGCTTCCAATGTGGAAAAGCCATCAAAGGTCCACCGAGCCCTTTATACTAAAGGTAACTCCTGGGGACAAGAGTCTGTCATTCATTTAAGGCTGGCATAGCCATTCTTCTCTTTTAGGAGAAAAGTAATGAAGATGGTCTAGGAGATGGCGATCTACCATAGGTTAATGCATTCTTGTTATTTTGTCAGGTGTTCTACTAATGGCTGCTTCAGAAAATGAAGATAATGATATCCTGTGGTGCATTAATCATGACTCTTTCCCTTTTCAAAAGCCAATGATGGAAACACAGGTAAAACTATATATCATCATTTCGTTTTGAAACCTGCAGTCATGAAAGATGATCGTTGCTTTGGGTTCAGTCCAGCATTCCTTAGGTGACGCTTTTTTCAAACTGGCCTGTCTGCCCCTTCAAAACTGTGCCTTCTTGTCCCCTTCCATCCCTGCCGCAGCCTTTGGAGGTTCTGGAGCGTTCTTGGGTTCCTCAAGCCTGGTTTCAGGGTGTATTTTTGAGTGCCGATGTGTAATGAGGACAAGTGATGTGCCAGTTCCATTTCATTCAACTGTTCCACCAGCAGAAATCCACTTTTGGATCCTTTGTTTTTGTTTTGTTTGTTTGTTCGTTTTTGCTAGATTTTTTTTCATGTTCATCAATCTGGATATACCTTCAAGAGTCCCATACTACTTCTGATCTCTGATCCAGTTGTGACTTAACCTGGTTCTTTGCAGCATGCTTACAGAAAAGCATATACAGTGGTGCCTCGCATTACGACATTAATTCCTTCCAGCGAAATTGCTGTAGAACAAAAACGTCGTAATGCAAAAAGAAAAACCCATTGAAACGCATTAAAACCTGTTTAATGTGTTCCAAAGGGCTGTAAACTCACCGTTCAGCGAAGATCGTCCATAGGGCAGCCATTTTCGCTGCCTGTGCAGCGAGGAATCCGTCCCAGAAAACAGCGGGGGGCCATTTTGCTTACCTGGTGGCCATTTTGAAACCATCGATCAGCTGTTGGAAAATCATCGTTTTGCGAAGAATCAGTTCCCGAAGCAGGGAACCAATCATCGCAAAGCGAAATTCCCCCATAGGAAACATCATTTTGTGATCGCAAAAGCAATCGCAAAAAGTTTATCGTAATGCAGTTTCGTCATTAAATGGGGCAATCGTAAAGCGAGGCACCACTGTACTTTTTCCCATCTTCACCTTCTCTATGTGTAGCATGACATGTCCAAAGAGGGGAGATTTCCTGATTGCATGCAGGTTCTCCTCATCATTTAAGAACCCCAGTTGTCCAGGGCTCTTGCTCACAGGTAAGAGTCTAGATACATGCAGGACACATCTTTTCAATCCATCACTCTCCACATGAAGAAAGTGACTAGGGTGTGGAATGCCTAAATGGGCATGTTGCCAAGAATCAGGTAAGCAGCGATTGTGAATCAGGCTTTTCCCTTCTCTTCCAACATTGGGTGTCTGACTACCTTATGTTGCAAGAGAGTTCGGAGCTACATCCCATGCTGTCTCATTTTTCGCTTTCTGCTGCTAGCTGGCTTGAGTTTTTGGAAAATACAGTGGTGCCTCGCACAGTGAGGTTAATCTGTTCCGGATTAACCCTCGCTGTGTGAAAGCATCGTTGAACGGGGCAGGAAAAGCCATTGGAACGCATTAAACATGGTTTAATGCGTTCCAATTGGGCCGAATATTCACCGTTCAGCGATGCTTCCCTATGGCCGGCAGCCATTTTCGCGGCCCCCCCTCGCTTTACGAGGGCGCAAAAACGCTGCGCGCGGCCATTTTGGGGCTTCCGGCAGCCATTTTGTAGCCGCGGAACAGCTGATTGGCGGGGCGCAAAGCGAAGGTCGGTAAGCTAACCGCTTACCGACCTTTGCTCTGCGATTTTCGCCCTATGCAGGCACCATTTTGCGATCGCAAATGCGATCGCAAAACCGGCCTCGTAGAGCGAATTCATTGCTCTACGAGGCGCCCGTTGTGCGAGGCACCACTGTACAGATATGAACTTCATTCCATTTGTCGTCGCCCGTTATGGTACAAAATGACTACATAAAAACCTAAGGGTAAGAAGACAAACTTGCACAGGCCTAGACAGGGACTCATAGGCAACTGTCTTAGTGGAAACATAGGATTAGGATGCAAATAACGTTCATGTAATTTATTGTATTGATTTTTTCCCCAGATGAAAACATCTGTTGATGGACATTCCTGGGCTCTTTCTGCAGTAGATGAGCAGAAAGTTCAGAAGATATTAAGCCCATTAAATAAAGATTCAATTCCGATAACAGACTATCCCGTGGTGGTGCAGCAGCATATGCTACCACCGAAGAAGTTTGTTGTCCTTTCAGCACAGGTATGTAGATCAGTTTTTAGTTGAAGGGTTCACTTCTTTACCTGTTTACTTTGCTAATGAGATTTTGGGGCATACCTTGGAATAGACATGTACAGTAGGATTCCATATCTGCAGAGGATTGGTTCCAAGGCCCCCTCCTGCAGATGCTGAAAAATGCATATTATAACACTCTTTTAAATACATATCATAGTTTCTAGCTCCCTCTAATGGCCAGTTCTGGTAACTTCATATTTAGAAATAGATATTTCTAGGATTTTTATTTTAATATTTTTAATATTTTCAGACTGTGGATAAGCAAATCAGTGGATACTGATCCCACAGATAAGGGAATCCTGTTTTATAGAATAATGCTGTAAAATATAAATGTCAATGAGGAAGAAACAAGAAATGTAGTAACTTCAGGTGATCTATTGTGAGGTACTTAATCTGTATTCAGTATAGTCTACTACACCTAAATGTATTCACTTCTAGAGATATTATAACCTATGGCTCTTGACATAGGAATGTGCTGGAAATATTTGATTTAATGTGCAAGAGATCATTGCCTGTGGTAGCACTAATGTATGTTTTTTTCTTGTGATTATTTGCAAGCCTTTTTTTAAAAAATGAGAATAAATTTTCAGAAACCAGGTTTCTTTTTCAGAATAGAATTTACACAGTACTGTACTGTTTCTAATCTCAGCTGGAGTTGGGTGCACAGTGTGGGGTGTGTCACATTTTCATATTTGTTGTCCACTTTTGTAAAATGGGATCTTTTAATTGTTTGTATAGGTGTAAAAAGCATTGACCTTTTAAACAAGCAAAAATGCTCCAAGAATTATCATCTGTTTTTTCTTGTCTCTTTTAAGGGGAGTTTTATGTTTCATAAGCTGAGACCTGTAGATCAGCTGCGACATCTTTTTGTATGCAATGCTGGTGGGGACGGGGAAGATATTGAAAGGTTTTTCAAACTTCACCCGGTAAGAATATTTTAATCATTGTTGAAGTCTCATGTTTCATCACTAATTGATTTTTTTTTTAAAAAAACCCTTCCTTTGTCTGCTGTACCCTCCCACTTGTTGATGAGATATTTTATAATTTGGAAGCTTACCTAACCGTAGTGGGGGCAACTATTCCAGAAAGTTAATGCTGTATATAAAACATTTCCATGTGTTTTCGGGACTCATGTTTCTTTACGGCACCTAATGTACGACTTCTTTATTCCCTATTATAATGTACTATGCTGTGGAAATAATGTAATAATGTGCATTTTCCCCCAGTCTTTGTAATCTGGAAACCACAATCAATGTTGTGTTGCACTTAAATCATAGAATCGTGGAATAACTGAGTTGGAAGGGGCTTATAATGGCATCAAGTCCCTAAAGGAGATAAAAGCTCTATACTTGGTTAGGTGAATGATTTAACTAATTCAACATGTTACTGGCTGGATGCTTCCCAGAGGCTTGCAAGCAGAAATGAAGCTGAACACTTCTCTGAACCTGGAAATTTAATGTGTCTGTCACAGCGCATATTTGCTAATTAATAATTCTCTGCTGTCAAATTGATTCTGACTTACAGCAATCCTTGGCAGGTTTTCCTTGGTATAAATAACTCAGAAGCTGTTTACCAGAGCCTTTTTCTGTGCCCTGATAGTGCTCAGCTTGTCTAAGACTACACAAGCTCTTCTGGAATGTGTTTAATTTTTAATAGCCTGTTTTGATTAGTGTCCATTGCTATATTTACAGTAATAGATTCTCTGAGTGAGTGAGTTACTAAGTGTGATCCCAACTCATTGCGCTGGTTGAAATAGCCAATGCTCTGAAAAATGCAACTGATGTCTCCAGTTTGGGGCTGACAAGTTACGGTCTCTACTGTAGTTGGGAAGGGAATTTGTACCGACAGGCAAACCTGTAACAGTTTGGGACTCAGCACCAAAATCTGTTAGCAGATTCAAGCAGGCAAAATCAAGATAATTTATCATAATGATAATTTTTTTAAAATCTGTTGGGCTTTAGAAATTATGAAAAAACAAGGTACTTGTTGGCTTGTAGGTGCACACGTTGGGCAGCAGCAAAAAAGTTCAGAGCAAGTTGAACAAATTATTTTTCTCTTTAAAATCTGTTTTGAGAGCATGGTTTCCTTGGAAGACAAGGCATTCAAGAAAGGCTTAATTTGAAACCATTCGTAGAAAGAGATTTCTGTTTTCTTTCCCTGCTGGTAGCTTTCTCCTTGTGAAGAAGGACAATATTAACAGGACAATATGCTACATAGGGAGCCTTGCCACTTCGATCAGGAAGTCTGCTTTTTTTTTCAAGATCACTTGTTATTTATTAAGAATCCATGTGCAGCAGAACATTTCTTCAAGCTCTCTCTTTTCCAGACAAGGGCAGAGCTAGGACTCTCTCACTTTCAGATCAGCTCTTTCTTCAATGCCTTCGGGATGCTGTGTGCTGTTTCAACAAGAAGTGATATGGAAAAACTGCACCAGCTCAGAGTTTATGTAATGAACATGTTACTTACAGTGTGTAAGTAACATCTGTTGGTAACAGAATGTTTGTAGCTGCAGACCTGGGGTCAAACACCTAGAAATCTTCATAGACATCCTTCAGTCTCGAGAGACTATGGTAACATGCTCTGTATGGAGGACTTGGAACAGCGTCTATTTTACGCTGTATGCAAAGCTGGAGTGTCCTCTCCAGAGCAGGAAGCCTGGGTAAAATAATATGGAGGATAGGCTGTTACCCAAGCAGCAAATCCCCCCTCTCCACGTCACTGAAATAGTCCAATGGAAAGAGTATTGGCAATTATTTCCAAGTGCAGAGCTGGAGGTTGGGAGTTCTAGTCTCCACTGTTCCTTCAGGGAGAAGAGCCGGCCTGTGTGGCTTTGGGCAAACTGCTCAGTCCCAGGGAGCCCTCAGAAGAAGGGAAGAATAAACCACTTCTGAGTACTGTCTATCTAGGAAATCCTGAAAAGAGTTGCCATAAGTCAGAACTGACTTGGCAGGATATGATGATTCTATCCAAGTATATATTTATTTCCTGCAGTTTGTGCTTCAGTGCTTCTTGATTTCTGGAATATGTTAGAGTTATATCACGACTAGAGGGACGTGATGGCGCTGTGGGTTAAACCGCAGAAGCCTCTGTGCTGTAAGGTCTATAGATCTTCAATTGTAAGATTGAATCCACATGACAGATTGAGCGCCCGTCGCTTGTCCCAGCTCCTGCCAACCTAGCGGTTTGAAAGCATGCAAATGCGAGTAGATAAATAGGGACCACCTCGGTGGGAAGGTAACAGTGTTCCGTGTCTCAGTTGCACTGGCCGCGTGACCACGGAAGATTGTCTTCGGACAAATGCTGGCTCTATGGCTTGGAAACGGGGATGAGCATCACCCCCTAGAGTCAAACACGACTGGACAAAAATTGTCAAGGGGAACCTTTACCTTTTTATATCACGATAGCTGTGATTTTACTTTGTTGTGATGGTTCTTTCAGGGAGAACAAGCTTGTGCTACCTGCCTTATCCTTGCCTGTTCTTCTGCTGCTTGTGATAGAGAAGTATCAGGTTGGGCTACCCGAGCGTTTTTCAGGTAAAGGTATTTGGATTCGTGTGATGTCAGGACATGATACGTAACTTGCAAGTCTGTTGCATCATAACAGTAAATGGGTTGTGTTGGGCTGTTATTGAAACACTGAAATTGTTAGATGAAATTTTGCACAAAGTGTCATCATGGCATAGTTTATTATTGTGCGGAGCATAGTACAGTACTTTTTGCATGTTGTTAAGACAGATCTAAAATTTGGTCGGTAGTTTTAACTACCACTAGGAAGGAAACACCTTAATTGTATCTTACATATGTTGTAAAAATTGCCGTTCTTAACTGGAAGGCACTCGGTTATCTCATTCAGATGCAGTCATTCTAACATATGTTGTAAAATTGCCTTTCTTAACTGGGAGGCACTCGGTTATCTCATTCAGATGCAGTTATTTCATCCTTAAACTCTGACTTACTAAGGCAAAAACATCATGGCTTATATACTCCACCCCGCATCTATTCCAGTGCAGCTGCAAGGAGGAGATCAAAGTTCTCTCATCATTTTTTTGGCTGACTGTAGTTTGTCATATACAGTACTGTGATTCTGGGCAAGTCTTAACTTTGATTTGTTGAAACAAGCTAAATGGAGTCTTCAGTTTATGAAGTTTCCATAAACCAGACCTAAAATGAACCACAGTTCAAGTGTGAACCAATGTCAAACAATTTGATTTGTTGAAGCAAGCTAAATGGAGTCCATAAACCAGACCTAAAATGAACTACAGTTCAAGTGTGAACCAATGTCAAACAAAACTAAATTTAAAAAAAACATAATTAGCAAACATTTACCTCATGGTGAAAAGGAAAATGGTGGCGCTGTGAGTTAAACCGCAGAAGCTTCTGTGTTGCAAGGTCAGAAGACCAGCAGTCGTAAGATCAAATCCACATGACGGCGTGATCCTCTGTCGCTTGTCCCAGCTCCTGCCAACCTAGCAGTTCGAAAGCATGTAAAAAATGTGAGTAGATAAATAGGTACCACCTTGGTGGAAAGGTAATGGCATTCCGTGTCTAGTCGCACTGGCGTAACCACAGAAACTCTTCGGACAAAAGCTGGCTCTATGGCTTGGAAACGGGGATGAGCACCGCACCCTAGAGTCAGACACGACTGGACTAAATGTCAAGGGGAACTTTTACCTTTACCTTACTCCATTGTGACTGCACCGGAGTGGGAAGTCTACAAGCACAAGGTTTATCTAGGCTCCTTCTTGGAATAATGTGCCATAGTTTATCATGAATGCAGCTAGTCTTTTTATTTTTAAGCAAACCAGTATTCTTTGCATGTTTGACTCAGTTTGAAAATGATGTTAAAAGTGGTTGCCCTGTTACAACAAGATTTTCGTTTTGTAATCTCAGATACGGTGGTGAAGCACAATTGCGATTTTCATCTCTCATTCCTCCTCCAAGTAATGTCGGATCTATACTGGGTTCTCCTGTTCCACCGGGTAAGATGTAAATGTAATTACAACAACTCTGTTCTTATATGCCATATGCTTACCTTTTGGCCGATGTTTCTTTACATGCAGTACATTTAGATTTTTCCTTCTTTGTAGTGTTTAAATTCTGTGATTCACTGTTTCCAACGCAGTAGCACATTTTCAAAAAACATACGAGTATCCGCATCAACAATTATGGCTAGCAGGAATCAGTCCATTAATCTGTGTTTGTAACCCTACTCCTCGAATTTCTGTATCTCTGGGATTGAATGCTGGAAAAGTGAGCACACGAAAGGAAAATGTTTCTGAAAAAGTTCACTTTCGTCTTCCCTTCTTCCCCAATTCTTTTTTCCCAGAGAGCAATGCAAAGACCTGCTCTCTTCCTTTCTTTTCTGTAAATCTGTTTTGGGATAGGTACCTTCTGGCCCAAGGAATATATCTCCTAGCAGACCATTGTGGGAAATGGCTATGGAATAGCAGAAGACACTGAAAACATAATTTTTTAAAATATGGTGCCCTAAAAGTGTACTAAGTTATCTGGGCGGTACTGAAATTGTAACTTCTGTAGTCTCTCAAAGCTGTACCCATTTTATTGACAGAAGGATTTGTGTTATATTAAATATACATATATTGCTCTTCTTCCATTTAGGTTCCCCTCTTCCTCCTGGTAGCCCATACCCTAATCCAAGCTTTTTGGCAACGCCAACACCAGGTATTTCCGTGAAATAATTCTTGTGTTTACTTCTATTTCTTTTGGCATTCTCATTTTCTTCTTATTGAAAAGATATGTTGGTTTTTTTCAGGTTTACAGCCTCCTGGTATGTCAACTCCAGTCCATGCTTCAGGCGGTCAGATGTTCCAGCCTGGTGCTTCCACAAATGGCATGATGAACCCCGAGATAGTGTTTTCTGGAAAACACAATGGTATCTGCATTTATTTCGCTCGAATTATAGGGTAAGTTATTCTTGGAAATGAAAAGCGTATGTATTGTACAAAGCCAGCAAACCTCCGTTCATGTCGACTAGGCTTAGTGGAAGTAAGCCAACTTCAAGCACATGTTTTCAAGGCCGTTTTTGTTAATTGTAGCTAAGATTAACCAGTTCAGTTTATAGATAGCATAGTAAACAGTTCTTTATACTGTGGAAGCTTTCAGCTCCTCTTTGTAGAGGAGGAATGAGGCAGCCTGAAGGCTTGCTTAGCACTATATGTCAACTGATTCACTTTGTTTACATTTTAAATGTTATAAATGAAGAGAAACCCTTTTTTGTAACTATCATGATGGACAACAATGAAAAACGACTTACAGTGGTGCCTTGCATAACGAGCGCACCGTTGAACGATGAATCCGCCTTGCGATGTGGATTTCCCCATCGCTAGTGCGAGGGCATGCTCATTTTTGTTTTTGTTAATTGTGGCTAAGATTAACCAGTTCAGTTTATAGATGGCATAGTAAACAGTTCTTTATACTGTGGAAGCTTTCAGCTCCTCTTTGTAGAGGAGGAATGAGGCAGCCTGAAGGCTTGCTTAGCACTGTATGTCAACTGATTCACTTTGTTTACATTTTAAATGTTATAAATGAAGAGAAACCCTTTTTTGTAACTATCATGATGGACAACAATGAAAAACGACTTACAGTGGTGCCTTGCATAACGAGCGCACCGTTGAACGATGAATCCGCCTTGCGATGTGGATTTCCCCATCGCTAGTGCGAGGGCATGCTCGCATTACAATGGGGGAACAGGTGTTCGGCGGTTCCAAAAAGGCCGCCAGAACACCAAAAATGGCCGCCGGGACACCCAAAATGGCCACCAGAACATGGGAAAACATTGGAGAACGGTGAGTTTTGGGCCCATTTGGATGTGTTTCCCCGTTCCATTTAATGATGTTTTCCCATAGCATAGGTTAATCCAGAACGGATTAACCTCGCTACGCGGGGCACCACTGTATTGTATAATTGTCAGTGTTGTTTTTATACAAAAATATAAGTGACGTATTTCCTAAATTAGGCATTCTCTAGGTTTCCAGGTCTGTTGCTTGTTATAGCTTTCAGTGGATTTTTCCACCCATGTACTGCATCAAGGGGATGATACACCTTCACAGTTGTATGTGCAAATGTTGGTGTTACTGTTCTAAATTTGACAGTTCACAGTGAAGATCTGAGGCACGTCCTAATTGTAACCTAAGTGATGTACTAGGCAGTTGGCTGGACACTTTACTGAGTTGAAAAACTTAGCTGCAGAGCCAGGGTTTGAGTTTCCAGTTCCCCGGGTTGTTGCCCAGGTGATAGCAAACTGCACACTCCCAAGACACCCCCAGAAGAAGGGGCAGGTACCATATTTTACCGTGTATACAACCCCCCCCAATGTATAAAACAACCCCCAAATTTTGACCCTTGATGGTGGCAAAGGAGCAATTAATGGGCAACTGCTCCTCCTCCATTTCTTGATCCGGCTGCTCCACTGCCCCCCGCTCATTACCTCCTCCAGTGCGACTGCCAACTGTCAGGGCTCACCTCCAGCTCATGTCGCTGCCTTGGCCCCTGCCCTAAGGAGATTATGGGAGGAGGTGATCTGGCGGTGGCGGCAGCAAGAGGCACCCCAGCGCGTGTGAATGCTCCTTCGCCTCCACCTCCTCCTGCTGCTACCTTGGGGCCACCAGAGGGGACAAGCTGTGAGCTCTGGAAGAGGAAATTGGGTGGCAGCAAGAGGCGCTGAGCGACTGGTTCCTTCTGTGTATAAAACGACACTCAATTTTCCTCTAATTATTTTAGGAAAAAAGTGTCATTTTATACACAGTAAAATACAGTAAATCGCTTCTGGGTGGCCTGTCCCTACCCCCCCCCCCCCGAAAAGGATTGCTGTAAATTAGTGTCACCTTGACGGGACACAATTATTATCTGCAGTAGGCTAGGTTGAATGGAAGGCTCAGGTAACTTCTTGATATGGGAGTGTTTGTAACATGGCAAAAGCACATGCTTTGCATGCCGAGGATCCCAGGGTTCATCATCAGCTATGGCCACAGAACTCCCGAAGGGACTCCCAACTGTAATGAACTAAAGGAGCTAATGATCTGAGTTAGGCGCTCTTGGTGTGTGTTTAACCTGCTAAGGGATGCAGTTATTATAGTTGTACTGTATTCTGTGGTCTATGCCATAAGTAACAAGGCGAAGAAAACGTAACAGTTTGGTATGTCTAAATGTACTAGTTATTCTTTGCTTTCACTGGTTTGAAGAACAGCTGGTTAGAGAAAACGGAAGCAATGAAAGAAAAAAGGTCCATTCCTTCCCCACCCAACCCCAGTGGTATAGTACAAAACATCAGGGTTACATGTTCTTGCTTTACAGAAACATTTGGGATGGAAGTATCGTGGTGGAGCGAGTTTTCAAGAGTGGCAATAAGGCGATCGTCACTGTAAGTGCTCGTGGGAATTAATGCCTATTTCTTTCAAGACTCTTCCCACTTAGTTGTTGACACTGATGTCTTTCTATAGCAGACGGGGCATACGTTTGTTTGTAGTCAAAGAAGTATTGCATCAGAAATAATCGGTTGGCAGTTTCTAGATGGTGCTGTGTGATGCTGGGCCCTAAAGTTAATGTGGCCTTTCTCTCTGCCTCCCTTTCCAGCCAGCCACGTGGGAAGGGGCAGACTCCTCTTACCTGGAGATTTTCACCTCCTTTTCCATTTTAGCTTCTCCTCCATTTTTTAACTCCCCCTATATATTTTGCTTACCTGCATGAAGTTACATTAAGAGGTGCCTCTGTTGTATAACAAGCCATTGTGGCATCTAAAACTTTCAACTTCTGCTTCACAGACATCTTGCTGAACAGTGTGTTTGGTTCAAAGTTGGGTCCTTTTCTTCATTTTTTTTGTGAGGCCCCTTCCTTTCAGAACAATGATTTAGGATTTGATTGAAATATTTTTCTCTTATAATCCTTATATGCTGTATTATCATTCTCATCATTTGTTTTTCACTTTCTGAATGTTTTTGTCTATTGTTTGTTTATATGTTTATATGTATCATTTATTATTTATGTTTATTTATTTTATTATGTCGTAAACCACCCAGAATAGTGTGGTTTGCAACATAGTAAAATAACAGGGCAGTATATAAATTAAATTAATAAAATTAAATTAATAAATCAATCATGCTTTTTTGTTGACTAGAATGGCAGGGTCAGATGGGATTTAGAGCCATAACATTAGGGGAGCTGGATCCAGGTTCACTTCAGTGAAATGTGGTTCACAAACGTCTTCGCACAGTATTTTCACTATAATCTTGTTATTTTAACAAGCTTAACTCCAGAATTAGCATCTCTCTTTCACTCTTGGTACAACTCTGAGACATGCATGTTATTTCCTTATTTAGGTTGAAAGTAGTGTTCCCCCACAAGTGTTAGAATCTGTATTGCAAGATTTAAAAGGGCTGCAAGATTTTTTGGATAGAAATTCTCAATTTGCAACAGTAGGATCCCTTAGAAATCCCAGGTAAGACTAAGAATTCTGTGAACCAAAACAATTTGTGGAAGTTATAGCTTTGAGAAATGTATTATATAATTTGTAGAGAAGTCTGATTTGTTTTTCTGCGCTAATGAAGTTGTCTGTTTCCAGTATTTGTCGTAATGTTTAAGAATATTTGATTCTTTATTTGTGCTTATATCTGTTTCTTACATTCTGATGGATCACTGAGGGAGTTGGAGGAGAATTAACAGCAACATTATATTATATCACTATTATTGTATTATAAGAAAAATAAAATGTAATAAAACAGGAACAAGTTGATAAGGAACCGTCAGTTATTAGCAGCAGCAGTTGTAAAAATACTAAATTGTTGGGAGAAGTATTATGTTGATGTGTAATAGCTTGTTATATTGGGGTGAGTGGCTCTGTTACTCCTCCAAGCTGTATTTTGTTGGTTAGTATAATGTAGATCTTTCACCTAAACCTAGAGGTTGGGAATTCGATTCCCTGCTGTACCTCCTTGACAGTGGCTGGACTTGATGAGTCATAGAGTTCCTTCCAGCTCTGCAGTTCAGTTGATGAGTCATAGAGTTCCTTCCAGCGCTGCAGTTCAGTGACGGTGATATTCCTGTCACTTTAAACACATAGCAGCCCCAAAGGTATGTTTTCTAAATTTTTGAAATCTTTCTTTTTTTCCCCCTTGATGGAAGCTTCACGACTCCAGCTATAAACACACAGCAGCCCCAAATCTATGTTTTCTAAATTTTTGGAATACTATATACGTGATTTCTTTCTTTTTTTCCCTTGATGGAAGCTTCACGACTCCAGCTAGCCTGCAGCAACGATTACTTGGGTACATGAGGTCTGATGGTGGAGTTTCTCAACAAATGCAACAAGAGACCCAGAGGAAGTTTCATGGTAAAGAAGCAGCTTGTTTTTCTAAATTTTTTGTGCTATCTCCACTTGTCAGGAAAAAAAAATCTGAAGGCAAGTGCTCTGCAACACTGCTCATTTTCCTGAGGAACAATGTTTAGGGGTGAATTACTCCACCACCAAGAGGCAGCTTGGCTCTCAGGAATGATAAGTGGCAGGCAGATCACCCAAATCTGCTCCACAACTAATAATCCAAAGAAAATAGATGAATGACATACATTTGCCTGAAGCCAACAATGCTCTGAAATCTAGAATGATGTTAGAGTCTAGATTTTGCTGAACATTTTTATGGATCTCCTTCTAGGAACCTCTCGGTTGCAATGTCTGCAGACTCTCCTTCCCTGGCTCCCCCTTTTGTAGTTTATGAATGGAAAGGAAAAAGGCAAAGAGAATGTTTGATTATTAATAGGTTACTAATTCATTTCTCTTATGTTTTGCTAATTAAATGTCCACGTAAGCCACTCTTGTATGTTTCTCTTACAGAAAGGTAAGAACATAACTGCCTCAACGATGTATGATATCTGGTATTTTCCATGCCTGTGGTTACTAATTCATTTCTCTTATGTTTTGCTAATTAAATGTCCACCTAAGCCACTCTTGTATTTTTCTCATATAACAGAAAGGTAAAAACATAACTGCCTCAACGATTTATGATATCTGGTATTTTCCATGCCTGTGGAATATAGATCACTTCAAGTCAAAGCCTGTGGGTCAGAAAGCGACCTGGTAGAAAGAGTTCTTCCCCAGGATTATGACATAAGAGATAGCTTATACCTTATTTATTTATTGAAAGTAGTTGTATTCCGCCTTTCTCCTTAAAAGGACCCAAGGTGGTGACTCTTCCCCCTTGGGGGAAGAAGGCCAGAATAATATGCATCTAGAGGTATTGCAGAGTATTGAATTTTTGATTTAATTTCTCCTTTTGTTAAACAGCAGAAATCCAGAAAGGAGAATATCTTCAAATTCCTCCGACAGTCCACCCCTTTTTTCAGTAACTAACATTTACAGTCTCTGTAACTCACTCTGAGACGTTAGTAGAAAAAATAAAAGCATTTCATCATTTACAGTACTGAACAGCAAACAGCAACCTAACAACCAACAAACTGACTGACTTTAACAGACTTCAAGAGAGGGTGGGGGAAAAGGACTTTCAGCCCAGAGGTGGGGCTCTTTTTAAATTCTGAGGCAGGAAGGAACAATAGGATAGTATTGGAAAGATTGACAGTCACCCCAGCCAAGAAAAATTCCTCCCATTTAAACAAACTAAAGGCAGCATGCGAGGTTGTGAATACTCTTAACATCTTCATGCCGTGTAAGTGCTGTGATTCTTTGATGCATTTGACAAGATTTTGTGAAGCAGGAAAATGAGATGCTCCTAAACCGTGGCTGATGGAGATCAGTTTTATCTTTTAAAAAAAATCTGTTTCTGTTTTGCAGCTGAAGCACAGTTATGGGAGAAGGTCTCTCTACAGGGCATCCAGCAGCTTGTTCAGAAAACCTGCCAGGCTTTGGCGTTATGGAAGCTTCTTTGTGAGCACCAATTTAATATTGTTGTAGGTGAGCTTCAGAAGGTACGTGTTGGGCCACTCCTAGCTTTTTGGCCGAGAAAACTTGCAGGCCTTTATAGCTAAAAGCAGAATGTTTCTTTTAGAATTTTCTGGAAATGAGGTGGCACTTACAGTTTAGAGGTCTTGTGAAATGTCAGTGTGTGTCTGACGTTTAAAATAACCTGCAAAATACTGGCATTGTTCCAAATTTCAGTGGACATGCCTATACTTATAAAGTAATAATGGAGATTATATTTAACACTAACAAATTTGAATATATTGAATAAAGCCTTATAATCTAAAAAAGGAAGGGGAACATACTATCATATGTGATGGGCATGTGAAGAGAGACCGAAAGAATGGATGATTACATTTAATGAAATTAAAGAAATTCTAGGGACAGATATATGCAAAGTTGTCCAATGTTAGTAATGGAAACTGTCAACTAGATAGGGGGAAATGGAACTACTGTATTTTTTGCACCATAAGACTCACTTTTTTCCCACAAAACAGGGGGGTGGAAAGTCTGTGCATCTTATGGAGCGAAGAAAACAGATTATATTTTCCTGTTTTCTTCTCCTAAAAACTCGGTGCGTCTTATGGAAAGGTGCGTCTTATGGAGCGAAAAATACGGGTAACTGTTACGTTAACTGCAGCTAGATTAATATTTGCAAGGAATTGGAAAAATAATAATCAATTGATGTTGGAAGAATGGTATAATGAGATGTGGACTCTAGCTATTAACAATAAAACTTGTTAATTGAAAGTTAGAAAAGGATTATTGAAGGAGAGTAGTTTTAATGGGATCTGGAACTCTTATATGGAATATGTATTTACAAAACAAAGGTTATACCCCAACACAAGAATCATTATATTTTTGGAAAGAGACGGACCACATGATACAAATTAGACGAAACATATTGATGAGCTTATATAGGTATAAATTTATATTCCTGATGGTGGTGGGTTACACTGTATATTTGTGTTGTGATTCTAGTTGTCATTTATGTTTTTAATTTTTTTAAAAAAATATATACCTATGTTTGCTTTTTTATTTTATTTTATTTTATTATTTTTTTGCACAGGAACTTCAAGAACGTTTAAAGGTTACTACTTTCAGAGACTTAGTAATTAGAGATAAAGAGCTAGCGGGAGCCCTCATTGCTTCTCTAATCAACTGTTACATCAGAGACCATGCTGCTGTTGATGGCATTAGTTCACACTTGCAAGACATTTGTCCACTGCTCTACAGCACAGATGATGCTATCTGTTCAAAGGTACAGTATAGTCAGTGACATAAATCAAAACAAGAGTGGTTGGGATGGTTAATTTTTATGGAAGTAATGTTTTTATTGAGAAACCGTGAGAAGTCGTAGACCAGAGGTGTCATACTCAATTTCATCTTGGGCCGCATCAGAAACCAGATACTGGTTGTATCTGTAAGGCTATATAAATGTATCTACTCTTTAACATATTAAATATAATCTTGCTCATTTGATTATTACTGGTTTTAGTAATAGCGTAAGTAATAACTAGCTCTGAAAGTAAAAGCCTTTGATCAAACTGTAGAAATAATGGCAAGCAGATACAGTGGTGCCTCGCACAACGATTGCTTCATACAACGATGAATTCACACAGCGATGGGTTTTTTTGAGGAATTTCCCCCATCGTTTAACGATGTTCTCTATGGGGGAATTTCACTTAACGATGTCCCTTTTTGCTCATTTAAAAGTGTCTTAAAATGTTTGAAACCTGTTTTAAATGCTTGGATTCCATAGTGCACCTTGTGAAACATGTGCAAACTTAATTTGGTTTTGTTCTGAGTCTTCATTAATTTTTGGTGATTTTTTAATTTTCCCCATTTAAATCAATTGAATGGACAGTTCAATGCATTTAAATAGGGAAAACAAAAAATCACCAAAAATTAAGGACGACTCAGAACAACACCAAATTAAGTTTGCATAGGGTTCAGGAGGTGGGCTAACGATTGCAAGCATTTAAAACCTGTTCCAAACATTGTAAGGCACTTTTACAGGAGCGAAAAAGGACTTCGCAAAGCCATTGAAATGTATTGAGTCGGCTTCAATACATTCCAATGGAGGAAACATTGTTTCACTCAACGTTGTTTCCTATGGGTTTTCTCACTTAGAGACGGCAATCCGTTCTAATTGGAACGGATTAACCGGTTTTCAATGCATTCCTATGGGAAATGGTGTTTCACAGAACGATGTTTCACACAACGTTGATTTTTTTGGAACCAATTAACATCGTTGTGTGAGGCACCACTGTACTCAAATGTACAACTATTGTACAGTTTATTGAAAAGTGAGCTTTAGTAACACCCGTTAACACCCGCTCAACAGCCACCCACCCATGTTTGTTTGTTTTTTTAATTATTCACGGAAGTCTCCTACCTTTCCCTCGTGCTTGCCACGGCCCTTGGCCCTTGTTATCACCTGGCTCCTCACTCACTTCCGTAACCGATGCGGGAGAGGAGGCAGACATGGCCACTGCTTGGCGACACCATCAAACAGTCCTTGCTGAGAGCCAAAAGAATGGGAGTGGGCAATAGCAAGGACTACATTTCCCAAGGTGCTGTATGCCTCCCAAGCAGCTGAACTTTCTTACTTTTTGCTGCTTGGAATGCTGGGATTAGAAATCCCACTGGGCGGATTCCCAGGATCCTTCTGGAGTATTATGGGTCACCGAGTAAGCGCCTGCACATTGTATGCTGCTCATTAGCAGGCAACACTGCGCGGGCCACATGAAACGGCCCAAATGGCTGGATTCAGCCTTGAGTTTGACATATGTGTCATAGAGTGTGTCAGATGAGATCTGAGTTCAGATCCTATCTTGCCATGGAAGCCCTCTGGCAGAGTAACAATGGTCATGTATCCCTTGAACATTTTCCATACCCTACAGACCCTACAGTATTAGAATCACCATAATTTAGTCACTACTTGATGGCTCATAATAACACCTTCTAACTGTCCTTTTAATGCTGTGGTTAGTTTCAAAACATGTCAGCATCACACCAAGGATTATGGAGGAATCTTACTTAAATTTACTGTATTTATTTATTTATTCATTCATTCATTTAAGATGGTTTCATCCTGGCTTTCTCCTTAAGGAGGACACAAGGTGGCTTACATCATTAAAAGACAATACGGTATTTAAAAGCTAGAAATGGTACGTACACCAATATTAAAAAAGAATTAGAGAAATACCACATGGAAAATGGAAAACAGAATCAACAGCACAAACGCATTCTAAGTGGCAAGGCAAAAAACTGCACTTATCCATTTGGGTTAAACAATGGCTAAGTGAGAGAGTAAGCGAAGATTCAGGGTAACTGAAAATGAATTCTGCTGTTCTTGTCCCAGTGAGCCTGTGGTTCACGACACTTTCTTAAGTGTTCAGGTCTGTCTTGCTGTGCCATGATTTAGCATGACGTGTCTATGCAAAAGTCTTGTACTATTTTCCTTTTAAAATATCTTTTAAGTATCTTTCATATTGATTATTTCTCACTCTCAAGGTAACAGGTACTCAAGATTGTGGTTGTACACTTAAACGGCCTCACTGAAGGGAGTAGAATTTGCTATGATTAGATTTTTATTATGAACGTTTGTTAAAAAAGCAAAACTGCAGGTTGGTTACTACAGGGTTTGTGTTTCGTTTTTGCATAAAATGGAGTAACAAAATCTGCCAGAGTATTTTTAAAAGAACTTTTTTTTAAAGGTACCTTGCTGCAAATTACTTCCCTGCATGGAAATCCACTTCTGTGTTTTTAATAGATGAATTAAAAAGATTTTTTTCTGAGATCCTGTTGCTTATGGTCATAAGTTGCAAATAGAGTAGGCCTATTAAATCTGTGCGAATTTGAGGAGTCAACTCCTCTGTAAATTCCACAGATTCAGTGGGCCTACTCTAATTGTAAGTGACTAGGCTCAGCAATCACATTTCAGACATTATGTGTGACACATGCAGAGGCATTCATTTCAGTAGATAAACATGTATTGCAGAGGCTGTATGGAGAATATGCCCTCTTGGAATACAATGATTTTATTAACTTTTCCTTGAAATTTGTATGTGATGAAGCTCAGATGCGGTACAAAACCTTTGATCTACCATTCTCTCTTGCTAGGCAAATGAATTACTCCAGAGGTCCCGACAAGTTCAGAACAAATCTGAGAAGGAAAAGATGCTTAGAGAGTCCCTGAAGGAATATCAGAAGATTAGCACCCAAGTGGACCTTGCAGATGTGTGTGCTCAGTATAGGCAAGGTGAGCTGCAGGCATGTGATGAGACGTTTCTATGTCAGGGTGCCTACCCACTTTTTTTTTTCCATATCACCTATTGTACAAATACCAAAGCAGTTACTCAAATGAGAAATTCAAAGATATTGATATAAAATAGGGGCTCTTAAGGTGAAAAATACCATAATTTTCCATGTATAAGACACCCTCCACTTTTCTAATCCAATATTAAGAAATCTAAGTGAGGATTAGCAAGTGTAGGGGGAAAGGGATCAAAGCGCTGCAGGATCACTTTGATCCCTGCTTTCCCCTCCACTTGTTTTCTCTCCTCGGCTTACTTCCATGTATAAGACGTCCCTCAATTTTTAGTTTAAAGATTTTGGACAAAAGTATAGTGTTATACACAGAAAAATACGGTATATTTGAATTTCTATGCCGTTGTTTTTGTTTGTTTGTTTGTTTTTTGATGATGGCAGTCCTTTCCATCCACTGGGAGAAGGCTGAATTACTTCCAGAAGTCTAGGGATGGCACTGGCCATTGATCCTCTCCGTGCCTTTGCTCCACCCCTCCCATAGCGGGCAAGTGATGCAATTTGCCATTAGGAACCAATTAAATGAGAGTGTTGCCAATTACAAAATGGTTGCCTCTTCAAAATTAAGCTGGATCCAATAGGAAATCATTACTAGAATAGATCCATTTGAATCAATTAAACTTACGGAGGAGTTGAGCCACCAAATGGGTATACTCTAGTTGCAACTTAGTCTCAGTCAGCATATGAACTGATAGGTTTTACTGTCTGTTTCATTAAATGTACCATATAATGTTTTCATGTATTTTATGTTGATTTGGTTTTACTCTTCTTTGACCGCAATAAAGTATTCATTCATTCATTCATTCATTCATTCATTCATTCATTCATTCATTCATTCATATAATGTTTTCATCAGGAGGCATATACATAATTGTGATCTGAATTACAGCTATACAACATCTATTGGTTGTAAAATTACAACTGTTGTATGTTTGGATGAAACTGTTGAATCAATAACAAAACATAAGACACTAGTTTTCTAAGAAGTGGGTCATTTGTTGAAAAATTTAGGCAACTACGTATACAAGTCACAGTTTAGGATTAGTAGATGGAGTGATGCTGTTTGCAGTTTGTGATTGGAAATTTGTTTGTAATAATATTGACCGTTTTCTGTAGCACTGTGCGTGCAGGGATCACTGTTTGTGTTTCTGTTCTCTTTGCTCTCAAGTGCGGTTCTATGAGGGAGTGGAAGAACTCGCTCTGACAGCTGCAGAGAGGAAGGATCCTCAAGGCCTTGGGCTCCATTATTACAAAAATGGAGAACCAGAAGAGGATGTTACAGGGTTTCAGGCCTTTCAAGAGAGGCAAGTCTGCGGGGTGCAAGAACATTTTCTTCATGACAAAGTTCTTGGCAACGGTTTCCTGGGGTTCTGAATGTGTGTAGAAATAGCATCAAGTGGAGACTGAAAACAATTTAGTCTGTCCTTATATATAGCTCTGTACTTTCTAAAGCCTTTTTTTTTTTTGGGGTGACACCAAAACTGAAGCTTCTGTCATCTTCAGTTTGCATAATGAGAAGTGGGATGATAAAAATTCTGAAGACTACAGATTTCAGTGGTTTAGGTGTCTGGCTGCGGAGCCAGAAATTTGGAGTTTGATTCCCTGCATGCCGCTTGGGAGAAAGGCCAGCCTGTGTAGCCATGGGCAAGCTGCACAGTCCCAAAAGAGAGAGAGAGAGACCCAAAAAGAAAGGAATAGTAAACCATTTCTGCAAGTTCTCTACCTAGAAAAAAACCCTGGAAAGTGTTGCCATGAGTCAGGACTCTCTTAATAGCACACAATTATTAATATTGCAGATTTTGGGAGTGCTTAACATTTTTACGTACATGTCTTTTTTTTTTTTCCCAGATTAAACTGCTATAAGTGTATCACGGACACTCTTCAGGAGCTGGTCAATCAAAGCAAAGCTGCTCCACAGTCTCCCAGTGTTCCAAAAAAACCTGGTCCTCCTGTTTTGTCATCTGATCCCAATATGCTAAGCAATGAAGAAGCAGGACATCATGTAAGGAATAGGAAAGGCCTGTGCTAAATAGCAATTAAGTTTGTCTGGGAAGTACTTTTGAATTTGTGTTAAACCCATAGCCAGGATCCAGAATGCTATTTTAGGTATGCCTTAAGACTTGAATGTGTTCTGCAGAATTTTTTACTGGGTTCATTTGAAGGCCAAATCCAGACTTTACCATAGAAAACAAGTGACATTATACAGTGGTGCCTCGCTTAACGAGCGCACCGTATAACGATGAAATCGCATAGCGATCCGTTTTTTCGGATCGCTAATGCGATCGCTGAACGTTTTTGTAATGGGGAAAAATTCGCTTTGCGAAGACCGGTAAGCATTTCGCTTACCGATCTTCGCAAAACGAACCCTGACGATCAGCTGTTCGGCGGCCAAAATGGCCGCCGGAAGCCGGGAAATGGCCTGCAATGGCCGCGTGCAGCGTTTTCGCGCCCTCGTTAAGCAAGGCGAGGGCGCGAAAATGGCTGCCAGCCATCCTGAAGCTTCGCTGAACGGTGAGTATTTGGCCTATTTGGAACGCATTAAACGATGTTTAATGCGTTCCAATGGAAATCGCTGCCCCGTTCAGCGATGCTTCAGCATAGCGAAGGTTAATCCGGAACGGATTAACCTCGCTATGCAAGGCACCACTGTATTTTGTTTCTGTGGGTATTTGTCAGGTGACATGAAAAGGGCTGCTTTTAGAGAAAGATCTAAAGTTCCCACGGTGGAAAATACAATTTCTTTGATCCAGTTGGTTAAATCCAACTGTTTGTCAAAACCTATATAAACTCACCAAATGAATGGGACTTACTAAGAGCACTTGTATCCGTCCTGTTGAATTCAGAAAGATCAGTCTAGTTGAGACTAACATTGCCTATTGTATTTAATATGGTATATATGTTTTGCAAAACCTCTCTGACAGCGTAATTGTCTATACCAGTATTCACAGGAAGAATTCAAAAGATAAACTGTAAGGTTTCTGTAACTGATAAACTCGGGGTACAGGAAATGTTAAGCAGATTAGAAGTATTATCAAAATGCATTTTTTTTAAAATGATTGTAGCATTTATTATCTTGAGAGGAAATGGGTTTTGTACTTCCTTGCCCACTCAGAACAACATCATAACATCTCTCTTCTCTTCTATTGTAGTTTGAACAAATGCTTAAATTGGCCCAGCGTTCCACAGATGAACTGTTTAGTATTGCTCTTTATGGCTGGCTGGTACAGGCTGATCTTTCAGATAAACTGCTGCAGGTAAGACCACCGACTCATTAAAAATAAATGAAAACAATTTTGCTATTGAGATAAGGTAGAAATGGATGAAATGCAGCAGTGGCTTGCCAAGAGGCCTTTGTAATTTTTCTTCTGGATTTCTGCAGATAAACTCCCCCTTTCTGGAACCATATCTGACGCGTATGGCCAAGGTGGATCAAAACAAAGTTCGCTATATGGATTTGTTGTGGAGATACTTTGAGAAAAATAGAAGTTTTAGCAGTGCAGCCAGAGTGCTGGCAAAGTTAGCAGATATGCACAGGTGATTTACTTGGTTTACTTGATTATTTTTTAAACTGTAGCTTTTGCAAAGAAGATTTTATGACAAACCAGTTGCTTTATAAAGATCAGGCCTACAGAATGTGTGATTCATCAGAGTGGTCAAGTCCATCAATGCCATAGGGTGGGCTTTAACTGTTTGACAATCTTCCTGTGTTTTTTCTATCAAGAACAGACAGCAAAAAGTGAAATACAAATCTCCTGGTGGTTCACCGTGCCTGGTGAGCTGTGTTTGGGTTGGTTATGCAGGGTCGCTAAAATTGAACAGTTCTCTCTGTAGGCAAATCACACCTCCAGTTTGTTATATGAAAATAAAAGGTGGTTTTATTAATATGGGGTTAAAATTCATTTTACACTTGTAGGGAATTTTAACTGAGAATTTAAATTGCAATGCTGTGCAGCTTTGCTAAGAACTGCTGGATAGCTCAGTGGTTTAGGCCTCTGGCTGTTTAGCCAGAGGTTGGGAGTTCGATTCTCCACTATGCTTCCTTGACAGGGGCTGGACTCAATGGTCCATAGGGTCCCTTCCAGCTCTACAGTTCTAAGATAATTATTCTAAGTCCATTAAATTCAAAGGGGATCTTAATCTTATGGGGCATGTATAGATCTCCAATTGCTGTAGGTTTGGAGTCTTCCTGTAAATTAATGATGGGAATTCTACTGTATGGCCCTCCAAAATGTTGATGAACTGTGATTCTTATCATCCTTTATCCCTGGCTTTGCTGACTAGTGCCTGATGTGGGTTGTAGTCGAGTAATGTCATGGAGGCCATATATTCACCACCCTTGAGCCAGGATAGGGTTGTTAGAGTAAGGGTGGAGCTTTGCTTTTCTTTGTTTCATTTTCCCCCCAGATTAAATGGACAGCATATTATTTTTCTGCTATATCATTAGTACATTGCCTATGCTCTCTGTTTTAAACTAATTAGAAAATAAAAGTTTATTAACATCATGCATGAAAGCTCCTATGTTAATCACATGGTTTTACAATTCAACAGCACGGAGATTTCACTCCAACAGCGTCTCGAGTACATTGCACGGGCCATTTTGAGCGCAAAGAGCTCCACAGCCATCTCACCTATTGCAGCAGATGGTGAATTTTTGCATGAGTTGGAAGAGAAAATGGAAGTAAGTAAGCAAATTTATTTATTTATTTAATTTATATGCCGCCCACACTACCCAAAGGTCTCACAAATTTAGATGGTATTCATAAAAGTATAGGCAGAGATAGGCAGGGCACAGTCTCAAAATTATATAATACAGCAAGCCCCATGGCAGAATGGTTAAACTGCAGTACTGCAGTCAAGCCTCTGCTCACAACTTGAGTTCAATCCCAACGAGCTCAGGTAAACAGATCAAGGTTGACCGAGGTCAGTAAAATGAGTACCCAACTCACTGGGGAGCAAAGTTTTCTTCGCTTAATTATGTTGTAAACTGAACAGAGAGTTTTCTAAGCACTATGGAGTGGTATATAAGTCAAAACAATTTTAAAAATAAATGAAGGCTGTTTTCTGTAGCACAGGGTTTCGTCCTAAAGTGAGTTCCTATCCTTTTTGAATATTGGCAAATGGAAAAGTCAGCTTTTTAACACGCCCTGTTCAGAGATCATCTTTCATATTTTCTATACTCGGTCACTTTAAGTAAGTGAAGTACTTTCTGAAAAAATTAACCATAGAAGCCTGCTGGTGTGTACTGAATTGTTTCATAAAAATTGTCTTTCTAACTAGGTTGCCAGGATACAGTTTCAGATACAAGAAGCATTACAGCGTCAGTGTTCTCATCATTCTTCAGTGCAAGAGGCTATTTCCCGGCTGGATTCTGAGCTCATGGATATTAGCAAGGTGACCTTAAGTAAATATGCAGGGTTCACTGTATGGTACAGATAGGTTTGTTTCTCTTCAGATACATCCCAAACTATTTAAATATAAGTACACTTGACAACGTTAATCCATTCCAGCGAACAATACAATTTTATATACAGTGGTGCCTCACTTGACGACGTTAATCCATTCCAGCGAAATCACTGTAGAGCGAAATCGTCGTCAAACGAAATAAAAAGCCCATTGAAATGCATTGAAAACCGTTCAATGCGTTCCAATGGGCGAAATATCTGCTCATCCAGCGAAGATCCTCCAGAGGGCGGCCATTTTCTCCTCCCTGTAGAGCGAAGAATCAGTCCCTAGCACAGCGTGGAGCCATTTTGCCCATCGGACGGCCATTTCAGTAACCTGACCCTCAGCTCTTTTGATCATCGTAAAGTGAAAAATTGGTCACAGCGGGGAGCTATTTTGCACATCGGGCGGCCATTTTGGAAACCAGACCCTCAGCTCTTTTGATCGTCGTAAAGCGAAAAATAGGTTCCCGAAGCAGGGAACCGACCATCGTAAAGTGTTTTTTCCTATCTAAACATTGTTTTGCGATTGCGAAAACCTAATCGTTAAGTGGATTCGTCGTGAAGAGGGGTAATCATTAAGCGGGGCACCACTGTATTATATATTCCTGATTGTGGCATTTTCTGGTTGAAAGATTCAACTGACTTTTTATGAAAGCTGATTGGATATTTGGTATATTCATTACTTTGTCAATGCTATGTATTGAATTTCATTTCACCCCACATTTGTTGTATGTGAATGATCAAACTGTGTGGTGTTGTTTTTTTTTTATTTATTTGTAGTGATTGGATATTTGGCATATTCATTACTTTGTCAATGCTATGTATTAAATTTCATTTCACCCCACATTTGTTGTATGTGAATGATCAAACTGTGTGGTGTTGTTTTTTTTTTATTTATTTGTAGCTTTATGCAGAATTTGCTGATCCGTTCAAGCTCTCTGAGTGCAAACTGGCCATTATACATTGTGCTGGTCATTCCGACACTATTTTGGTGCAGACCCTTTGGCAAGAAATAATTGAGAGAGGTTGGTACAGCTAGTAACGCATGTTTTTGGAAATGCAGAACAACGCAGCGTTAGTCATTAATTCCTCCAATCTGATTGCTAGCTATTTTACTACAAAAAAAGAAAGAGGTCTTATAGGATGGGAAGGAAAAAGGAGAGAGTCTGTCTTGCTAGCTCTGCCTGCCAGGTTACTCTGTAGTAGAGTAGGCTACAGCTGGAAAGTGGGAAGGTGGTGTGGTTGGAGTCCATAAAAGCTTCAAACTTGGTCTATTCAGCAGTCAGCCAATTTTGAACAGATGTGATGCAGCTAGGTGGCCAGGATAATGTTGGGATTCTGTTAGTGTGCCATCCACCCTGCTGCCCGACAGTCTCCCTCCTTTAGCTATCCAGAGCAATAACTTGTGTAGCGTTGGACTATCTCAGCTCTTTAAACTATTACCATCAGGAAGGAGATTCAGGGTATTGAAAGCAAGGACAAGCAGATTCAAGAACAGTTTTTACCCAAGTGCAGTATTGAGTTTAAATGTGGGGCCATAGGTTTTTGGTGGATTTTAATTGCTGAGAGAAAACGGGGTATCTATATTTGGATGGTGAAAGTTGTGTATATTTTAACTTTTTTTTTGTAGTGTTGTCCAGTTTTATCTTGGGGAAGAGCACCTCATTTCGTTGCACCCACTTGTGAGCGCAATGACAAATAAATTTCTTATGTCTTATTGTTCTGGGGGAACTTCAACATTCATGCTATTCAGTCAGGAGTGGTGCAGGATTTCTTATCTGCCATGATGATCATAGACCTGTTCCAAATAGTAGCTGCCCCCCCTCACCTGTGGAACTTTGAGCCACTCCCTTTTGGTGGAATAGAAAAGATTTTCGACTGCAGCCCCAACATTTCCCAGACAGTGCCTCCCAGAATTAGAGTACAATTTCCAGAAGCTTGAGGAAGTCTTGGAGTTGCAGACTAAAAACACAAAAGAGAACACCTTAGGAATAACTTCAATATTTCATGCAAGTGGACTCTGGTGGACAGAATAGGATCCAAGGTTCAAGTCCCTGTTTGGTTATGGAAACTCACCAGTGGGGTGTGTGGGACTGGTAAACAGCTCACATACTTCAAAAACCCTACTAGGATCACTGAAAACCCTACTAGGGTTACCATAAGTCAGATTCCCCGAAAATAAGACTTAACCTGAAAAGTTCAATCATCCACTTGGTAATGGAAGCACACTGTGAGATAGCATGGCAAAACTACTTTCAAAAACCAGGATCACTGAAAACCCTACTAGGGTCACCATAAGTCAGATGTACTTAGCAACCCTATTTAAGAGATGAGATGCCCTGTTTCCCCAAAAATAAGACTTAACCTGAAAATAAACCCTGGTATGATTTTTCAAGATGCTCGTAATATAAGCCCTACCCCAAAAATAAGCCTCAGTTAAGTGAAACCCCACCCTCATCAGAAGAAGATGAGATGACTGTATTTGAATAAATGTAGATTGCTATACATGAAAAGAATAAAACATCCCCTGAAAATAAGTCCTAATGTGTTTTTGGAGCAAAAATTAATATAAGACCCTGTCTTATTTTCAGGGAAACATGGTACTAGGCTATCTGAAAAATGGTATTTCTCTATAAGAGCTTGCCCAGGTTCTAAGATCTGGAGAGAGGCATTTTCTTGTTCGTGCCACTGTCAGAGGCCTCTCTTCTGGGGTGAGAAGGACAACTGCTTTCTGCAACTGCTCCCAGACTGTGGATTCCCCTCCCAAGGGAGGCCCAGTTGGCCCCCTCCTCGTTTTCCTTCTGGCAAGCAAATACCTTCAGCAGGCATTTGGCAAGGGAAAAGGTTGGATGGGGCAGATGCTGTACTTCCCTACCTTTTAAAACACACTATTTATGCTTTATTTATTAGTTTTAGTATGATATGATGTTGATTTTAACTGTGTATTTTATTGCCTTGTCAGTTGTATTTCTTTTAACTATTTTGTAAGTTGATCTGAGTTCCTTTATTAGGAGAAAGCAGGATATAAATAAAATGAATAGGTCTTTTCTCTTTCAGCCCTGAGTGATAGTGTGGCTTTGAGTGCTCCGGACAGGATGCAAGCTGTTAGCTTGAAGATGATAACGCTTGGAAAAATCTATGCTGGGACACCTCGTTATTTTCCTTTAGGTATGTAATTCAAATTGGGAATATTTGGAAATACTGCAAATAGAGATGGGGGAGTCCTCCTTGTCTAGGAAGACGAATCCCACTGGCACAGGTGGCCAGCCTGAATACCTCCCACCCTCAGAACACACACACACCCCAGTCTGCTTACCATGCAGTGCGTGTGGTTGGTGTCATTGTGAGTGTGCAAATCGCGGCCGTAGTCTAGCTGCTGCAGTCCCAACTCCCTGCTGGCTCGGCGACTCCAGCAAGGGGAGTCCTCCTTGTCTAGGAAGACGAATCCCACTGGCACAGGTGGCCAGCCTGAATACCTCCCACCCTCAGAACACACACACACCCCAGTCTGCTTACCATGCAGTGCGTGTGGTTGGTGTCATTGTGAGTGTGCAAATCGCGGCCGTAGTCTAGCTGCTGCAGTCCCAACTCCCTGCTGGCTCGGCGACTCCAGCAAGGGGGTGGGATGCCCCCAGAACACACACATCCCCCCCAGTCTGCTTGCCGTGCAGTGCGTGTGGCTGGTGTCATCGTGAGTGTGCAAATCGCGGCAGTAGTCTAGCTGCTGCAGTCCCACCTCCCTGCTGGCTCGGCGACTCCAGCAAGGGGATGGGATGATGAGTCTCCCTGCTCAGCTGCAGAGTGGCGAGGCAAGCAGGTGGGTGGGGCTGCAGCAGCTGGGCTACTGCTGCGATTGGCGCGCTGATGACACCAGCCATGTGCGCCATGCGGTAAGTGGACTTGTGGGTTCAGGGGGTGGGAGGTAATCAGGCTAGCCACCTGTGCTGGCAGAAATTGTCTTCATAGACAAAGACAAATCCTCCATCTCTAATTGTAAAATCAGCTTTCAACCAAGAATGGGGGGGGGCTGCAGCAGCTGGGCTACTGCTGCGATTGGCGCGCTGATGACACCAGCCATGTGCGCCATGCGGTAAGTGGACTTGTGGGTTCAGGGGGTGGGAGGTAATCAGGCTAGCCACCTGTGCTGGCAGAAATTGTCTTCATAGACAAAGACAAATCCTCCATCTCTAATTGTAAAATCAGCTTTCAACCAAGAATAGTAGGGAAAAATACGAGGGGATCAAATTCATTCTGCGGTTTTATCTTAGATCAATGCTAATACCTCTTGCTGAAAATCTTCAGACAGCATGCACTGGAAATAGTGAGCTACTGAACTCCATAGGAAATATTTATTACATACTAGGGAGGGTGGAACAGCATGTATTTCTAGGAAAATAATACCACAAAAATTAATGGTTATGTGGGGCGGAAACATAGAGAACAATTCTCCAACTGTGGATTCTGGGTGATTATCCTGAACTGTTTTAGTTTGCAATAGATTGCGTGCTTGAAATGCCCGAGATTGTGATGCTAGGTTGTAGTGATCCTCAATTTACTTTACATGTTCAAGCTCAAAGGTACATCTGGAGTTGTCTGAATGGAACAGCATGCAACCAGGCCTTCTGAGAGCTCACATGAAGCCAGGGCCAATTGGTGAAAAAACAAAACAAGCCAGCCTCATTGTATGGGGAAAGGGGTTAAAGTATTTTAATATAAAAGGTGGCATGTTTAAGCAAATTGTAGAATGCATGATGGTCAAGCACTACTGGCTATGGACAAGCCAACACGAGATAATATTTATTGATTTGATTTGATTTATACCTTGGCAATGGAGAAGCCACCACGAGATAATATTTTTTGATTTGATTTGATTTGATTTATACCCCGCCCATCTGGCCTAAAAGGCCACTCTAGGCGGGTCTGCTGGTCCCTGTCTTATGTGGCCTGCACGTAGCCAAGAGTTATGGTTGAGGTAGTGCATGCAAACCCCAGGCATATCTGGGGAGGGAGTAGAGAAAATCTGAATCTTATGTCGATGCATAAAGCAGAAATGTGGCCTAAGAGAGCAAAATAGATATTTGTCTTCACGGTCTCTACGTAACCCTAATAAATGCAGAAGTCACTGTGGGGCAGTAGGTTATTTTTCAAAAACTACAATGCTTGCAAGGAAAAAAAGGGGGCATGCAATTTTTTATAGATCTTACTAAAACCTTTCAGCCAAAATTGACATCTCATTATCCAATTTCTTTTTCCTTAGACTTCTTAGTGCAGTATTTAGAACAGCAAGTTTGTTCTTTGAACTGGGATGTGGGTTTTGTAACTTACACAATGCAAGAAATTGGTGTGCCTCTGCCCAGGCTTCTTGAAGTATACGATCAGCTGTTCAAAGCACGGGTAAGAGACGAAGCTCAAACTTTCTTGCGTTCAGCGGTTGTTCGGGTACGTATTAGTGCCAAGAAATGACAGTGGCAGGTATGCCAGGCAATTTTAGGGAGCACATTGCTGAGGCATGTAAACAACAGTTTGGGGTAGCACTCTTTTTTGCTATCTAGTGGTGACATTTAATGCTTGTGTTTAAGCTTCCTTTTAGGACGCATCTCACAGCATTTTACTTTATTTTAATTCAGGTGTTAATGAAGGAGAGGGCATTCTCTCTAGCACGAGTACATGGGTGAGGAATTTTTAGCCCATGGAATCCTTCTTTCTTTCCTGTGGCTTTTTCTCCTGCTCCTCCCCAGCAGAAACACTCACAACCTGTTAGTTGGCTGGGTGTTATTTTTTTCAAGGGTATGGAGGGGTTGGTCTTTGGGTCTGCGGCTAGGGAGGGAAGACTTTTAAAACTGACTGCCCTCCCAAAGTGGTGAGTTCATTGGTGTGAACTTCTTAAGTTGAACCCGGGTCCCTGCCTTTTATGCCTTGTAAGCGCTGCCCCTTAACTTTGTAAAAAGGCTTCTCCTAGCTCTATTGCTGCTGAATGAGAACAGCACTATTCAGAAGTATCAGATGTAAGGTTAGTCCAGTATGTATATGTTGGGTAATACAGCATGCCTAATTGGGCTTCCCATAACTTGGATGGGACTGTGTCTATCAATATATGTCCTATGCAACTAAATAACCCCTCATGATGTCCTGCTTGGGTGCATGATGGGAGCCCGCAGAGGCAACAGGTGGCTATTAAGGCTGGCAAGAATCCTAGATTTCTGTTTGGTAGGTGAGAACTTGTGGAGTATTTTTATTTTATTTTATTTTATTTGTTTGTTTGTTTGTTTGATTGATTTTTTTATCCCGCCCATCTAGACCAAGGGTCTACTCTGGGCGGTTTACAAATTTAAAAACAGTAAAAACCAAACAGTATCATCCTACACTCCGATGTGTAGGTAAAGCCAGCCCAGAATCATTGCTATTCTTTTATCATAGGAATATTTAATGGATGTATTAATTTTAGTATTTTCTCAGCACACTTGAAAATTGTGAATTATCTCCACCTTTTTTAAGTTCAGTGTTGGTTGGTTGGTTTTTTAAGTGTTTTTTTTCTCTTTGGCAGGATCCATTCTGGAGCAAAATGAAGAAGCCGTTGCATCTTTTGGAATGCATTCATGTATTATTATCAGGATATGTGCAGGATCCTAACAAAGTGCTTGCCTTTGAGAGGTAACTTTGATCTGAACACACAAGCTCTTTTGTGATGTGGGGTGAGAAGACTGGGGGCGTTGTAATATTTTCATTTGTTAAAGTACACATCTCACATAAAAATGAAACAATGGGTGGAAAAAACATTGACTTCATTTAATACCATTTGTCATAATATCAAGTAAGCTCTTTCAAGGTTTATGAACCCACCCAGCCTGCAAACTGATTTACTTGCTCTCATCTTACTCATAAGAAATCCCCCCACATGAGTAAGAAGCAGGTGAATAAAATCATTTGTAGGCTTCAAGTGCAACTTTCTGTTCCTGTTTCACCAAGCAACTCCATTCTGTGCTGGGCCACAATACAAACAGTGTTTTTCCTCCATGCCAGGATAGAACCCAATGAACTGACAAAGGATGGGCAGATTGCACTGTCCCTCCTTCAGCCAGCCTGCTTATTCATCTGCATGAAATTCCCCAAACTTGTTTTATGCAGTCCTTGCTTTCCAACAGATGCACAGCTGCATTTGAAAAGATTAATGGCAAAATGTATTGACACACAGATTTGCCAAGGGAAGCCATGTTAAAACCTTTCCCTGAAATATAATTACAGTATGTGGATTATTTCCCCAGGGGAGATTATAGTGTGAGTAATTATATTGACTAGATCAATTGATTGATCAATCACAGTAGATGCTAGTGGCCGGTATCTAGGATGGGGGCCAGCATGTATTTTTACCACCTTCCCTTGACAGCACTTGAGATGTGACCCAGCCTAATTCCACATTGCCACCTACCTGCCCTATTATCAGCATGGATCCTGACTGCAGCTTTAGATTTAGGAGAGATTGATAGCATATTTCCTTGCACAGTTTGGGATCTCTATAATAACTGCTTTCTTTCTTTCTTTCTTTCTCCTTAGACGTTGATTCACAAATATTTGCTTGGATGCTATTAGCTGTTACCTTGTTGAATTGCAGTCCATAAGTCCAACGCTTGCTGTACAGACCATCACAGGAAACTTTAAATCTTTACAGGCTAAATTAGAGCGGCTTCATTGAGTGCAGTTATACATAATTCTTTTGTCTAGGTGGAATGAAATGTCACTGCACTGGAATCTGAAAAAGGCTTTATAAACTTTATAAACAACCCTGAAACAATCAAACTCCCTGCTGAAGTGGATGATTGAGTGATTATACATATATATTGTATGTTCTTAATTGACCTAATATGTAACAGAATGTACAAGTGGCAAGTGGCTTTTTTTTACTATCTTTTTTTCCCCTTTAACAGTCTTATATGCTTTGGATTAAAATGTGTTGGATAATCTTACCATGACAATTAAAATAATTTGTAAAATAGTTTTGTTTTCAATTTGAGATAGCATTTGTACAATGCATTTGACCATAAAAGTGGCATGGAGTAACACTGCTATGTATTACATTATTGTCCTATATAGTGGCTTGTGTTTGTCAACAAATAATATTACTTGAATTGCTAGATTGCACTGTGTCTTTAAGTTATCCAAGGCATCAAAGAGATAAAGCCCTTCTGTCTTCTCCAGCTTTGCATCCATATGTCGCAGATCTTTTTGAGGAGCTATGACAGAAACAGTGGAGTTCATTTTGGTCATTGAGATCATCTGGAATCCTATTAAGCAACAGACAAGTGGTATAGATTGTAAAACAGCCTTGGCAAGCTAGATAACCTGCTTCTTAAGCAGTTCAGCCACTCTTTCTCTCCTCTTTCCATACGTTTTGACCACATTGCTATATAATCACAAATCATTGTTTCATGTTAAATACGGATCGAGCCTTAAGATGACATACTCTTTCCCTTACAACATGTTTTGTAATATACAGTGGTGCCTCGCTTGACAATGTTAATTCGTTCCAGTGAAATCGCTGTAGAGCAAAAACATCGTCTAACAAAATAAAAAAATCCATTGAAACGCATTGAAAACCGTTCAATGCGTTCCAGTGGGCTGAATACCTGCTCATCCAGCGAAGATCCTCCATACGGCAGCCATTTTCGGTGCCTGTAAAGTGAGGAATCCGTCCTAGAAAACAGCAGGGGGCCATTTTCTTCAGCCGGCGGCTATTTTGAAACCCAACTAACAGCTGTTTGCTGATTGTTGTATAGCGAAAATTGGCTTCCAAAGCAGGGAACCGATCATCGTTAAACGAAAAAATCCCATTTAAACCATTGTTTTGCGATCGCAAAAGCAATCACAAAAACCTAATTGTACAGTGATTTCCTCGTTAAGCGAGGCAATCGTTAAGCAAGGCACGACTGTACTTGAAGTAATAAAAACAGGGTTTAAGTCTGGTTTGCAAGGAAACCAGCTTCCGCAAACTGCAATGACACATTTTGAAATAGTCGTAAACTTTAGAGTTGGTTCACTGAAGGAAGAGCCTCCTGGTGCAGTGGTTAAACTGCTCTACTGTAGCCAAAACTGCTCACGACCTGGATTTCAATCCCAGGTAGCCAGGTCAAGGTTCACTCAGTCTTCCATCCTTCCAAGTTCAGTAAAATGAGTACCCAGCTCATTGGGGGAAGATAATGTGTACCTTGCACAATTAAATCGTAAACTGCTAAGAGTGTGTTAAGTGCTGTGGGGTGATATATAAGCAGCATGCTTTGCTTTAATTTTTGAAATCATGTCCTAGAAGCAGAAAAAGGGTGGTATGCACAAATCCATAGTGAATATCTCTTATTTTCCTTCCACTTCTTAACTGAAACATTTTAGTTAAAATAATTTTCTGATCTTCAACAGGAAAACAATAAGGCAGTTCTGAACGTACCTCCCAAAGTTCTTAACTATAATATCCATTATCTCTGCCCGTTGGCTGTACTGGCTGAGGATGAGGGGAGTTGTAGTCAAAATATCTGGAGGGCTCCAGGTTTGGGAAGGTTTCCTTAATGTAGTAGCAGGGAAAATGTATTATTTATAAGTCTGTGATTGTACTTCTGCCTTTACGGTCCACTGAAACTATAGAAATCAGCAAGAGTTTCTGAAAAAATAAAATTAAAGATTGTACTTTGGACACTAGGGACTAACACTGGCCTCAATGGGATTTACTTTAAAGGAAGCTTCTTTAATAGTACACTGTAAATTTTAAAACACCATATGAAGTTTTGATCTATTAAGAAAAAAATCCAAATAAAGGACAATACCTTTATTAGATCCAAATAAAAGCATCACACACCCAAAATCCAAGTATGACATTGAGCTATTTAGGTAACAGATGTGTAGATATTATTGTACCAGAAGTCAATATTGGAGCAGACATGCAGAAAACAAATGAAAAATCTATTATGGCTAAGAAAATGCAAAGCTCCCGGGTTTCCCTAAGTACAGTATTAAAGTTATTAGAAGATGGCAGTTTAAGTGTTTCCTTAATCTCAATCCATCTACAGGAGAAAATTTATTCCTGAAATCTAGCTGAGAGAGAAGTCTATTAACATTATCAAAAAAGGAAAATGCCAAAGTTTTTAGTGAATTCAGCACAGTAAGCTCAGTGAGCCATTTTAATTGCTTTCTTAAAAAATAGAGATGGGTCAGGAGATGTACTTTAGATTCTGAGAAGCGGCTGGATTGAAGAAGCACTGCTCTTGCATATGGTTAGGGAGAGATGCCATGAGATGAAAGTGGATGTCTATAGCTTGTTTATACAGCAACCTGATGGAGTTGCTAGCAAACAAAATATTTGATTAAAGAAATCTGTAACTGACAGCTGCAGTGAAAGTTGAGAATTAAATGACAGAGGATACAAAGATAACAAAGGAGTGTGAGAAAATTCTGACTGTCTTTGAAGAAGCAAAAATGATTCAAATTATGGTATTATCAGTAGTGAGATTATCTGCATCTATTAAGCAAGTGAAACTATATAACTAGCTGACAACTTAGATGATTTGTAAAGGTGACTCCACAAAGAAAATGAAGTAAATATGCTTTAAAATAATTCATTTATTTGTTTGATTTATATCCCGCCCATCTGGTCTATACCACCACTCTTTTCTCTATTGTTGAGAAACCAAGTTCATAGAAATCAGTAAAAAAGCGCTACACATGCATCAATGCTTTTAGAAAGCAAGCAAAAGTGGAATGGGCTGACGAGTATAGACATCTTGGAATTTGACTGAGCAGCAAAAAAGGTAAAGGTTCCCCTTGACAATTTGTCCAGTCGTGTCCAACTAGGCGGCGGTGCTCATCTCCGTTTCCAACCTATAGAGCTAGCGTTTGTCCGCAAACAATCCTCCATGGTCACGTGGCCAGCGTGACCATTTAAGAGAGGAAACAAAACATGTTATTTAGAATGAAGAACTTAAAATTTACTTTGTATGGGCTGTAGTCTTGTACCTTTAGACCATTTACTAGAGTGCTCTCTAGCTTATGTACAATACGCTCAATTACTTAAAGGCAGTGCAATAATAAAAGCAAAGCAAAACTACTCGTAAAGATTTAAAACATTATGTGCCATCAAGTGTCCTTCAACTTATGGAAACCCTATGAATGAGAGCTCTCCAACATGTCCTGTCCTCAACAGCCCTGCTCAGCTCTTGTAAACTCAAGCCTGTGGTTTCCTTTATGGAGTCAATCCTGCTTGTACTGTATTTGGCTGCTTTTCCTGCTGCCATCAGTCTCACAGCATTCTTGGATTTTCCAAAGAATCTTGCCTTCTCATTATGTGCCCAAAGTAGGTCAGTCTCATTTCATAACTTTTGCCTTATTCATCTTTCTGGCCGTCCAGGATATCCAGAAATCTCTCCTCTGGCACCGTATTTCAAACGAATCAATTTTTACCCATCAGCTTTCTTACACACACATGATTGGAAATACAGTACAAGAATATGAATGATCTTGGTTTTGGTCTCCACACAGAATACCTGTGTGAGTTTGTTGTATTGGTTAGAATGTTGGCTCAGGGCTTGGAAAATCTGGAAATCCTACCCGAGCCACAAAACTCATTGGCTAGCCATAGGCCAGTTCTTCTCAGCCTGATCTACCTTACAGGCTTGTTGTGCTGATAAGAACAGGAAGGAGCAGAGCCCAGTGTGCCACCTTTAGCTCACTAGACTAGAGGAAAGGTGGGCTACAAAGGTGCCAATGCACATCCCTCTACTTGGACTACGTTCCATCCCTATGAAGAAATGGGCTGCCTTCACCAAACCAAAGTGGGAGCCTTTCTTTACTGTTTATATATTTAAAATATTTCTGTTTTTTTAAGCACTCAGGTCTTTCTGCAACGCCCTGTCAAGGCTCTTCCTCTGGAAATATCCACAAGATTGCTTCCTAACGGTGGCTCTAGTTCCCTCAGGCCTACTGAAACCTCTACGCGCGGGCATTGATTCAAAGGGCGCCTCCGCCTCAGAGCAAGGAAACCCGTCTAAATGAAGATGATTAATTGGCTGGGGGGCGGGAAGAGCGCCTTTGAGGCCCCCCTCATCATCTTCTCGCCTCAACCCCTTCGCCTCGTAGGGTGGGGGCGCATGCGCGTCCGGTTCGCGGCTGTTTCCCCGCCTCTCCGGGCCCGTCGCTTGGGGAGAGCTGCTGGGGCCGCGGAAAAGATGAACCGTTGAGGCTGGGAATATGGCGCGGGCAGGGCGGACGCTATGGGCACGGTGGGTATGCGCGGCGGAGGACGGGGGGAGAGTCTCGGAAGGGAGGCGGAGGCCTTGCTTCCTTCTCCCCTTCCACCCCCCTCGCGCTTCCAAAGCTGTTTATTCCGCCTTGAACCCACCCGTCAGTCCCGAGGGTGGAAAGGAGGCAGGCGGGTGAGGCAGAGCCTGACGGTCTCCTTTTTCCCCCTCCGCGCGGGGCGGCAAGGCGGGGGTGCTGCTGAGAGACGGCGAGGGTCTGCCCCGTTCTCCCTTCTTCAAGGGAAAGAAAGGGGAGTGACGGGCTTTACCTGAAAGGGGCGACAGTCCATGGCGGTGGACCGGCTCTGCGTTGCTTGCTGCGGTTCTCCTTCTTTCCCGTCGTGCTCATTCATGAAGCTCAAGGTAGCTGATGGAGAATCGCAGCAGGCTCTCTGTTGCGGCTGCAGAGGGCTGGGGACAGCGCGCTCCACAACTGGAGACCAGATGTTCTCCAGTAGCCAGCCGCACAGGGGCCCAGACGGCCACCAGCTGCCTCTGGGGAACCAGCCGGATCAGCAGGGACGTGGATACAAGAAACCTCTTTTCCAGTGGCTTCCCAAGAACTGGGCTTCTCTGGGACGCAGCTTCTAAAACTGGAGGCACCACAAGTTACAGGAAGCTAGATTTAGGCTGAATAACAGGGAAAAAACTTCTTAACTGTTAGAACAGTACCAGTTACCATGGGAAGTGGTGAGCGCTCCAACACTGGAGGCATTCAAGAGAAAATTGACCAACCATCTGTCAGACCTGCTTTGATTTGGATTCCTGCATGGTGGGGGTTATAGGCGTCTTCCAACTCAGTTATTCTATAATTACAGTGGTTAAAATGTCACCTCTGTGCATTTGTTTTGTCCCTCTGTAAAGCTTTCCAAGCCCCTGTCTATCATGACATCTTGTGGGTGTAAATTCCATAAGGGAATAGCGGACTATGAGTTTTACGAGGCTGTTTGTTGCTACTGCTGTTGCAGAACGGTGGGGACAGCACACTCCAAAACTGGAGATCATGAGGACAGTCCTGCTAGGTCAGATCAGATAACCTATGTAGCTACATATTCTCCCAGATAGCCATCAGCAACATCTGGGAAGCTGATAAGCAAAATATTGATAAAAGAAGCCTCTTTTCCAGCTGCTTCCCAGGAACTTGGATCCACTGCTTTGCAGCTTCTAAACCTGGAGGTATCATTCCAGTGGTCAAAAGATGTCACCTCTGTGAATTTGTTTTGTCCCCCTTTAAAGCTTTCCAAACCCGTGTCCATAACCACATCTGGTGGACGTGAATGCCACAGATGAATTAGGTATCTGGATCAGAGCCAGACGGTTGGGAGTTTGATTTCCTACCAAGCTTTCTTGACAGGGGCTGGCCTTGATGATCCATAGGGTCCCTTCCAGCTCTGCAGTTTTGAGATGATTATGATGAACATATCCAGTCATGTCTGATTTTGGAACTTAAACTTTGGATGAGAGATTAGAGAAAGGCAGGAATTTCCAGGTAGAACTAGAAAAGAATCTTGCCTGAAACTCTTAGAAGTGTAAAGAAAATCTTCTTTTCTCTTGCTTTATGCCACAGCCCAAATGCAGGTTTCAAGCATTTGTCTGCAGTGTACTTTTTCAGAGGAACTAATGGGATATTTGTGAGTTCTCCCTGTAAATTCCCTTCAGTTAGACTTACTGAGGAGAAAGCTGAACTGAATATAAATGAAATTTGTTCTAAATAAATGTATATGGCATTGTTCTAGGTGTCTGTTACTAGCAAACATAAAGAGTGTTAATTAATTATTTTATTATTTCATTTGTACACACAGAGAGAGCGGGGGGTGGAGAGAGAGTAATACCACAGCACTGTTCTGGGTGGCTTACAAGGTAAAATGCAACAGAACAAACAAAATGTAATACAATCATAAAAACATAAAATAAAGAGACAAGCAAAATGAGATCCACAACACCTTAAAAAGCACAGCAGATTTATGATAGGCTCTTGTCCCTGAAAGCATGTGCCAAAATAAATATATATTGGAGGTGCTAGACATTCTTCTAGTGTTTTCTTATTAACCGAGGAAGTGGACTTATCCAGGAAAGCTCTCATTAAAATGTAGCAGTTAGTCTTTAAATTGCTACAATGTTTTTGTCTTTATTTTTCATTTTTCTTTGTATTCGCCTCTTAAAATTAGTATTCTTGGAATTGTACTGTAGCACAAATAGAAAGAAAGATGCAAGCACACCTAGAGATTTGTTGGATAGAAAGTGTTGCCCTGTGTATAGCATGTATGTTCAAACTGTATGTGCATGCTGCCATTGCCACTAAGGCCAGGTTCATCACTGAGTTGGCTCTCTCTTCTCTAGTATGACATTGAGTTGTGCGAGACTGGAAGATGGAGCTCGCTCATGTCTGGACCTTATGAATCATCCAGCTAGACTAAAACAATTAAGGAGATTATGCTGGAAGAGGTGTGCCTGAGAGCACCTTTTAGCCCCTACTGAGCCTCTTTTACATACCTTGGTGGCCTAGAATGAAGGAATGGACAGATCTGGATATTCAGAAGCCTTGGATCTAGAATAAGTGGATACAATCTCATTCCCATTGGTCTCAATGTCACAAGTTAATGGTCGGCTCTGTGGGGAATGTCTCTTAGTCCTCTCCCTGGTGGTCTGGCATAGGGATCTTGCCAATGGTGACAGACTCTCAGTAATGTTAAGCAGTATGGCAGCTGGTAGCTGTATTTTGTTTTCAGAAGATTACTTTTTGTAATATATGACTACGATACAACTGTGTGTTCCTAAGGTGTGAACATTTCACCATTTAAATACACCTGTCACTTTTTGCAGCTATCTTGGTCGGCTTTCATCAAGGACTTCCATTTTTTAAAACATGGTTCCCCTGCTTCTTAATGATGATGGAAATTAAATTAGAAGTTCTAGCCTCTACATGTATCAAGCAAAATAAACCATGGCCTCGAATCACTTGGCTGGGACAGGTAATCTTATTTAACATAACACCCAGTCTAAAGTTAAAATCTTTGAAATGAATAAAACTTAGCAATGCTTAACATTTTTACCAGACTGTAGTTTACTAGTTAGATTATATAGTGAGTAAATTCTTTTCAAAGCAAATGTTTTTAAGGAAATACAGTGATATGGTATTGGCTTTATTCGTACAACAATTGCTTCACAGTATCAAACCTTTCCCTCATTAAAGAGAGAGAGAGTTTGTAGGAATTCTGTATTACAAATCCTAGTTCTTATGTGATTTGTCCCACAACTATAACAAACATTGGCCATGATTTGGTACAGTGAACTCTATGTGTGTGTGAGCTTTTGAACCACTGTCTCTTCTACGGCAGTAGTCCCCAACCTTGGGCCTTCAGATGTTCTTGGACTTCAACTCCCAGAAATCCTGGCCAGCTGAGGTAGTGGTGAAGGCTTCTGGGAGTTGCAGTCCAAGAACTTCTGGAGGCCCAAGATTGGGGACCACTGTTCTATGGTGAGGAAAAAGCTCCATTTGACAGTGTATAATTCTCATACACACAGAACTTTCATTTTTGTTGCTTTGACCAAGAAACCCATGAGGAGCCTGTTGGTGCAATAGTTAAACTGCAGTACTGATGACTCTGCTCACAGCCTGAGTTCAATCCCATGCTCAGGTAGCTGGCTCAAGGTTGACTCAACCTTCCATACTTCTGAGATTGGTAAATTGATTACCCAGCTCATTGGGGGATGAGGGCAATGTGAAGCCTGAATAATTAAATTGTAAACCACCCAGAGATTGCTTTAAGCAATATGGGGTGATATGCAGTATAAGCAGCATGCTTGGCTGAAGCAAAGCCAAAAAAACCAACAACAAATAAATAAATAAAAAGCAACAGTAAAGCATGGTAGCATGTTCTGGGAAAGTGGTTGTGTTTATTCAGAAATTAAGTTTGTGGATAAATTAGAATGAGAGTAACTAATTGAAAGATTGATACCTTTCTTTTAATAACAGGAAAAGGAGGCTGTTTATCTTTTAGATGAAAAGAATATAAATGAAATTAATCTATTTTCGGGAAAGACAAAGAAGAAGATTCCACAATTATGCCATTTGCTGAAGAATGTCATTTTGTTAACAACCTCAAGAAATGGTTAAGTAACATGTTTGGTTGTGGTGACTGTAAAAATTTATTTAAACAGAACAGTATTTTTTAACAATTAAGTGAAAAGGAAGTGAACTCTTTCGTGAAATGACTAGTTTAATCATATCTAGAACATCACCTTGTTAACTAAATTATTATATTACCAGAGAATGTAAAGAAATTATTGGCAAGCTATACATCAGTTCTATGGGTGATAGGAAATATTTCTTATGTATTGGAATGAGAAAGTAAGAAATAGAGGATACCCCTTTAAATTTTGTGAGTGTATTGTTTGTATTGTTTCTCATTCTCTTTTAAAATAAAATTTTAACTTTTTTAAAAATGTACTACTCTTCTCTAATGGTTTCTATTGGTACATTCTAAGCTTTTCTTTGTCATAAACATAGTCCTGTTCAAATGTTTTTAAGGATTTGTGTTTCATTGGGGGGGAACTCCACAATTCTGTGCATTTATTTGATAGTAAGAATTATTGAATGTATTGGTTCTTTCATCTATGTAAATATGTGTAAAATTGTGATATTTGTCTATAATGTTGCACAATTTTAAAATAATTTTCATTTTTTAAATAGGAGCTTGGTTAGCAGGGATACTTAAAACAGGAGAGCTATTTCTTTGGAACAAGGACCAAGATACTATAAAGATGGTCCCATTAGCAGATGAAGTGAAAAAAGTGGTCATGGCAACACAAGGTAAGTATTTTCAAAAAGATTTGTTGTCCCTTTTAAAAAACATTTTTATAGCCTAAAATTACAGCTGTATTTATTTATTTAATATTTATTTAACCTATATGCCGCCCACACTACCCGAAGGTCTCTGGGCGGCTTACAGCATTTAAAATACAATAAAAAGGCAAAATAATTAAAATGCAATTAAAATATATATTCTAAAAATTGCCATCAGACCCACATTTGATGTTATTTCAGTTAAAAGCCATTTGGAACAGGAAAGTTTTGACCTGGCGCCGAAATGTCATCAGCGTCGGCGCCAGACGAATCTCAGTCGGGAGGGCATTCCATAGTCTAGGGGCAGCTGCGAAAAGGCCCTTTCTCTACAAGCCCTCCCTCTTATCTCCTTAAGGGGTGGCTCTTTCAAAAGGGCCCCCTGGCTAGATCTTAACTGCCGGGTAGGTTCATATGGAAGGAGGCGGTCCTTCAGATATCCAGGGCCCAAGCCATTTAGGGCTTTATATGTCAAAACAAGCACTTTGAATTGGGCCCGGGCAGCAACTGGTAACCAATGTAAATTAAACAGAATCGGCTTGATGTGATCTCTAGCAGCTCTACCACTCACCAGCTCGATTTTGGACCAGTTGCAGATTTGTAGATTAATACAGTGGACCCTTGACTTACAGACGGCTTGACTTACAGACTTTTTGAGTTACAGACTTCTCTGGCCGCAAAATTTAGGTTTGACTTGCAGACTGAGATTTGACTTACAGACCAGAAAAAAACCAAAATGGAACAAAAACGGCCTGTTATGGGATTAATCGGTTTTCAATGAACTGTAGGTCAATGGAGACTTGACTTACAGACTTTTTGACTTGAGAACCACCTTCCAATATGGATTAAGTTCTCAAGTCAAGACCCCACTGTAACTGAAAGCTGAATATTTGATTTATCCACACATTTCTGGGTTGTTTAATATTATTTATTAATGGAAATAAGGACATGGAGCTGAACCTTTTCATATATAGATTGAAATCCTGCTGCTTAATATGGGAAGTTGCATCTAGGCCCATTGAATCGATAGAACCTACAGAGGAGTTGACTCATGAAATCTCTGTTGATTCAGTGGGCCTGTGTAATTGCAACTTATTTTGCTTAGCAACAGGATTTCAGCAACTGCATACCTTAGTGTGGGCAGTACTGTTAAATGACTGCTCTACTTATTAATGCAGTATGGAAGGTGACCCTAATTCTGTGATAAAATGTGTTATATTGCATATATGATGCTTTGTTTAATCTTAATATTTATATTGTCTTTGTTGATTTTCATTAGCATCTATAGATGGGCATGAATTAAGTTGGCCTGGGGTGACGAAATTCATCAGTGTGGCACCACAAGTGTTGTGTATTCATTCCTCATAACCCCCAGCCATCTGCCCACTCACAAGTCTGAGCAGCTGACCGCTCAGACAAGGAAGTGAAATGGGGATTCTCTCTGCAGAGCTGTTGATCAGCTGATGGAGGCAGGAGAGAGGGGGAAGCCCAGGCTCCTCCCTGGACTGGGCAGCAAGCAAAGGAGGATGATCTCAGCAGTGCGCAGAGGCTTTTGAGGGGGGCAGCCGGCCGGGGGATGGGGGAAGGGAGTGCACCTGTGGTGCTGTGCCTATGGATGTTGTCACCTCAAGCTGACTTCATTTGTGCCTATCTCTATTAGCATCTGAGCTATTAGAATATTTCAAATACATAATGTAAAAATTGAAGGGCTGTTCTCACACAATATTTTTCTCCAGAATATTCTAGGAGATTCTACCTGTACGTTTCTGGTGATGGAAATAAGGCGCTTGTTACTACTCCAACTGTCTGTGTTTTTCTTTGGGAAAATATGGAATGCCAAAGTTCACCATCTAAAAATCCTGTAGCGGGCCAGTGGTCACAAATTATTCCTGAAGCATCCATTTTTTTACCATCAGTTGAAGAAAAAGAAACTGCAATGAGTGCTGATTTTATAAAAACTGAGGTAAATATAGATTAGATTTAACTTATTTATTTATTTTATTTATCATTTTATTTATTTTATTTATATCCCGCCTATCTAGTCAATTAAGACCTCTCTAGGCGGCTAACTTAACTTGGGCAATTCACTGAAGTTCAGTAGGCCTTCCCCAATTTGCTGTTGCACAGAGGTTTTGAAGTGCAGTTCCCATCAGGTTTGATCAGTGGCCATCCTAGCTGGGGCTGACCAAAATGATAGTCCAAAACATCTGAGGGATGCCATGTTCAAGAATGTTAGTCTGCATAAAATGTGTGCTGAATTTCCTGCTGTTTCTGTAGTTTCAGTCATTGTAAAAGGATATTATGTAGTTCTCATCTGCTGCTTCAAGTGAGTATTGACTAGGGCTCAGTTGGACAACGTGACTGATTATTATTCCCAATGTTTAGAATTAAATTCGTTCTGTTTTTGTGGGCAAAATGCCATTATTTATGTATAAGAGAGATGTTTTCTCTGAACCCTGAGATCTGTATAAAGAAAGAAGGAAAAGTCTTAAGGAAACTTTTTGGGGGCAACACCAAACAGCCCACTGAATACTGTGTGAGTTTTCATCGATCACAGTCAACTTAAAAGCATTCCCTAGGTGAACGGATTATGATGCCTGAAAGCTCACATTTAAACAAATTGATAGTTGTTAAGACTTCGCTACTCTTTTGTTTTATTTACCCTGTTTCCCTGAAAATAAGCCCTAACCTGAAAATAAGCCCTAGTATAATTTTTCAGGATGCTTGTAATATAAGCCTTACCTCAAAAATAAGCCCCAGTTAAGTGAAATCCCGCCCTCCACCCCTGTGCAACAACCAGAAGAAGATGCCACGACTGTATTTGAATACATGTAGATAGGTGTACATGAAAAAAAAATCCCCTGAAAATAAGCCCTAATGCGTTTTTGGAGCTAAAATTAATATAAGACCCTGTCTTCTTTTCAGGGAAATACTGTGTGTGCGTGCGTGCACACACGCACACACACGCACATATGCTGAAACAGACTAACACAGCTACCTCATTGGAAATTGTTGAAATAAGAAGGCATAAAATTGGAGTGAGGGAATGAAATGGAGTGACTGGAATCGTGAATAGAGAATCTCCACAATGCAACATTTTGTTGCAGGTCATGCTTGTGACATATTCGTGTAGGATACCTTGATCATAGCAATTTGTGCCAGCATGTTTGCTGCTAGGAACAATGTGCCATTGAGATTTGTGTATGGGATAGCAGTAAATATCCCTTTGCATACCATTTCCAAGGCAGCATCTTAGAATTCTGTTGTAACATTTTCAAATTTTTATACCAAATATATCTGAAGAATAAAGACATGAGAATGTACTTTATTAACTAAAAACCTGGTTATTCAAACAGGCCTCCCCCCCAGTCAACTAAGTAATTTTTTCTTTTTCTTTTTTCCCCCCTCTTATTTCTTGACTTTTGCCATCTGGTATTATATATGTTACTTATACTGTATGCTGCTTTAATGTGTTTTAACTTATGTAAGCCGCCCCGAGTAGACGTTGTCTAGAGGGGCGGGGTAAAAATCGAATAAATAAATAAATAAATAAATATTATTTATCCTGCTATACCACAGAAATTACACGAGCTACTTAATAAAACAAGAATGAACTCCATATAATGTGGAATTGAACATTGTCTGAAATCCTGTTGTGCAGCTGCAAGTATGCAACAGGGATTATGTCAAAAGCAGCAGCAAATGGTTACTGATAAAAGACAAATTACTGATTATTAAACATCTATTTCAGGATGCACATAGCTCGTACGCAATGCAGTGAAGTCGCACGCACCTTGTCATCATCAAAGGAAGCCTTTAATTAGAGTCAATTTGCCGCTGTTGCTGACATCATCACCATTGTGTATGTGGAGCTATACAACAGGATTTCAGCTACTGTTTGTGTGTTAATTGTTGAATCAATCCATACTTTGTTATTAAACATTATTTTGATTCTTTGGCAGATGCTTGGAGACATTTGTTTGTGTTCTTTTGCATTTTATTCTGATGAAAATTTGATGCTGATATTTTTGGAAATCAGGTGGCAGGAGAATGCTTTAACAAATGCACGGTAGGATTAAAATATATTTACTAAATGTACTAAATGTGCATCTTGTTTTTGTGACATTATGTTCTGTTATGATTTATTGGATTGTCATTCTTAAAGCCAGGTTTCAAAACTTTGCTGACGGTGAATTGAATGCTACTGGATATTACTAAAATATGCTAGATTATATTTATCTATTTATTAATTTATTTATTTTATTGTATTTATACCCCGCCTATCTAGTCATTTCGACCACTCTAGGCGGCTTACAGCATAAAGGATAAAAAGTTCAAGAAAAATTTATAACAATTAATTTATGCTAATGTATCAATATTACAAACTGCTGGGTAGTTCAATGGTTTAGGTATCTAGCTGTGGAACTAGAGGTTGATAGTTTGGATCCAGGCACTTTTAGGTGGATAGCATGTACTGTAGGCCTTGAGCACAAACTCTATATGCATTTATATATAATACTGTATTAAAAATTCTTAACAATAGGTTATATTTCTTAGTCTATATCTATCTGAATTTTTTTAAATTTTAAAAAATTAAATTAAAATATGCACATCCTGCCTTTCCATCCTAATTTAATCTTGTCACAAAGCACAGTTGTTCACTTCATATATTTAGCACTTCATGCGTCAACTAAAATGAGCTAAAGGAAAGCTTTGGGCTCAGATTTGCACTTCCTGTCTTTCTTTCCAAGTAGGATACACTGGGCACAGCAACAATGTTGCCTGACTGGTCTGGCTCCCCCATGTGAACCAGTTAAATCAAGAGGAGCACTGCTTACTGCCTTTTCACGTGATGGGCTTACGCTAGCCGTAGCTGTCAATCAAAAGGATTTACAGGTGCAAACATTAATACAGTAATAGAATGGTGATTATGTTGGTATTGTGTACTGTACTTTGTGAAGGGTTGCATTGTAAACTGTTGATTTCCCCACTCCTTCCTTGCCTGGTATCCTTTAGAGCAGTGGTCGCCAACCCCCGGTCTGCGACCCGGTGCCAGTCCGTGGCCTAGGCAGGACCGGATTGTGGACACAGATCTCCCCCCCTGCGAGCGCCCCCTTGCGAGAATGCCCTGTGCATGCGCACAAGTGCACCACACCCCATGCACAAGCGTGCCATGCCCACCCATGAGTGTGCCATGCTCCCCGTGAGTGTGCCACCTCCCCAACTGGTCCACAGTTGGGAAAAGGTTGGGGACCACTGCTTTAGAGCTGCCTGAAAATGCTATACAGAAAACTAGGGCCCTTTCCTGAATCATGTGAGTTGTGGCACGGTGGGCTGGAGGGGAAGGGGACTCTTTCATGATCAGGTGAACGAGGAAGCCAGGGTAAAGTCTGATGTTGGAAGTTTTCATTTAGGTTTGCATCCAGCAAACTCCTTAGGAAAGAGCTGGTGGTAAAATCAAATGCAGTGCATTTTGTTGTTTACTTATTTATTTTTGTAGGAACCTAGGAACTTACTTTATTCAGAAGTAGACTGTTGGCCCATTCAGTCCAGTATTGTCACATCTGACTGGTAGAGACTTTCCAGATTTATAGGCTAGCCATGCCAGACGGTCCCTAATATGCCATGATGGACTGCTATCTAGGTACTAATTAGGCCAAGCTAGTGTAACTGTCATTTCTTTTTTCAGACATCCCAGATTTTGTTTATGAACACTACAAATTTTGTTACAGTTACTGGTAGTCTTAAAGGTTGCGGTGCCAAGAATCACAAAATTTCATCCAAATTGGTAAGGTCAGTGTCTGAAATTAGTTTAAAGCTGCCTGGTTTATTAAAGTTAATTAAATGGTTTTTAAAAGGTCTGTGTAGATAGCTGGACACAGATTCCTAAAGGTATGCTCTGTTGTATTATTTTAGGTCTTACTGGATTGCTGACATGACCTGGACTACTGACAGCCTTTTTTTGGCTTGTATGTTAAAACGTGGATCATTGATCTTAATGACATGCTTGGGTGAATTGTTGACTTTAGTTACTTTTGGTTGTTCTGTAGAATTTGGACCAGCAGAATTCATTCCTCTACATCCACTAATAATGTACAGGTGAGATAATCGAAACGGGTTTATTACAATAAGTTGATCATATTTTTCTTTCTTACATATTCCTCTACTTTAAATGCTTCACCTTTCAATTAATTCTTTTGCTTTATCTGTGTCTTTCTTCTCAACATCTGTTTCTCATTCATATTTCTCTTCTGTTTCTTATAATGGCTTTGTCCTGCTGAACAAATGACATTTTCATCATGTAAGTACAAGTTATTTAAACAACTATTAGGGTCACTTAGTAATAACTTGCATGAGATAATCAGTAGCACAACAAAGAATGAAATAACATTGGATTAAAAATACACTGTAATTCTGTAGAGTCTCTCAAAAATTAATCCAGTAATTCAAATAAACATGTATGGAACAAATACCGGTACATGTGAAATTTCTAGAACTGCAGCCAGACTGCCCACTGATACTTGCAGCTGTACTTATCGATATAGAACCCTGACAATTAATGCTTCTGTAGATAATTTTGCATGATTGAAGAGGCTAGATAAATAGTATGTTATTTTATTCTGCAGTTTTTAAAAATATGCTTTTAAATATATGTAGTATATTATTTATTAAAATTATTTAAACTTTTCTTCACCCTGGTAAATAAAAGTACCGTGTACCAGAGGTATGAAAAATGTTAAACACCCCAGAAATAAAATGTGATAAAACAGTTCAGGCTACATTTTGATAAAACTAAACCCAGGCATGAAAACAGGCTAAGCTTCAACCACCTTTAAAACGTTTTAAATGCTTTGACAAACATCAGAATTATAGTTACATTAAGAGTTCAATAAGCTGTAAGCACCCTGAAATACAGACAAACATTATATACCTTTCTGGCTATTGTAATTGTGTTGTCTTGTAACACGATTAATTTAAATTTTCCTTAGTCTTATCTGCATTGATGTAATTCTGCAGCTATATATTTGCTTATGGCTACTATTACATGTGATGTTCTATATTGAATTGATATGCATGGACTTGTGGCAAGTCTTAACATGTAGATTCTTCTCTATGCCAAGGCCTGTGCGTACTATTGTATGTATACTGTATTCAGCCTTCTAAAAAGAGTAAGCTGGTTAATCTCGAGGTCTTGTGCATTAATACAATGCAATACTGTATGTTTACTTCCTCTCACGTATAAACAATTACACTGGAAAAGATTAAAATCTAAACATAGGGGAAATGCTCAGTAGAGATTCTTTTGAAAGTAATATCTTCTAATACCTGCTGTTTATTATTTCCTCCCACCTGCCTTGTAATATCAGCGGGCTTTGTTATTGTTTTTAAAGATCAGATGTTGCCACTTCCTGCTAGAATAAAGATAAGGCATGGCATTGCTTCATATAAATTCCTTAGAATATGTTTGAATGGCTGTACCTGAAATTCAGCCATAGAAGTAATATCTTTTTCTATGTAATATATACCATGGATATGTATTATACCATCTTATCTACCCGGGTGGTTTACAGGAACTTTATCAATATAACTCCTTGGATGACTGGGAAACAAATCAAAGGAAGGACAAGTCCTTCCCACTTGCTGATATTTTCAAGTTGTCACCTTTCTTCCAAAATATGTTTGTTTTTTAAATTTTAACTTCTGATATGACAAATTAAAAAATATTTCCATGGAAATCTTGAAATCAGAACAAGAAATATTAAGAACAATAAACAGATAAAGGCAGACCATTAAAACAAAACAATAGGTACTGTAAAGCATAGCATGAAAAAGTCTCAGCGAAAAGTTAACACTGGGAGAATAATATCTTCACCTTGAACTAGGAGAATCTATTACCAAGTGCCTAATATTTTTCTAAGTGGAGATTATTCTGTAGGTGGAATGTTATACTGTAACTGGAAAGGTCCTCACCCTTTCCCCATCCTGACAGACATCCGGAAGAGGGCCTTAAAGAATTATCTCCGTGCACAGATGTCTTTGTATAGAAATGGATGATCGGTTAGATATCTAGATCTCTGGAATGTATGAATGTAGCTTTTCTGCCATCATGTTCTGGATTAGGTAGATATTTCACATCCTGTGAGATGTGTTATAAGATAAACTGTGTCAAATAGAGGCTATTCCCTGCTTTGTTATTGTGTGACTGAAGCCCTGTTGCTAACTGTAGTAAGTTGTAACTAGAGTATCACCCATTTGAGTCAGTGGAATGTACAGAAGATTTGACTCACCAAATCCCCACTGACTCAGTCAGCTTATTCTAGTGTGACGCGATATGCAAAGCAACAGGATTTCAGCCTGTATGATGCCAATAGTTATGTTGCATAGTTTGCAGATTTTGTTTTGTTTGGTTTGGTATTCATTCTGTTACGTGATCAGCACTAAGTTAGTTGCATCTTTTTTTAAGCTTAATTTCAGCACAGAATTTTGAGAAATTAGTTCGTTGTCATTCTCCATTGCGGCATTCTTGAGTAATTTTTCCATCAGCCAGGTAGATGAAGAGCCACCTATGTCTCCTTGTTCTCAAATAACTGTTGGTGCCTGTTCGTAATTTGCCGCAGAGACTTAAAATAGCTAAATGTGGTAGAACTGTGACTCTCTTTTCAGTAAAATGAGATTTGTTTTCTTCAAAAGAGATTTTCCCTGACCTAGCAAGATAAGGGCTCTTAAATAAACAGTCTTAAAGAGATCATCTTTTCATTTCAAGTATTCTCTTTCACAATCTCCTTTAAATGTTTTTAAAATAAAAAAGGTACATAGACATGATTGGAAAGTCATAATGAGGAGGGACACAATGTAATAATAGTGGTGGATTTAGTTTGTCTTGTTGAACTTTTTTTTTTTAACGAGTACCATCTGGGTGGCTTGTTAACATTCAAAATAGATCTGATATCCATTTGGTTCATTTGTAACATATCAACACTGAGAGTTATTCCTTTTCTAGTAACCTGTGACCATTCAAATATTCTAAAGAAAATTTAAAATCATTATGACTATCATAATGGCTGAAATCCTCTTGGCATAACTTGCCCTACATAAGATTGATGACATCACCATGGTGATTTTTCAGAATTTAAACATTTATGACTTCTGTCTCTAAGCTTCTGAGGGTCCTGTGTAACCATATTATCGTTGGTAAGCCATAGAAACTGGGGGATGAAAGGCAAATGTCTTTAATTGCCTATACAGTATAACTGCTGAAGCAATCAGCCTTCTTTTACATACTTTTTAAAAAAATATGTCCTAGAAGTGTTGCTGCAACTATCTTTTCCCACGTTTTAACCATGCTGCAAGATTTTAACTGTTTTCCCCCTTTCCACATTTCCATTGCTTTGTCATACATTTTGTAGTATCAAATTTATCATTAAATTGCTGAAGCAATCGGCCTTCTTTGACATACTTTTTTTAAAAAAAATATGTCCTAGAAGTGTTGCTGCAACTATCTTTTCCCACGTTTTAACCATGCTGCAAGATTTTAACTGTTTTCCCCCTTTCCACATTTCCATTGCTTTGTCATACATTTTGTAGTATCAAATTTATCATTAAATTTTACAAAGTAGAAATAAGAGCCAATGTGGTATACTAATAAAATGAGGCACTAATACTTAGGAGACCTGGGGTTGAATGTGCACTTAACCATAGAGACTCATGGAGGGTGGCACTGGTAAGACCATTCTTTTAACATCTCACATAACTTAAAAACATTATTGGGGTCATTGTAACTCAGACATGACTTAATGGCTCCCCCTCCCCCCACAGTCAATTACTGTTATTTCATAGAATCATAGAATACTGAAGTTGAAAGAGGCCTATAAGGCCATTGAGTCCAACCCCTTCCTCAATGCAGAAATACAGTTAAACGTTATCTTTCAGTTTGTTGTCCAAATTTCTCTTGAATGCCTCCAGTGTTGGAGCATTCACTACCTGTCAAGGTAACTGGTTCCATTGCCATACTGCTCTAACAGTTAGGACGTTTTTCTTGATATTCAACCGAAATCTGGTTCCCTTTAACTTGAGCCCATTGTTGCATGTCCTGTACTCTGTGATGATCGAGAATAGATCTTGCCCCTCCTCTGTATGACAGCCTTTTAAGTATTTGAAAAGTGCTGTCATATCCCCCCTCAGTCTTCTTTTCTCAAGGCTAAACATGCCCAGTTCTTTCTTTGTACTCTGGATTTTGGTATCCATTACAATAAACTAACAGTGAAAGTTCTTTTTCTTGGACAAATTTCTAAAACTGTGTAGCAGAATGGAGAGGGGTGGGCAATTTCCCCTGAAATCAAAGGGCACTTTTCAGCCTCCAAGACCCACTGGAAGCCACACCAACTGGTCAAAATAGAACTGAAAGTGGGTAGAAGTTCTCTGACAGTTTTGTAAACTGGCTTGTGGGTAGATTGGAGAGCTGAAACAAGACATGGGTGGACTGCTGATTGTTTTAAGGCTTCAAAGAATAGAAATAACTTTCCTCTTTCTTGGAAAGGCTTCAAGAGGTATGGGGGATCTTTATAAGGCTCTTGGGCCTCAATGAAAGTGGCCAGCGGAGGGTTCCTGGGAAGCTCTGTGCATCCAGGAGAATAGAGAATTCCCGTACCCAGTATAGAGTATTCTATTTATTTCCTATGCAAAGGAATATCACCATGCAAAAGAAAGAGTGTATCTTGTGTAGTGTTTAATGTGCCTTTTAAAAATGAAATGATTGCATTTATTGCCTGTTTTTCTGAGAATGTATATTCTTTAATCTGCTAGATCACAGAACTCTTTGTTGCAAGATTTGAATCACTGTCATGATTCATCAGCTTCTGAGGGAGATCTCATGAGGCAGAGATTCTCTATAACGTCACATCCGAGTTTACCCTACCTCATTACATCTGATGGATACATAGTCACAGTTCTTAGATTTACTGATGGTTTCTCACCTTCAGCATATATGAGGTCACTACTACTTGATTCAGCCCAGAGGCTTGAAAAGCTCCGCCACAATCTAATTACATCCAAGGTATTGTTGCTTCATTTTTTTTACCATGTAGGTTTAGAATTCAGATCCCCATATTCTTGCCTGGAAGTGCTGACTGGATGTCACATATTGATCACATCAGAATAGTATTCCTTATTCAATAATTGAGTTCTATTTTGACCTTAAATTTAAGAAGCCCAAAGGTTCACAATTTCAAGGTGGATCATTTTTCATTCCAGTCTGTCTGCATGCTGCATTAAATTATTTAATTAATCATCTAATATCATTTCCAGATTTGTAAGAGAAGAGGCTAGGTTTTAAAAAGCTGTTTTTCTGATGATGTCTCAGCTATGGAGCACATCCTCAGAAAGATATGCTCACTGCCAACTTTGCTGTGTTTTTATTTATTTATTTATTTATTTATTTATTTATTTATTTATTTATTTATTTATTTATTTATTTATTTATTTATTAGCTGCACCATTGCCAGTGGCTTCTTTTAAACAGTGGGCAAACATTTTCACTGATGTAAGAATTTTTAACTCTCTGAATTTTAATGGCAATTATATTTGCTCACTAACCGTTCAGTTATCTGGCCGTCTCTGTCAACACAGAAAATATATTTGTAGCCTTCCCTTGAGGATTGTATAGCGAGAGTAGGGCCGCTCCAAAACTTTTAAAGTTCCAGAAGGTTACTGAAGTCAATGCTGTTGGGGTACAAAACCTATATGTGTGAATGCACAGATGACTACTTTGAAGAACTGGATGCAGGCAAGGAGCTGTTGTTTGTTCTTTCCTCTAATTATATTGCCTTTGCTACCAATTTTGCTGCTCCATGTTATGTACATTTTTAAATGTCCATCAGGACAATACCGATTGTGCTTTTTTTTCTGATTTCAGTCTTTAATCATATTTTCTGTGATCCACATGCATTGCTAGCCTTAGCATCTCATTCAGCTGCTTCCATCAATTCATAAAAGACAAATAAATTGACAATAATATTGTGTTTTTTCCCATCAGTCTAAGGAGAAAAGGCTGCCTCTGCAACCATTGTCTTCCTTAAGAGCTAATCTATTGCAGCAGCATCTAAATCAAAATTGTTCCTTATCAACTATTCCGAAATTTCTTCAGGAAGAGAAGAGGGCAGCAGAAGTAAATGGAGAATCAACATGTATACAGGTATTCAGGATTCTTTTCAAACTGATTTATTTATATATATGATTTAGGATCATATAGAATAATACAGTTGGAAGAGGTCTAAATAAAGTCCAGCCCCCTGCTCAGTGGAGGAATCCAAGTTAAAAGGAAGGTTAACTTGAATAGTATGAGGCAGAATAATGGTATTCAATATCCATGATATTTCTTGTTCCCATAGCAGAGAAGTCAGTTCTGACTTACAGCAACCCTTTTCAGGATTTCCTAGGTATAAAATACTCAGAAGTGGTTTATGGCTCCATTCCTCTGGTGGCAGTTTGGGACTGTGTAGCTTGCCTAAAGCCACATAGGCTACCTCTTCTCATACAAGTCTGTGACATAAGGGTATGGCAGCCGGGGGTGCATGAGTCGTGAAGGTGGGAAAGAGACAAGGAGGCGATTCTTCTTCTTCAAAATCAACAATTTTATTTGAACGATAACTTAATTCAACTGGATCAAAGGGATCCCTTAAAACATCATCGGATAACAAGTGATATCTCTTGGGGCGCAGCATATCAGAATTCCCTTCAATGTCTACAAGGGGGCTGGGCCAAAGCGCTCCCGATCCGTCAACGGACATAGGGGGGTGCTCCTTACCACGCACACAGTCCCGCAACAGGGATGGCGGGCCCAGTCTCCCTCCAGAGGCTTCTGTTGAAACTCGGGGCCTGGTCGGATCACTTTCTGGCCCCCAAGGAAATTCTGGGGGTACACTGAAACGATCCATTCCAATGGATTGTACGTGCGGCCTCAACCACCTGGGGGGAAGGGGTCCAGCAATAATCCCCCTCCTTGCCATAGGTTGGGGAATTCTCTTGCTAAACCCGGTGTGGCTTCATTTGCGAGCATGGGTTCGGTCTGAACCCCTCGATTCACATATCTTCCCAGTGCCCCTTCTCCCAGCCAACTGAAAACTTGCGCGCTTCCCTCCTCCTTTTCATCTTCCTGAATAGTATGAGGCAGAATAATGGTATTCAATATCCATGATATTTCTTGTTCCCATAGCAGAGAAGTCAGTTCTGACTTACAGCAACCCTTTTCAGGATTTCCTAGGTATAAAATACTCAGAAGTGGTTTATGACTCCATTCTTCTGGTGGCACTTTGGGACTGTGTAGCTTGCCTAAAGCCACATAGGCTACCTCTTCTCGTACAAGTCACACTCTCTTCTACAAGGAACCAGACTCCCAACGCATGGCATGTTCCAACTCACTGAGCTATCTCCTACCAGGCAATACATCTGTCCATTGCATCACTTTGAATTGTCAACTTCTGTCTTATAACTGACACATGCTTTTCTTTACATGTACTATGGAATACCACCCCGCCCAGAATATCTTTTTACTTCATTTTCATATGATCACTGTTTCATGGCTTAGATGCAAAAGCACCTTTCCATGAATATAAAGCCTTTTCTTCCTGTGGAAGCACTGTTCTCAGCTTTGTGAATAGTGAACTAAAATCTTGCAATGTTCTCATTGTGCAAATATTGTGCAAGACTATTCACTCTTTTCCTCTTGTTACCACATTTTTTGTTTGAAGGCTTTTAATTCAAATCTCTTATTTGCCCACAAAGTCCTAATGGTTAGGGTGCAGATATTATCCCACTGCACAACATGATGTAATGCCAATCTATGCATGCAGCAGTCATTGCAGCTTGCTTTACAGCTGAGAACTGTTTGTACTTAAGCCATTCTGACCTATTTTACATGGAGGAGCGTGTGCATGCAACTTGGCCTAGTGCTTTGCATTGTTCTCCAATCCATACTGTCTAAATTCTTTGTAATGTAAAGGATTTAACTAGCATGGTTATGGTTGTTAGTAGAACAGCATATGTAAGTGAAAGTACTTTGCTGGTAGTTTGTCACCATGTATTTTTTCCATGAATATAATACTTATGAATAGACATATCTCAGACTATTGACAATGTCTCTCTTAAATTTAGGATTATAGTGATGACTCTGACGACGACAAGATGTTTCAAAGTCATTCTTTCATTTGGGGAAGCCCAAAAGCAGCTGTCTCTTCATGTGATGAAGGCCGTTTGGAATTTGCATCAATGTTTGACACTATTCATGCAGTAGATTGTCCTGGAGAAAAAGACAATACATCTTTGGAACTGAATTGTATCCAAAAAAATCTAATTGCAGCTTGGAGAGTGGGAATTTCAAGTAGTATCCAAGAAAGAGACAAGTTGCTAAGCTACACGATACATTGCATTACGCACTTTTTTAACATTCTCCAGTTCACAAAGCTTAACTTCGTACATTTAAATAACGCTTTCGGGAATCGTCCATGGATGCAGTGTGTCTTAAAATGTTTCCAACAATTTTTGACTGTACTGAGTTGGGAGAGTAAGCACAGACACACTCTGGGGCATTTGATGAAGCTCACGTTACAGACCCTGAAATTGATGCTTGCTGAACAACAGGATGGCATGTTCTCCAGTAGTCTTTTGGGAGGCTTCTCGTTGCTGAAGATAGTGAGTCATTATTTAAATGGCAAAAACATACCACAGTATGCAACATTTTCAACACTTTTGAATATTAATAACGTGGAGCTAGATTCCATAACTACACCTTTGTTTCGTTCTGTGGACTGCAACAGCCATCAAAGTTTCTGCGCATTGGATTCCATACAAAAGGCTTCTGCAACTGTGAACTTGACAAAGAATTCAGAAAATAGGTATTTTTCACTTCGGCTTCAAAATTAGTTGCATGGCTCTTTGGATACTAGCCATTATGTTCCATTGAATAGACAGAAGATGGCAAAATATATAAAGATAATTCAATTTCTTTCGAAGCACATCCCAGGCGGGTGGGTTAGCAGCCATTAAAAATAAAATGTGACTCATCAGATTAAGATATGCATATGCTTCTTCATTAAATAACCAGCCCAAGGAGATAGTTTTACAACTTTTCTGTAGTGTATTTTGTCTTGGACGTCAGTGGAACCCCAGATGAAGCTAGGTGTGTGTGTTTCTAGATCTCAGTGGTTTTATCAGACCACTTTTTGTATAGTATTGAATACCATCAGTGTTCTTTAGTTTAGATGAGGGGAGCATTTTTTATTTGAAAAGAATAAGAAATCCATACATACATACATACAACATTTATAGTCATTATGAAGTTGAATTATAAAAATGGTGGACTTCTGATGCTTGCTTTTGCTGAATGGGTTACCTGGCCTTGTCAGGTAGAGATAATTTTATGTAAAATATATTTGCATGAATTTGATTTATTGGGTGGTAAGGTACTGAATTTCCAATAAATTGCAAGTATTAAGTCATGTATGATTTCATGTTCCTCCCAAATGTATGTATACTATAGCATGCATTACTAAATTTCTGTCATGTGTGGCTTTTGCTATAAATGTTTGTTTTTTAACTTTAGGTTGATTGTCATGTGGCGGCTATTATATAAGCATGTTCTTTGGTATTGGGCAGAGCTCAACAAAAAAGCACAAAACTCAAGTAAGGCAATAAAAGAAAAACTACTGGCTAATGAAGGACCACTCACTGGAGCTCTTGCAACTCATATACAGGCAGTCTTACAATCTTCAGGAGAGAAGCTGGAACAGACATTCCGTCTCAACTCTGTGTCTGGTATGTATTTTCCAAGAAAAGACCATAAGCTGATGCTCATATTCCATCTGGTGCCACAAGGGCTGCTCTGTGATCTGTTTATTGCCTTCATTTAATATGCTGGTTTTGACTTTTTAGGCTGTAAATTAATTGGGACCAAATTATTTGAAGAGTTGCATACCTTCCTTCCACTATTCTTGAGCTTTGATGTCAGCTTCAGATGCTTTGCTCTGTAGTCCTCCAGTGAGAAGCTGGTAGCTACAAAATACAAGCTTGTTCAGCAGTTGTCCCATATGTGTGAAATTAAGTTTTCCCAAACTCTTAATCTGTTTTTCTCTTGCGTCGCTCTTAGGTGGCCTCTAAAACTAGTTTCACTTATTCTTCCTTTCACTTTTATGTTTTAAGCCCCATGGTGTGTGTGCGTGTGTCTGCTTGGTTGGTTGCTTAAGCCTATCCAATTGGGTCTCTTTCCAGCTGTTTGTATATATTACATTTAGTCTTGCTTAACAGTTTCTGTCTCTCTTTTAATTGTTTCTGCCTAACTGAATAAAAAGGACATGGTGGTGCTGAGGGTTAAACCACAGAAGCCTTTGTGCTGCAAGGTCGGAAGACCAGCAGCCGTAAGATCGAATCCATGCAACTGAGTGAGCTCCCATCGCTTGTCCCAGCTCCTGCAAACCTAGCAGTTTGAAAGCATGTAAAAATGGCAGTAGATAAATAGGTACCACCTCGGTGGGAAGGTAACAGTGTTTTGTGTCTAGTCGCGCTGGTCACGTGACAACAGAAACTGTCTATGGACAAACGCTGGCTCTGCGGCTTGGAAATGAGGATGAGCATCGGACATGACTAGACTAAATGTCAAGGGAAACCTTTACCTTTACCTAACTACCAGAATATGCTTTCTTAGAGCATTGCCCTAAACAGGTGGCTAACGTCAGCAAGCTTGGGGGCCAACATTTTGCCTCCAGGCCCTTTTGCGGCACACTGGAAACAGTTGTTCTTGACTGGGTTTAAAAAAACAAAATAAACAGGATGCAATTTCAGGGAGCACTCCTAACTCCAGATGCAAAGTTTAGGGAGTTTTGGACAAAGCTAATGCCAGGCTGAGGGAGTTTCAGGCAAAAGTTTTTATAATTTTTATTGGGTGTTGTGTTCAAGATACCCCCCACCCCAGGGGCCATATCCCTATATGGGACACATTTTTCACATCTCCATCCTAAAAGGTGGAAAGTTCTAAAAGCTGAGATATAAATATTTAAAATAAATAATTTAATTTCCAGCCCAGGAACCACCACATTTTCTTATTTGTTCCTACTCTGCAAAAATCTTTTCTGCCTAAAATAATACATTTACAGCCTGAAGCTGAAAATATAATTGAAATTAGCTTTTATAATGCTTTCTTTCCCATGAAAAGGTTGTGGTTATTTTTACATCCACTAGATTAGTGGTTGCCAACCTTGGGTCCCTAAATGTTCTTGGACTAAAACTCCCAGAAGCCTTCACCACTAGCTGTGCTGGCCAAAATTTCTAGGAGTGGTAGTCCAAGAACATCTGGAGACCCAAAGTTGGGAACTCCTGCACTAGATCCAATGCCGTTAGTTCCTGCCTTCCTCCTAGAATGCCCCCGTTTCAGGCCTGCCATGTACAACTGCTGTTTGAAGATTTTGTGTCCAGGTTCCAGAACAGATGCCCTGTGCCTGCCGCTGGAGCAGCCTCTCTGCTCTATCCTGCCCTTTGTGGGCAGTCACCAGTAGAGTTTGTGTTACAAAGGATATAGCTGGAAATGGCTTGTGTGATTGCTGAATTTTTGTTTGATTTGTTTGATTTTAAGGTGAGGAACGGTTTCTAGTAGGATCTTATCAAGAGTCAGTGGATGCATGGGAGAGAGCTCTTCAAGAAGCAAAAGCGAAAGGTACAGTTACGAGAAATGGATGGCATTTAATGTTTCATCATAATCCTCTGTAGAAAAATGTTGTGTTTATTAAAGTATTTATACTCTGCTTTTCAGGCAAAGTGGTTTACCAAATCAATATAAACCAGTGGTTCCCAACCTTGGGTCTTCAAATGTTCTTGGGCTACAACTCCCAGAAATCCTGGCCAATACAGCTAGAGGGAGTTTTAGTCCAAGAACATCTGGGGACAAAACCAGCCCTGCCTTTATTTAGGCTTACAGGTTAAAACATATGGCCTAAGTGGGAAAAGGGATGAGAGGAGACATGAAAAACAAGAAACCTGGACACCAGGGCTCAGTTATGAGGTTCTTGCAGCAACCAGGTGTAATGCAGATCTATAACTGTGATTATTGTATTGCTGCCAGAAGTTTGTGGCATGCTTACCATGAGCAGCTGCAGTGGAAACAAATTCAAAGAAAAGAGGAATAAAAAATTGCTAGAATGGCCATTCTTCATATATTTTTCTTTGCTGCGACCTTGGGAAATAGCTGTTAAGTAACAATAGGTGACAAAGCAAACCTGCTGAAGCTGGCTTCTCAGCAAGGCCCCTTAACCTAAGTACAAATAAATTGAGAGATCTGATTTCTAAAGGCATCAATTGTTTTTGCACTTTCGTTTTTGTTGTTATTTTAACATAATCTTAATTTTGAAGATTTCTGGTTATCAGCCTGCACATTTCACACCTTTTGCTGAAGGAAGCAAAGGAGTAGCTGATACAATTCCTCTTCCAAAGGAGGCTGTTTTCTCTTTATTATCTTCAGGGTAAGTATTAAGCACCATGAAAAAATACATATAAACGCAAGAGACTTGTGAGTCAATGTGTTGACATAGTAGTTGAATTAGGACTGGGAAGACCCTGGTTATCAGCCTGCACATTTCACACCTTTTGCTGAAGGAAGCAAAGGAGTAGCTGATACAATTCCTCTTCCAAAGGAGGCTGTTTTCTCTTTATTATCTTCAGGGTAAGTATTAAGCACCATGAAAAAATACATATAAACGCAAGAGACTTGTGAGTCAATGTGTTGACATAGTAGTTGAATTAGGACTGGGAAGACCCTGGGATAAATATACATTAAGCACCATGAAAAAATTCATATAAACGCAAGAGAATTGTGAGTCAATGTGTTGACATAGTTGAATTAGGACTGGGAAGACCCTGGGATAAATATAATGCAATGCTTTCAGTAAGATAGGAGCTTTTCCTCTCCTTCTCCTACTGCTTCTGCTAGAAGATGCACCCTATTGGGTTTTTATTTCTGTTAGGTTTTTATTTCTTTTATTATTTCCCTTTTGCAGTGAGACCATGGGTTGTTCATTATCTTTCATCCTAATATACTGACAATATTGGTGTATCCTGACACAAGGATGAAGATGGTGGGAGCCCTATGCTTAGCACCAAAACTCTATGGAAGAAGGCTGTGATATAAAGACAAAAATTAATGTGCAAGGCATTGTTGAAAGTTCCTTGTCAGGTTGATAATTATGTGTCAGAGCTCTGTCCCTGTAACTGGAGAAGCTTTACTTGTCCACTCTTGAGCCTGTTAATGCACACAATTGAAAAAGCAGTATTCAAGTAGAGTTAATCCTGTTTTCAGTATTATTCATTCACAGAAAATGTATTCATGTCTACTGGCATGAATTTAAGTAGTAGTATTATTACTTGAGTATTGATAAGTATTATTAGTAATAGAATTATTCACGGTGTAAGTGAGAGCCATTTTTTCCCTGCAAGCCCAGGGTTGCTGTTTTTACGTCTAGGTAATTATTTCCCTTTTTAATACAGGAGGAAAAAGAATGCCTTTTCTTCAAACTCGATACTATCTTGCTATGTTGTATTGCCACCTGTATCACTATGGCCTAACTGAGGCCCAGGGTCTATGCGATCGTCTAGTGAGTGAGCTTCTCAGACGAACTCAAATTTCTGTAAGAGACAGAGATGATGAATCAGGTACGTGTATGTGGAATATCACAGCTAGCACAAGAAGTTTATTGTAACACAATATGTAGTACTGTTGACATGTTATGCCACTCTTTAAAAGTGTATCATTACAGTAACAATGTTATATTATTAAAAAGTTGCTCTTACAACTGATGCCTTCCATATTTTTTAATGGAGTGGATAATACAATATGTTTTAAGAAGAGAATGACAACCTTGCAGTTTGCTGCTTTTAGAATCCCTTTCAGGAATCCACAGTATCCCTGCCTTAACAACAGTTTGTCAGAATTGTTCTAGCATGTAACTTGATTACCATTTTTTTTACTTCTGTAATGAAAACGCTAATTTAAAGGCCAAATTCAGGCTTTTATTAATTCAAGAAGTTGTCCAACCAACCGTAATTTTTGACAGTGATCCTGCTGAATTCCTACTGAATTATGACTTCTGCTGCTGTAGTAATAGAATCCGATACAGGAATCTTGTTCACATTTATCTGGGATTAAGAATTGGGATTGGCCTGTTGAAGTCAGTGGGGTACATATTTGAGTAAACATGCATAGAACTGCACAGTTAATGAGATCCTCTATTGCTGAATTTGTCTATAAGGAATTTTAACAAGTAAAGCTTCAATACAAGTTGACATAGAGAAAGATAATGCAAACTGATGTACTCAAGGGAATAGTAATATAATTGTATGCGTTTGTACACAAAAGTAACCTGTGTTTTATTAATAGGACTTGTTCCTGGGTAAGTACTTCCACAACTTTGTCTTTAGGGCCTTGTTTCAGGAAAGCAAAGAAATCCGTACATTACAATGATTAATGGTGTCCTTCATTTCTCTAGTAAAAGAAGGTTGATAGGTGTTTGTTAATTGTTCAGTGACATCTTGGCATAATTTGGAGGTGACCTGACATCACATAACAGCATCTTTCATTTCTACATGTATTTTATTTATATAAGATTGTTTACATTTTTATTTTAGAGGCTGGATGGATAACAAACAATGTTTCGACAGAGGCTGCCCTGGCAGTGGTTCAGTGTCTGGCCCGATTCATGGCAGCCTATTTCACCAATGAGCCACTGTATGTGCTCCCACCACACAGGGTTGATATTTTACCCCCACTACACATCAGGCCAGGTATTCGCTTAATGTCATTTCTTGTTCTGACTTACTGCTGTACAAATGAAGTGAAACATTTCTAAACCCAATTGATGTAGGCAAAGTAATTTTTCCTTTAAATGTTGACTTTGTCTAGTCACAAAATCTGCATTAGGATTCAATTATTTTGTAGTCTGTTCCTGCTACAAAATCACCATATAGTTTTCTCTAGTCTTCCTAATTAGTCTGTATCTCATTTTTTCTGTCCGTATGCTTAAGGTGATAAACCTTTTTGTGTGATTTAGAGTGAAGACTGTCTTTCCTGAATGGACACACATATCTTTGATATTTATTCAGAATTTCACTTCAAAACAACAATGAAACATTGCTGGTTTTTCCCTGTGTGAACACATGCAGCATGATAGGTTTTTGATTTCTCCTGATGTGAGGATCATATCTCCCCATATCATCCCTCTGGGAAGGGCTAATAATCCCAGTAATATTTAGTGAGGACCTGAGAGGGGGTATTTTCAGGGCACATCCAGCCTATGGAATTCCCTGCCTCATGAGGTTAGGTTGACCCCTCCTTATAGTCCTTCCATTGGCAGGTGAAAACCAACCTTCTAAAGTTGGCTTTTGACCTCTAAATGCCCTTGTAGAATTGCATGTTTAAGTAGAGGGATTTAGCAAATTTTAATCTGATATTTTAAATTTGTTTTATCCTCTTTTATCCAATGATATTTTCAACATCTTTTGGTTTAATATTTTAATGTTAAAGTGTTGATTTATGGTGATACTAAATATACAATTATGTTTTTAGGTGTACAACGCCTTATGTTCCTATTTTGGGAGAAAAGTGGGATATAAATAAAGTAAATATTCAGAATTTTACTTCAGAACAACAATGAAATATTACTGAATCTTGAGGTAGCGGGCCAAGATGTTGTTAGGTTCAGAAGGGGGGGGCAAATGTTGCAACTATCAAGGGTTGTGGTAATATTTTCCTCAGGATTGTCTGTAAAGGTCCCTGCCCTCTGAAGAATATTTATTTATTTATTTAAGATGTATTGTATCATGAGAGCTGCAGCTCACACTTGGGAGTAAGTCCTATGGAACTTGTGGGTCTTACCTGTGAATAAACATTCATAAAAGTAAGCTGGAAATCAATGGTTACAAAGAATAAGTTAAATAGCAAAGCAAACTGAAAGAACTAACTAATGTCCTCTATATTGTAGACAGATGTTCTCGTGTTATTCCACTGGAGCACTCCGTAGTCACTGATGCAGTTAGAAACCAAGGCCTCTCTGGTGTTTGGACAGTTGAATATGCTCTTGATCTGTTGCTTGTTGGTGGGCTGATTCCAGAAGCTGTGTGGTTAACACATAAACTTGGAGACTGGAAAATGGCAGTTTCTGTTGGGGTGGCGTTTAATCTATATTGTCAAAGTAACAATAGGTTCTCAAGGTGAGTCATGCTTGTAGCTGATGGAAGTACTATGGCACAGTATTTTTGTTTATGCTATAGGTGTTTAAGGTAAAGGTAAAGGTTCCCCTTGACAATTTTGGTCCAGTCATGTTCGACGCTAGGGGGCGGTGCTCATCCCCGTTTCCAAGCCATAGAGCCAGCGTTTTGTCCGAAGACAATCTTCCGTGGTCACATGGCTGGTGCGACTTAGACACGGAAAGCTGTTACCTTCCCACCGAGGTGGTCCCTATTTATCTACTCGCATTTGCATGCTTTCGAACCACTAGGTTGGCGGGAGCTGGGACAAAGTGACGGGCGCTCACTCCGTCGCGTGGATTCGATCTTATGACTGCTTGGTCTTCTGACCCTGCAGCACACAAAGGCTTCTGTGGTTTAGCCCACAGCGCCACCACATCCCTATAGGTGTTTGGATACGTATTATTTATCTTAAAATAAATGTTAACTATAATCTTTAAAAGTGTTTTTTCTTGTTTCTGACCTTAAAAAACACATTGTCTTGCAGCAGTGTAGGGTGAGTGAAGTGGGTAGAGACTTTTAGGATTTTTCAGAAGTAATATGATTCCTGTTCTCAGTTGTCACTGTAATTCTCTTGAAAGAACTAAGGATTAAGACAAATGCTTTTTCTGCTCATTTGGACAGCTGCGAAAAATATTAGAAAGGCTGTATAATGGAACATTCTTTGTCTTAAAATTCTACTTACAGGATTTTCTTTGCCCTAGATATTTTTTACTTTCAATTTTAGTTAGCTACTGTGAAGTGCTCCTGATTTAAAAATCCAGTTGTAGAGATAGACTCAGAAATGCTGATATTGAAAGCATCTTCACTCAGACAAAACAAAAATTATCATACATATAATTATGAATATCTTCTCATTTTTTGTACAGCAGGAAAAAGTTGCACAGTAGATATTGAGTCCAATAGTATATGCTGTTTTTATTTTGTCAGACTGTACATATTCTAGAATAATGAAACTTAATGCTGTTGGAAATTCTCTCAACAAGTAGTTCAATGGTCATGTAAATTGTCCTGCCATTGCTCTGTGGGTGTTTGGTACGATTGTGATGAAAGCTACTCTGTTCTATAATATGAATGCCTCCATAATGAGTACAAGGAATACAGTATTGATGGGTGATGAATAGATGATTTGCCTTCACTGACAAGGAGTTTAAGTTGTTGGCTTCTTGTGTATGGAAATGATATCTTCCATTCTACTCTTGCAAATGGCAAGATGTGAGTACTTGCTCATGTACCTGCCCTGAGTCCCTTTATCACGAGAAAGGCAGGATAGAAATAAAATGATAAAAGAGTGTAATGCAGCTATGATTTATTGGAAAAAGTGGACATCATCACCCTTCATTCACAGTTGAAGTAACTTTATCTACTACTGTATATGAAAGATAAGGTATTGCACAATGGGCTGTATATATACCATATATCTATAGCACTAGTGAAGGAACTGAGAGGGGAAAAACCAGTCCTACCTCTTCAGGTCACCGTATAAATACAAGAAACTGCAAATTTTCTCTGTTCCTGTTAAGATTTTGGCATTGTGGCTGCAACTGTGTGCATCTCATACATGTCTGTATATTAACCTCTTTTTCTTTATACACTTTTAGGTCAAAGACAGTAGAGCTCTGCTTGCCACCACACTTAACACCAACTCACATTTTCCAAGAAAAGTTGCAGTCGTTTTTGGGCCAGGCTGTCAACAACGGAACATCAAATCAAGGAGACAAATCAAGATACAAACAGCTTACAGGTATGCAGTGTCTACAGTCGATTTTCTTTTCTTTTGTGTTAGAAATTATCTTATCCAAATACTGTATCTTATCAGATATTTAAACTTTGGCTTGATCAGGGAAGTTGATCAAGCGGTCACTACAGAGCCCCTTTACTCAACTGCCATTTGAAACATCTTGATGCACATCTTATGACTACCATTCTTCGGTGGTTTGTGCCATGTCTAGACACAATCTTACCATGCACAGAGATTGATAGTTAAACTCTTGGTATTGGTAAAAACTCTTAGCAATATTGTGAAATCAGTTAAAAATGCTGAAAGTATAAGGTGACAATATTAACATATACATAAGTAATCTTCTAACATCCTCAGTCTCAATGATATATTAAGTTTTAAATATTTTATTTTATAGGTATAGCTGCTGACAACATAATTGCTCTATTACATTGTCTTTTTCAGATCCCGTTGAAGAGGAGAGTGCCTGTGTGCTTTTTAATTCAGTAGAAGAAATACTAAAAGCAGCTGTTATGGCAGAAGCAGACATTGTTTCAGAAACCTTTCTACTTTTGGTGAACTTTGCCAAGGAACTTAGCAGAAAGTTAAATGGTTTGGTACCTGACACCTTATATCTCCCAGCACCACCATTATATTGTCCTCAGCCAGCACTTGCTAATGAAGTATGTATTTTGGGGAATTATTCTGTCTGTGCTTTAATTATTCACATTCCATTGCTTTTTTCTCCTTTTGGTCATTTTGTCTTCCAAAATGACTTTAACCATTTATGTGGACTTCTCGCTCAGTGGTTTAGACATCTGGCTATGGAGCCAACACTTGGGAGTTTGATTCCCCATTCTGTCTCCCTGAAAGGGGCTAGTCTCAATGACCCAAAGGGTTCCTTTTAGCTCTGCAGTTCTAAGATGATTAATTGATTATTTACATACAAAGTGCCATAGTGAAGAATCCATTTTGTGTATATTTTTGCAGCTCTATCCTTAGTTTGCAGAGGGACATTCTAATGCATTGTGAGAACTCTGAAGCATACATACAAATGTTCTCATAAAAATTCTAATTAATATGGCTTCAGTTTGATGTAGGAAACTAATTACGCTTGCATTTCTTTGTGTATGCATACCAACTTCTTCTGCTGAAATGAATTGCGACTCCTGCAAACATGATATATCAAGTGAATACATATAAGCATGTATATGCAATTGGTATTGACTGATCTTAGCGGAAACTTAAGGAATGGGTACATCCAATGATGCCAGAAATCAGAATGAGATAGGTCTCAGAATGTAGAACAATGTAAATAATCCTTATTCTGATTTCAAAATGCTCAGCATGTTCCAGCATACAGCCTTCTTCAGGAGCAAGATTTTAGAATCAAAACTTCATTAGTTCATTTGGTCTCTACCAGCCCCAAATACTACCACACAAAACACATTGAGCATTTACATTTTTCTACATCTTGAGATCTAGTTTATAATTCTTATAGGCCTGACCTTAAACGTGTTTATTGTTAATTTAAAGGCTATATTTTTCTTTTTTCTTTTTTTTTTAAAAATTGAGACCATAATAATTTTCTTAGCATGTTCTGAGTATATAAGATTAGGAGGTTTGTGGATTAGGTGGAGAATCCTGCACAGTACTTATCCTATTCTTTGTCATACTTTTTATATACACCTTTAATTTTACAATATTCAGGAAGAACACACTGATTTATCATTAACAATGGAGAGAAACAGCCGACAAAAGGTGTCCAGAGTTATTCAGCGAATTCTTCTGCTCTTCCGGGCTGCTCATTGTTCCTTGCCAGCTGCTCAGTGGTATATTATACAGCTAAAACGGGCACGAAAAATTATGCAAAAGGTATACTAATGAAATTGCTTTCACACTCTCTGCTAGCGGTGCTGTTAAGATGCCGAAAGCAGTCTTTTAGACCAGAAATATTTCCACAATTTGAGGTAGACTTTATCACATAGAGCTATAGTTTCCAATGTTTGTTTTCTTTTACAATACATATTCCAAGGTTCCTTCAGAGGAAATAATATATGCTGGCAGCCATAATTGCTGTTTTTGCTACAAATGCGTAAGTTGCAGAAATGTATACGTCTACTGCACCACTGACACTTGACCTCCTCACTAAACTCTACTACTGTATTAGGACACTTGTGGAGGCAGCCTTTGAGGGAACAGTCCTGCAGCCCCTCATGCCCGGCCCTCTTTTAAAACAAGTAGTTCTTCATGGTGTCTGTAATTCACACCTTTGGGTTCTATGACTGCACAGAGCAGCAATATTGTAACCTATGTTCAAGAACGTGAGGAAGATTTAGTTGTTTGTGTACTCTCCTGTGCAGAGAGAAAGCTCCAAGAGACCAAATGTCACAGTGAGTTGTTTTCCTCACACTGAAATTTTTCTAAACCTGACTTTGGTACCAAGGTTCACCAAAACCTGAGGTTCAGCAAAATCCCTGCATGTTCAGCACCTTTGGCATTGTGGTGCATTAGGATCCACTAAGAGATCAGGATCTCCTCACTGAAGATATCCATTCTGATCATCTTCCTGAGGCTCATGATACCAAAGAAACTATTCCCCAATTCCAATATAATATCAACCATAACTTTATGCAGATTACAAATTACCTACTCTAAATGTACTTACCACTCATTTCCATACCGTCACTGCCATTGTGATGGCGAGGGTTTCTGGGAGTTGCAGTCCAAGAATGCCTGGCTTATCCAAGGTTGGGAACCACTGTCCTGGAATATCAAAGGGAGACAATAGGGTGCATAGAGAATGTAGCAGCATGCCTCGTTGGGAGTCCTTACCATCTCCTAGGTGATCCAGTTCACATATGCCAAAATATGCACCAAAAACATTCAGTGCTGCAAATCACATTACTGAGATGCTCCCTGTCGATGCCAGAAGCAACTGTTTCAAGGCCATGAGCGTTAACAGCCACAGAATATTCATTACCTTTTCAGTTGAAATCAGTAGTGGTACCAGGAGTTGTGCCTACAATGTGCTTAATGGCAGCACTACTATAATACCAATATTGATATAGCCGCTTGAATCGATATGGACTGCATTGGTTCCATTGTTGGGATCCATACTTGGATCTCATTTCCATACTGCTATTGTCAGATCTGCCTTACTTTTTAACGCAAACATAGAAATCAATACAGTCTGAGCAGATGCCTCACCCTCTACTTCTACAGAAGTAGAATACTTAATCAGATCCATAAGAAAAGCAGCATTCCTTCCCTGGCTCACTGACACCTTTTGTATTCTCTCAAGTGGGAGGTTATGCTCCTTTGCCATCATCAGAGCAAATATGCTCCTATTCTGATCTGATGCTCCAAGTTGCAAAGTCTCTACAGATAAACGTACGCTATCAGGGCCTTGTAAGAAAAATCTGGTGCCTACTCAGCATTATTCAATATGGGTAGTATCTATGAGGGATGGAAATTTCAGTTTAAGCCAAAAAGGGGAAAAAATATGAAACACGCTCATTAGGTTTCAGGCTCTTTGAGTAACTTCCAGTAGAAACCCTCTGAAATACAATACTGTCAGATCTAGAATTGTGTAAGTCAGTTGAAGATATCAAGGATCATTTCTTCTAATTTTAAAACAAATTATTTTCTGCAACCTTTGTTTCCAGATTCGTAAGAAAGTTGCTCTTCCTCCATTAAGCAGTCTTCCAGAAAATTTGCTTAATTACTCTAAAGATGGCAGTATGTTCTCAAAGCCTACGTCTTCTGGAGATCACAAGCTTGATTATGTTTCGTGTAAAACTATAGGTTTGTACCGACAGACATCCAGGGGTACTGAAACATGTTGAAGCATCTTAAGTTGGAAAATGGATTATTTGTTTATATTGTTCTGTTGAAACATTCACATTTCATTTTGAGGTTATTGTTTATTCCAGTAGTCAGTGATCCTAAAAAATAGCATGAATTCTTTAATTCTATTCTGTATCATTTGACTGGTTGCAAGAGAAAGAGACCCTATTTTGGGAAGCACTGTTCTAGAGGGATTCTAAGGACCAGGTGCATTTACTGTAGCTACAAGGATCCTATAGCTGAGCACTGCCACCTCCGGTCTCAGAGGCATTGAAGGCATTAAGTACTAATATACTGCAGCAGTGCTAAACTAGTTCTGTAAACTTCCTCCAGACACCTTCAAAGTGAATATAATCCAATGAGAGTACATATAATTGAAAGATACATTATCTGGGCAATGCAGAGGAAGAATCCACACACAGGGTTATTCCTATTACTGCACAGATCAGAAGGCAGGAAACGCACAATTGAAAGCATTGAAAGGTGGTTGTTGTTGTTTTTGGACAGCCATGCTGCTCTCCTTCAGCAGCCTTGTCTCCTGCCTTCAGCTAGTCAGAACCACCACGTGAGCTGTGGTTTCTCACAGCCTTGCCAGAGCCTTTCATCAAGTCTGTGCATCACACTTTACTAAGATTGATAAGGCGTTAAAATAAGGCTGCCTGTTTCAGGTCATAGCTTTTTGATTTCCGGGTTTGCTTTTTTTTCCAAAAGCTGATCCAGAGATGTACAAATATTATCACAAATCTGAGAACAAGTCAGATCAGTGCAGCTTCAAGACATCTTGGAGCAGGTTGGCCTCAATGTGTACAACTGATATTTGAATTGGTATTCACACTCCACTTTCAAATATTTTAAAAGTATAGCAGCCAGAATCCTATTGGGGATTTGCAGCAGCATGTGCAATTGTGTAAACTATGGTGAATTGTAACAGCTTAATAAATTGCTGCGCATGTTTCTTGTTGCATGGTAATCTCATGATTTGATGAGACTGAATTCAAGTGGCAATTCAGTGATTAGTAACAGTCACAACAATGGTTCAAGTAATTATTTACCCTGATGTAAATCCCCAATACGATTCTGACCAGAAGTGTGTGTGTGTGTGCGCGCGCGCACACACACACGCACACACACACACACACACACACCTTATACTTTCACCTACACAGAAACATGGATTTACCTATGAAATACATCTTATTCCTAAAGACATACCAGTTATGACTTATTTGGAAAATTCCTACCACAGAAATCTAATCTAAAATCATTTTAAAACTGTATGTTGTCCATCTTACAGATGTTATTACTTATAAGTAGATTAGAAATAATTGATGTCTGTGTTGTAACATTTCTGGATTTTTACCTGATCAGAAGTTTCTGTGTATGTCTTCTTCTTACAGCATCTTTTAGAGATTTGTGTGCATTATGTTGGATGCTTCATGTTCGTGATATGTTATCCGATAGTTGTAGGCGGTACCAAACTGCAAGAGAGAAAATGGAACATCAGAAAGTAAGTGTAATAGCATAAAACTTGAGCCCCATGTAGAATTATGCATATTGTAAATTTCTTTATCTTCTTACATGAGGTTTTTGAAAGAAAATACATTTCTTTGAAGAATAAAAGGGCAGACAAAGAGCTTAGAGTGTTAATTTTTATTAGTTGCAGTTCACATGGTAGGAGTGAAGCAATAGCTGTAGTGATTACAGCCGTAATAGTAGTGGACCGCTATGGCTGCGGGTTTGTTTGTTTTTTAAGGGAGCTCTTTTCTCTATTCAAAAGACGTCAAAATGCTTACTTTTAAATTATGTTTGCCTATTGCAAGCTAGGCTTTGGTACAAAGTACACCTAACTAGTTTTAGATTAGATTAGGTATCCTTCAGTCTCGAGAGACTATGGTAACGTGCTCTGTATGGAGGACTTGGAACAGCGTCTAGTGTGGCTGAGAAGGCCAATTCGAGACTGACAATCCCTTCCACACTGAAAATAAATACAATCTGTCCCCTGTCCAGCTCCCTGATTTTGCTGCTTTCGGGACTGCCTCTTTGCCTTGGCCTGCTGGATAAGCGTCTCTTTAAATTGGGAGAGACTGTGATGCACCACCTGTCTCCAGGCTGAACGCTCAGATGTCAAGGTTTCCCATCTGTTGAGGTCCATTTCTAAGGCCTTCAGATTCTGCTTGCAGATCTCCTTGTATCACAGCTGTGGTTCTCCCTCTGGGGCGACTTCCCTGCACTAATTCTCCATACAGGAAATCTTTTGGAATCCAACCATCAGCTATTCTCACGACATGCCCGAGCCAGCGTAAATGTCACTGTTTCAGTAATGTATACATGCTAAAAATTCCAGCTTGTTCTAGGACTACTCTATTTGGAACTTTGTCCTGCCAGGTGATACCAAAAATGTGTCTAGTTTTAACACAGCATTAAAAATAATTATACAACACAAAATAGAAGGCAAGTTATTTTTTAATTTATTTTGGAATCCTGTGCATTTTTACTCAACAGTAAGTCATTGCCCTTAAAAGGCACGTGTGCAAAGGATGGCATATCGACTGTACTCAAGAGTAGACAATAGAAGCCAATGTAGTAGAGAAAATTCTGTTAATGTATATGAGCTCAGGAATAAGATGCCCTGGCTTCCTGAATTAGGAAAAAGGTGAGATTGGATGTTTGGATGATGGACTGTCGGGGCTAGCTGACCTCATCCATGGTCCAATTTTTTTTCTTAAATTCTGTGTATCTCCTATTTTATATATTATTCTGTCTCCCCTACCCATTGTAGATAATATTGTGACAGAGCTGGCTTCAACAGGTAGGTCTGCCACCATTAGATGTCCTCTGAGAATGAAGTACTAGACATCAAAGCTTATACTAGTTATTTGGTATTGTATCTTTAGGAATGCAAGAGAACTGAATTTGATGCCTGCATAGTGGAGTGCTCTCTCACTGCATTGGAATGGGCCTGTCGAATGCTCCCTTTTGCTCATTTCATGAATATTGAAGAATTGGTCCAGGATATTATTCTGAGCCTTATTGGAGAATTGCCACCCATCAGAAAGGTACAGAGAGTTATGGAATTGAGATTCCTTTTAAAATATATTGTTCGTATTCATGGTTGTGAACATGAATCTATAGGAACTTTGCCAAATAGGTTTAAGTGATCTTGACTTTTTGTATAGGTGGCAGAAATTTTGGTGAAAGCATTTCCTAACCCGGAAGATGTAAGAGTTCCTTTAAGAGATAAATACAGCGCTCTACAACGGCGCCTTCAACACTGCATAGTCAAAGGTATCGTGCTTGCTGTTGAAGGAAGCAAAATAGACTACTTGTTTATCATTTTTCTAAACAACTCCAAAACTAAATCTTGCTTTAGAAAGTGCAGATATAAAATTTACTGTACAATGCATGGACCTTATGATTAAGATAGAGACAAACTTATTTAAAGTTGTTATATTTAAGAGGGCTGAATGCAGTAGATTCTTGGTCACAACACAAAATTGTATTACCTGCATTTATTTATTTATGTATTTAAATGTTGTATATGCTGCCTTTCTCCACATAGGGAATCCAAGGCAGCTTACAACAAATAATAACAGCAGATTTTATAAATCTATATAAATAACATATTTTTAAAAAACCAATTAAACATATTTTAAGTTAATCAAGTTTAAAAACAGTCAAAAACATTAAAAAACTTATAATACATGCAAGGCATAAATAATCAGACTGCCTTAATTAGAGTATCTTGATAAGGTAACCTTTCTAGAATTAACAATAACTAATACTTTATCTCTTTGGCTAGGCCCCAGCAGTGAAGAAATGATGGCTGTTGTTATACAGGCTGTCCACAAAGTGAATGTGAAAACATTAAAGTGTGTCATCAGGAACATAGGGCCCTATGAAAAAAACATCTGGGAACCACCAGAAGAGGAGACACAGGATCCTGGAGCTTGTTGTTATGATAAGCTTTCTTTGGGAACTAGTCTGAGCAGAAGCACAATTTCAGATTTGGGAAACTCCCAGATTTACAGTGATGCTGAAACAGCAGAGTCACTGTCTGAGGCTTTGCTGGTGGAAGAAACAAAAAAACACATTCGTACTCAGATGCAGGAAAATAACAAGTAAGAGTTTATAATATTTTTGAACACCTAACCTTACTTCATTCTAGCTTTTATTCATTCATAGTAGTTAATACCATCGCCATTCCTCCTGGAACTGTCCCATGCTGCTCTAACGGTTAGCTTATGCATGTTTACTTGGGGGGACATGGCAGTGCTATTCTTACTTTTAAGAAAGTGTGCATTGGATTCCAACATAAAAATGACAAGCACTTCCAGTTTTTCTGCTTTCAGGCTCCATCAATATCTGAGATCTATATGGACTGTCAGCAGAGTAAGACGACAAGAATACTGGAGTTAGTGTGATGCTAGCCCCAGTTATAGGAGAATGCTGTTTGCCTACCAGAAACAAATAATAAGGATCATATGAGAAAGACGTATTAAGTACCTCTTCTTTTGATGTTTAATTTACAGCTGTATTTCCACATGGGTCGCAACTGCACGTACGGAACAATGTACTGTAATGTGAATTCACAGTGACTTCAGTCACTGCACACAACACAAACCCTGGCATGGTTTAAAAATCATGCCAATATGTACTTTTTAAAATCACACCCAGGCTTCTGTCATTGGCTGTCCAGTGCTGGTAGGCCTCCCGGTTACTGCTGGCACCAGGATTGTTGCTTGGGATGTGGCAAAAGTGGAGCCACTAGTGCTGCCCTCTCAGGCAACAGCAGTTTTGCTCCCCAGGCCGTTCTGGGAAGCACTGCCAACTAGTGATGTTGTCTTTTGCTGGAGTGGGTGAGACGCTGCTCTGACTCCAGTGCTGTCAGTTAGCCATGAGGAGCCTTCCAGCACAGATGGGCCGGCAGCTGCTCCACCTCCTGCTTTAATGCAGGAATTGTCCTAAAGCAGGATGTGTAAAACAAACAGTTTCATGCCCGTTTTCAGGGAACCTGCACTAAAAAGCTCACTGTGGGTTATCAAAAAAGTCTACTTCCTGCCATGGAGTAAAAACTTGTCTGAAAACCATCATTTATGCCAGTACAATTTCATGTAGAAATTAGATGAAAATCAGATTGTGTTGTAACGACTTTGTAAGCATTTTATCTGCCATGAGAACAGAATACCTAACTGTTGGTTTAATTTTCTTTGGAAGGAAAAGGTGCAGTATGTTAATTGACTGCCTTTTTAGTATCCTTTCTTATGATTTGCCCTGTTGCAGGGAGATTCATCATGAAGAGTTGATTCGATGTAACAAAACTGCTGAAAAATTAGAAGACTTCAGTGTGAAAGAGAGAAGGAACAAAAAAGAAAACACTAAAGATATAACCAATCAGCATGTTTTGCCACTGGTGGGTGAATGGGAGTTTGAACGCGATGATGATGAGTATATTAAGTTTTTAGATCTCTTTTTAACTTATGTACTTGAAAGAGATCTGATTGATCACGGACATTCAGTGATTCCTTTTCTGGTGAGCTTTTCACCACTCCTTAGGGAACATGAACTCAACTCTCTTCTTTTTGATGTTCATACAACACTGAAGCGTCGACAGATTAGGAATAAAGGCCAAAAGGTGTTCAGAGCAGGTTCTTGCTATACCACTATTTTTGAGCCCAGTGCATCTGAGTTGGTTCTTTTACGCGATAAAAAGAAAAAAGAGTCGAAAGACAGAACTCCACCTGTTACCATTCAGCAAACAATTGAGCCTTCTAACCATGAGTCAGTGATGGGACTCCATGCAAGAAGAGGATTATTTGGCGTAAGCCAGAAGTCAAGTTATAGTACACATGATGGTTCCAGTAAGAACATAAGTCTTACATCAGTGTTAACTCAGCATTCGTCAGAACAGGCTTCTTCTGTCCCCCAGAATGTTGCAAATCATATATGTATCTACAAAGTAATTCAAACGAATGAGGTTACTGAGAGAGAGGACCCAACTCCAGAAATGAAGTTTAAATTTAACAACGTAGCTAGTTTGCTTGAATGGATGATCAGATGGTCTGATAAGAGACTGCTTTATGACCCGATCTCAAGACAGCCATTTCAGGAGTGCCAGCCAATAATGCATGTGAAAATATCTGCATCTGCCATCCTTGCATCATTGTGGCTTCTAGAATATTACAGCAACAAACCAGAAGACCAAGATATATGCTTTTTGGTAAGCAAGAGGGGCTGACGTGCCTAAAGTGACTCTTGGAGTCCCAGACAATGTATATCTGTGTACAGTAGCCTTCCCCTTTTCAGCTTTGTTGAGACAGCTGTATAACCCACTCTTAAGTGAGCAACTGTGTGTTTTTAGTCAAGGAGGACCATTTTAATCTGTTTTCTGATGCATTGGAAAGATAATCTTAGAAAGAGCACCAATGGAGTGTATAGACATCTATAACTTATGCCATTTTTTTTTCTTTTAAAAGTTTCTTGTCTTGGTTCTTAATAAGTATAGCAGCAAGAGCAATTGTGTTAATCCCTGACCTTTCTATAGCAAGTTAAGGGAAGGGAGCAAGTAATAGCCTTTCTATTAACTTTGTAAGAAGTTATACAGGGAAATATAGGGAATATATACATGGACTCTGTGCCCACCAAGTGCAAAATATATATTTGATAATAATCATACAGACATTCAACCTTTTATTGCATTACAGTTCTTGCAGTTAACGTTCTGTTAACTCATTAACTCATATAACTTTATATGCAGATACTGTTTTTCACAGGACCCGGCTGTTTTCTGGATTCTTTTTTTGTAAACCAGGATCCCAGTTTCTAATTTGGGGTATAAGACATGATCCCACATTTTTGCTAAACAGAATATGTGAAACTGAGGCAGATGAATCCAGTGCATAGAAGCTAGGACCTTTCTAGGTTGGCTGGAGTAAAATCTCCTTTTTCAGATTAAAACAGGAGAGATGAGCTACCAGTAGGGTTCAGGGCCATAAAGATCTTTGAATAATTTTATTCTCTCTCTCTCTCTCTTTCTATTTCTGGAAACACTTTGGATCAGGAATGGGCAACTTCAGCAGGTCTTCCCCTGGCCCTCAGCATTTGGAAAACATTTGGCAGATTGAATGTATACGTTTTTAACACTAATGTTCCACCATGCTGAAGAAATAATTCAACATAAAATTCCCCTCCTCAAGTGTTGGCAGTAAAATTGGCCATTTAGAGGATGTTTCATCCCTCCTGATAGTACTGTCTTATTTTATTTTTTATTTTATTTAAAATCAGCTTCCTTATGTAATACATTAAACTATACAAAATAAAAATTTACAAAACATGTATATTATTGTGAGCAAAAGGAGTTTAAAGATCAATCGTAGCGAGTGATTGACATATTTTTCCTATATCTTCACAACTAAAAGTATGCATAATAAGTAGAGATGAGTGTATTCGTATTCATATATGAATATCCACGCGCAGGTAGTGTTAACGTGGGTCCAGCCCCACGGGGCCGGACGGTTTACTCACTGATCTGCTGCAGACATGGATGGCGCGATTCTACCAGTCTTTGACCTTGCAGTGAGGCTTGTCCTCCCGCCTCCTGCCAGGAGTGGCGAGTGGATCGCACGCTGTGGAAGCCATTGGTAGAGTCGCACCGTCTGCTCATTAACGCCACCCGTGCGGGGATACTCGTATTCATATACAAATACACCCATCTCTAATAATAAGCTATGAGTTAAATGGGTTAGGAGGAATCTGACAGGCAAAACAACAACTTCTCTTAGGCAAAAGAGCTCAATTACTTTTGTTAGGGCTCCGCCTGCTGTGTCTTAGTTAACCATAGTTACATATGGCATACTTCATTAAATCATCCTGAAACGACCTGGAAACATGGAAGTCTATTTTAATATTCAAATCTCAAAGAGCTGTGTTTTGTGCTTAACTCATGCTAGAGTAGGTTGAGGCGCTGAAATAGCTTTGAATTTTATTGCCGGGGCACAATTGGCAATGTCTCAACTAACTTCAAATATGGTTGTCAGGGCAGGTGGACTGCAGGTTCTCTGTGAGCCGTGCCTTCCCAGCCCTGTCTTAGAGAAAAATACTTCAGGCTGGTCTACTTTGCTGTGGAAATACAGTGATTCAAAATGCTCATGACCAATCCTATCATAAAATTCTTCGGCACTAATTACTTACTGTGCTTTCATGCTAGTTGATTGTTTAGAATGCTAAGTAATCAATCTGAAATAGGGGGTTGCTAGGAAAGAACAAAACATTCCACGAGCAGGGAAGTTCTTTCTTTGATGCATTCAGATGGCTGTGAAGACTTGTTTGAGAAATATTAAGTCTTGTTATATTACCATCAAAATCCTGTTAGTTATGACTACAAGTGGAACTCAAATGGTGTATGTTTGGAAGCAAGTTGTGTCAAGTTAAGAAATTACCATAGACATTTCTCTTGTGTGCTGAGTCACATGCACAACTAGTGTCTACTGTAACTTCTGCACTTGAGACAATGCACCTCCAAAAACTATGGTATTTGTGTTAACACTAGTGTAAATTCCCAACAGAATTTTGGCTAATCTTTCTAACGTGTAAGTACTATACCAAGTCAGAAATGTGGCCACTGTCTTAATTGTTTCTTTCTTTTCTGATTTGAGATGAGTGATAAAAACCTAATACATCAGTTGAATGACTAATACCTAGGCAAAAGCCTTTCTGAAGGATAACCTTTTAAATGTCATTTATTAATTACCAGAATAAGATACTTAAGCTATTTTGTTGTTGCTTAGTCGTTAAGTCGTGTCTGACTCTTCGTGACCCCATAGACCAAAGCACGCCAGGCCCTTCTGTCTTCCACTGCCTCCCGAAGCTTGGTCAAATTCATGTTGGTCGCTTCGATGACCCTGTCCAACCATCTCATCCTCTGTCGTCCCCTTCTCCTCTTGCCTTCCCACTTTCCCAGCATCAGGGTCTTTTCCAGGGAGTCTTCTCTTCTCATGAGATGGCCAAAGTATTGGAGCCTCAGCTTCAAGATCTGTCCTTCCAGAGAGCACTCAGGGTTGATTTCCTTCAAAATGGACAGGCTTGTTCTCCTTGTAGTCCAGGGGACTCTCAAGAATCTCTTCCAGCACCACAGCTCAAAAGCATCAATTCTTTGGTGGTCAGTCTTCTTTATGGTCCAGTTTAATCATTTATTTGAAATCAATTTGTCAAATTGGAATATAAAAGTGATCATAGGACAAAAGGTGATTAGAGGAGCATGTAAACATCAAGCAAAATTTAGCTCTCTCTCCAAAACTAGTAGACAACTAGTTTTACCCAAATGTTAGTGTCACAGATGGGGATCTAGTACAGCAAGCCTAGGGAAGCATTCTAATGGGGATCTACTTTATCTACATGTACAATTCTCCTAATGCTGAAGGATCCTTTCCTCTGCAGTTCTAAGATGTTGCTGTTGTTGTTGTTACCTAAATCAGGACCTTAATGACTGAAATCCAGTTGGTGCAATTGTGTAATGTAAATGATAATTATGTCATCCCCTGACATGGTTAGTCTTTATTTTAATGACATTTAAATGTTTCAGGTTCCAAGGCTTTCTAGAGATCCATTTGTCTTGGGAAAGCCTTTGGGAGCCTTGGCGTGGTGGTGGTGGTCAGGCTTTAATACTGGGAAATTGTCACTGTTATTCCTGTAACTGAATTGGGACCATCTCTAACAATCCAGCTGTGATTTTCAGTTCTGAAAGTGTTCCTTCCGCCTCCCCATCCCAAGGTTCCCAAAGGCTTCTCCAGAGCAAAAAGGATTGTGAGGGAGTCTTGGAAATGGAAGTGGGGGGACAGAAAGTTTTAAGTTGCATTAAAATAAAGATTAGCACTGCTAAATGATTATGTCATTATACAGCACAGTTACACCAATGGGATTTCAGCCAATATACATTGAGAGAATATGGGGTAATGTTGTAGCAGTTTTAGTGAAGAAACATTGTGATGTTTCGACATATAAGCCGTATTTATTCTTTTTCAGAAACTGCACGATGGGTCTGCAAGTGTCTGTTCTTCCACTCTTGAATCCAAAATAGAGGATAGCTTCATGGATACAAGCTGTTCTCCATCAGCTGGGATATCAGTTGGTATTCCAGATAGCCATGTCTCGGGCAAGCCTTCTGAAAATGCTCCAGGGTAATACTTCAGTATCCAATTTGATGTACATTGCTAAAATTATAGAAGTCTATGTATGGATCATATGGGGGAAAAACTGTCTACAGCTTGAAATCTAAAGAGACTTTGTAAACTTTTAAATCTACAGAATCTTGCAAGAAAAACAACATGAGAAGAAAGAAAGTGATCTTAAGGGTCACTTTGTAACACATGACAGGATGATTGGAGGAACAGATTGTGATGTAGGTTTGAAAAAAGAAATGGGAGAATTCACACCAAGTAAGGTGGAAGTGACATCTGAAAATGAGGGTAAGTTAAAATAAAATAAAATTCAACCAATACTTAATACCCAATTCATCTGTTGTGACGTACAGTGGTGCCTCGCATCACGACGTTAATTCGTTCCAGCGAAATCGCTGTAGAACAAAAACGCCGTAATGCAAAAAAAGCCCATAGAAATGCATTAAAACCCGATTTATGTGTTCCTGTGGGCTTGAAACTCACCGTCCAGCAAAGATCCTCCATAGCGCAGC